CTTGTACCTGAATACAAACAGTCACTATACTGTACTGTACTGTACAGTGTACACTCTGTAGTACTGTAATTGCATTACCAACTCCAGCACAGATGAGCATACTGTACGCCCTATCCGCTTCTACTGTCCAATGAGTGTCCAATGTCCAGTCCAGATCCATGTACAGTATAATGTACAGTACAGTACAGTGCAGTCCATGCACGAATAAAAATGCGATACTGTAGTGTATAGCATCCTACTGTGAAATGCAATCCCTATTCTATTCTGTCATTTTAATTAATTAATTACGTATTCATCAATTTTTGGTCCCATTTAATACTGCATATGGCTCCGGATTGTCTTCAAGCAGTACAGTCTATACTCGTTTAAGAAAGTTATTCTACGAATATCGATGCAGCTGCAGCTAGAGGTCTACATGGTCTGGTCTGGTCTAACTGTAACGCAACGTTGACAGTATCAGATATCCGAAATTATTTTTGATGTGTCATCAAATAATTTATAGAAATTCTACTGTATGACTAATTTATTACATGTTATACCATATCAATATTATTGCTAAAATGTTAAAATGAGATCCATCATGGATGCCAGGCTTCACGAATTTGGAAATCCTACGTGCATTGGGCACCAAGCGGGCGCAAGTATAAATTCTTAGTACTGTACACTGTACAGTAGACATGTTGAATTAGGAACCGAGTGAGACTCTTGGACTCTTGGGATGGTAAACAAGGTGTGAGCAAGTTCGATTTACACCGCCGTTGATAATTATAATCTATTATTATTGAAGCCTATTTGTTATGGCAAATAGATTTTGTTGCGAATTTTATTTGTATATCACTGCAACATTAGGATTATAATTGATTTTCATGAATCCGGATACTGTACCGAGTACAGACTTATGCAATAAAGGGATTTATTTGCAATTGAATTTTTAGTACTTAAGGTCGATTTTTGCTCTATACTGTATTATTACAAGACAATTTGAATACGATCACGTAGAGATTTGTACTCTATTCAGTGTACTGTACTGTGTTCAGTACTGTACTAAAGTATTACAGTACAAATCCCTGCAAGCTACAGTACTCAGTACCACATACTGTACGTACAGTACAGTACTGCAGTTCTAGTAAAGACAGTGCACTACGAGCATTGAAGACATTTCAGAAGTTCAAAGGAAACGTCTCTCGACCAAGCGAGTAGACAGACATTGCACAGCTCAAATTTGTTTCATTAGTTTTCAATATAGAGGTATACATAAATAATAACAATATAATACGTCAGTTGTGCATGTGGAGGCTGTAAGCGGGTAATTGGACCGTTGGAAACACTCCTGTAGCGTAGAACGGTAATCGTCTCCAATTTCTATTCCATTCGACAGTATTATGGCATAGAGCAAACACTGCGCACGTGCAACTTGCTAAAAATTTTTGAAAGTACAGCGCCTCAACTAGCAGGTGAAATATTATGTATATTTTGTATTGCACGTATTTCAAGTTCGAAAACAAATTTGTAGGCTAGTAGTTCAAGATAAGTAGAACGTCTTTGATAGTACTGAACTTCAACAGATGGATTATATATTATATAATTAACTTCGCCGTTCTAAAGTAGATGTTTGCGTTGCAATTATACGAAGGCGTACTACAGTAAATACGTTGATTGTCGATTTCCTTTACAAAGCCCTCTGATACGTGCGGAAAGTTGTAGCTAGCTATTTGATACTGTACTGTACTTGCAATTAGTAACTTGATATTAATTGATTTTAATTAACTATCAACTGTCTGCTGTAAAGCAACAAATACTGACTAAGTGACTATATAATAATAATTATAATAATCAATCAATAGTACTTGTAATTCACGGATACAGATGATGTTATTCATCGTTAGTGATGATAGTGATAGCTGTTGGCTATCATTAATTTATTTTATTTTATCAAATATTTAACTACAGCAGTACACGATAGTAACTGGGGATTACTTAATAGCTAATAAATTTCGCCCTGTACAACGGTGTTGTCATTTTCCCAGCATCACTAAGGTATTGCTAGTGTTGTAATCGTTGCAACTTTATACGTATGCGCGAAAAATTATAGCTATAAAACTGAGAATAGATTCCCTTGACTGTACAACGTACATTGTACAGCACATGATAACCTACATAATATAAAGGTTTAGATTCATAAGGCACATGTATTTAACATCTATACCATGTAAGATGACCTATTTTAAACTGTTAGCAGATCTAATAGCTCTAGAATCCCAACATTGCTGGTACACTAATTACTGTTCTTTATTAAATCGGAAGCAAAAATTGATATTTTACGCAACACTGGTAACTAGTATTTGTAATACCAATTAATCATTTAACTATCAGCAATATAATATGAAGGCTTCATTATTACTAATTTTAATAATATTTAATGAGATTGAAATAAAGGTATAACAGTGACTTTTGAAAGCAAAGCAGTTATTTATAAGGTGGAAATGACAACAATATTGTTTAGACTTTCAACTTGGTATTTTAGAATGGATAATACTATATACTAGTTCATTAATAGAGGCACAAGGAGCTGAGGTAGGCAGTCATCAATGAATGTAATGTACAATACGAGTATATAATATTACAAGAACATGTACGGTATTGACGTCTCATACTTTTGGGTCTTATGGCAGAGGCAATACATCGCATATGAATGGCTTTTTCTATATTGTTTTCTTAGTGTCTAAGTATCTGTCATTAATACAGTTGAATGTTGTTCAGGTTAACGATATCGCTACTATTCTTACTTAAATATGAGTACCTTACGCTATATGCTGCACAATCTTAACGACCTTAAGGTGCACACACAGACGTCTAATAAGAAAGTATCAGCGTGCAATAATTGCGCGTATGGCAAGGGTTCATTAAGACAGATTAGTGAAATGCCTAACTTACGTATTATGATTATTTACGTAGAACGTCTCAACTAATGTATGAAAGGAATTAATATCAAGTACTCTTTTACGGCCATGATCTTACCGTTGCAACGCTGCATTGCATCAATTTAAAAAGCAGCTATATTACCACTGTCATATTAAAATAATAATATCAAAACCTGTAATGCAGCGTGTAAATACTATCACTTTTAAAAGCTCCAATTACTTATTACCTTCGGAAAGCTGCTTTAACATTAATTACTGTAGTATCTTATATAAGGAGTATTATTTGAAAATAATGCTTGTAAATGCTTACATGCTAAGTTAATTATAATTATTATACCTACAAACAAGAAAGATAACCTGGTCTTGGGTTTCATGGTGGTTTATGGGCAATACTATGTAAAAAAATGTCTAACCTCTTGTCGTTATGCATGCTGGTAATTTTTTCAATTACGTGGTTGAACGCGAAAGACTTTCCTAGTATGTAAATAAAACAGGCTATCTCCAAAATGTAGCAATTCAGTACCGGAACACTACTTTCAATTAATTCCTAATCTGTATATCTTCCAACCATAGTTGAGATAATTTTATGTCGTCATTGTGGTTTTGAATTAACGAATTCCAGTGCTGTGATTAATGTGGCTACTGATAAAGCTGACAGGACGATCAATCACACAAAGCTTGGTAATACCTCAATTAACGTCCAAAAATTTCTAAATCCAAATGGTAAGCAAAATCTTATTACTGACTTCAAATTATTCATGCATAATATACAATATTTCATAAGACATATAAATAGACTAATATGATTTAGTAATTGCAGTTATTACATACGTAATAATGATAACAATGTGTTAGTTTTAATTTGTATAAAAAATTTCGTATAAACAGCATTTTACCAACTGTAAATATTTTATCAACTACGAATAGGTCAACCGTTTAACGTTTTCACCGTAAAAGATGCAAATGTAAAACAGGTTACAGAGGTACTTATGAATAAGAATCTGCTTGAGATAATACATAATGGCAACCATACGAATGTTTCTAAGTGCCACAGCTTTAGCTACGTTATTTTTATCAGGCCCAGTGTAAAAGCCCTAATCTCGATTGTGTTTAGTCATTCGTAACCATTTAATTGTCAAGTTCGCTATTAGCAGATATTGCTATTAAGTAATATGTTCATATTTTGTTGCATTATCAATTTTTTGAAAAACTATATATACATGAAGCCTATTGATCAGTTCTCGTGGTTTCCTGGATACTCTTGGACTGTTGTAAGTTGTCCAAAATGTGGAATTCATCTTGGGTGGTACGTTGCGTGAATATTAATTTGAAAGTGGTCGTTATTTTAAAGTTCCATGATATCTATATCGTTTTATCTCAGCTAATTTAATATCTCGCGTTAATTTGCTAATTAGGCTATTCAAAAATATTTCCCCTAAACTTCGTCAAAATACTATAACGCAGTTCGTAGGTCTAATTTATGATCAAGTTGTTAGCGAAAACTGTAAGTTTAACCGAGACCACTCTGTTAACGGTTTATGTCTTACTGGATAAACCTTAAAACGAAGCGCCTATTTGCTGCTGATCTACATATTTGCGATTTTGTTTCATCTAGTCGCTTATTCTACATATTTTGGGCCGCCTTCATTTGCAGCATGATGAGATAGTTCGTACAAGTTCAAACTTATCTGCCTTTGCAATATATCATATCGCAAAATGCATTATGCAAGTAACACAATAGAACTTCGGATAAACTATGGAGAAGATTGGGATATTCGAAGCTTACCTAGGACATGGATTGCTGTACTTAAAAGAGAAGCTGCTTTGCAGACTAGAAAGCACTAAACACTGAAAGCGATATTAATGAACATAAAATTCAACAAATGATTTACTATATAGCAGAGCGTATCTTGGTTCATATGAGAGTATTGCAACTTTTTGTTTGATTACATCACTATTTGGTAATGTTGGCTTAACACACTCAGTATTTAGGCGTCATATCTTTGCAATTACTAAATAACTTATTATAGACAAACTTTTTAAAATTTGAAGAAAGTTAGCTGCGTATATAATCTTACTACAGTATAATGTACCATGCATATTGCAGTAAGTAATTATGGATACATGATATTTAGGCATGTGTATATTATACCTATTCGCGATTCGGTCTGAGTTCGCCATGCATATCGATTTTAGACTATTTAAGTTTCGGTAATGAAGATGTCTTAATCATAAATTGTGTTATTAATGGAAGTATCAAATAACCGACATAGTCTGCTGTGCGCGTACAACCATGCCTTAGATCGATTTTAGTTACGCCGACGGACTATTTGCTTAATCCAAATTTAGAAAGAGAAAAAATACTGATGCATAGCGGTAAATAGCATAATTATAATGGAATACAATATTTCTTGTAGTCCATGTGAGTTCTCACGTGTGGGTCAGTATAACAGCCAAGAGTTTAAATTCGATATTAATTATAAATTTGTTATCGACTGTCGAAATAATTGAAATTGCTGTATAATTATATTCCTAAGCTAATATACTGTATCATTAAGATTAACTCATGACATGGTTCAGTATCAGTTATTAGTATGATCTTTTTATCATTGGACGAAATGTCATATGGTAACAATGTGACAGCACTTATATTGTATATATACAGTATATACAGTATGTTCACTAATAAAAGAATAATAATTTTTGATACCACTACGCACTCGATTCATTACAGGAGTTTTATAACATGATATGATACAGTATTCCCATTCAGCAGATTTGTTTAACGCAGTTGCAAATATTACTGCATGATGTTACATTACTGTGCCTTATCCTGAATGAAATTATAATGCCATTTACAGTAGTTATACATTGAATTGTAATAGCGTTTAAATCAGCGAGTGACTAAAACACTGGTGCCAATTATCAAAATTTTCATAGCAGGGAATGCATTTGCGTACACGAGGAGGCACGCGCTCTCTTTCTGTTTCTCTCCAGGTTTTAGCCATCTCTGACTTTCTCGAAATTAAGACAGACAAGTTAGAACTTGCAGTACAGTACTGTCCAAAACAGTAATCGGTCCATATCCTGTACAGTACAGTGTACAATGTACTGTACAGGACACTTGTACGGTACAGAACAGTGACATGGTTGTAAATTACAGTACATACAGTACTACAGTACTGTACTGTAAAAGGGTATACTCAGTGGTGGCGAACGTCATGGCGGAAGATCAGTTATTAACGCACAATCATGCTATGGCAATATTCAGAAATAGCATCGCTGAGATGACGAAGGATAGCTTACTTGCTTCTTTACCCAATGATGTGACTATCGATGAAGTAAATTCGCTTATTGCTCTAGATTACGGCCTTGCTATGACCGTGACTGTTTGCAAAGATAGTCGTGAAAGGATAGGTAAGAATCTTACCTGTATTGGAAGATGATGATGCAGGCTGCTACTACTGTGCATACAATGACTCGGCCTGATGATGTTTATAAACCGGTGCTTTTACTGTACTGTTCTAGTACTGCAGCTTTAAGATTTACTTATATGCTGTATATACGTGTATATATTAGTAATAATTATTTAAACAGGACATTCATACATTTCCCTTGAATCTTGCATATTGGGAACGCTTCCTTGATTGTTTGAATCAACATTGTAGTAGCTCAAGCAATTAGATTAAATTAAACTGACATTGCCCTAATTATTAAGCTTGCCTTTTGCAACGTAAACCACTGCTAGTGTGCATGATGATGCTAAACATTGTCATTATTATATTGATACCTCGTACATCTTTGTCTACTTCAAGACTAGCACAATGTAATTTAGACGGAATTTTAGAAAGCAGTTAAGGATTATTAATAATAAGACAGATCAAGCCCAACATACATGAATATTGATAACTTCAAGTGAAGCTAATCTTAATTTAATGTAAATTGCAATTTGTTAATTGGCCAAAAATTATTCATTGCAATATTTCATGTAAGCCGTACATTCAAGTGCATCTATAAGTTGATAACCGTGTCTTCAGGATTACTACATATCAATTAAATCAGAATTACATTTTACTGATGTTAAAACATTTTCTGGTCACAGCTGTTATTGTACCCCAGACTGCAACAATCAAGCAGTTTAAGAAAGCTTTTCAACGTCAAACATTACTCCACCTTAAACGTAAAGGAGAATCTAGGCGAATTAACTGGTAATATCACGGCATTTGTGCCAAACAATATATGATCAATATTATCGTACCTGCCTTACAATTACTATTTTTTACGCAGATTAAATTTTATCCTGCTGTAATTTATTAATCATTGCAGGAAATATTATTGGAAATCATACTGGCTAATCTATGAAGGTATAAAGCTTGAAAAAGACGACTCTAACTTGATAGAGTAAGTAATAATAGTTACCAGTCTGAAATATGTTAGCTTAGCCTGATGTTATACCGTTAATAATATGAACTAATCTAACTGATTTTCTGTATTCATGCTTACTAATGTTTACTGATAAATAACTGTAATAATCTATAAAGAATTAAATCTCAGATTTGAGCCCAGTTACTATGCTAAAAATTTATGCAGTATACTTCTTTTTTACTCCACAGCTATGGTATAGGAAATGGAGCAATGCTAACTTTCGCGAAAAGACTTCAACAGAAGGGAAGAGTAAAATCATATAATGCGCAATTGTGATGTATTTCATCTCTACAAGTTAAAAATTTAGAGCTTAAATTTATTAATATTGATTCATCTGTACATATGGAAGACTTACATACCTGTATAATAGTTGTAAATATTATGAATGATCCAAAAAATAAATCAACAAAACTAAGTCATGTCATGCGTAAACTGCTTATTATTTAATATTAACTTATTAATTTCGAACAACTGCAATTTGGTATGGCTATAATTACTTCATGGTAGAAATAATATGTTACACACGATTTAATTTAAGCGATTCTACCGTCCTTATACGCATTTGTAGTATCAGTTAACAAGGTATAGCTATTAATTCTATACAAAGTGGAATATCATTACTCAAGCTTCGATAATGCTACTTATTGATTTTTGTAAGGGAAAGTGTATAAGTACAAGAAATTCAACGCTTACTACTATAGCATTTTAATTGATAGATCACATTGTAATGCATGATGACGCGGTTTAAGCAATAATAACGAAATGGCCTACAATAATTTGTGGTTATATCGTAGACAGGCGATAAAATACGCTGAGCGATGTAAAATGTGCAAATTAATCCATACGCCATAAAATATATATGAGATTGACTCCATTTGTATAAGTAGATGTCACAATTTCACTTCTGCGACAAGGTAACGTACAGTACAGTAAAAGTCTATAAGTAGCTACTGACTTAAACGCCCTTTTACTTAACGTTAAACACACACAGCAAAAGACTGTAAAGATGAAGCTTTTATTAACAAAGATACATCTACAACTTTTTACCACCCTCAAAACTCAAATGTTCCCGTTTATATAGGAACCGTCTAATTTGTAAACAACAACAGTATTATTATTATACCTTACTAGGAGAATCATCTCGAACTAAGATGCTCCTTACATAGCTTTTCTATCAGTAAATATTTTGAATCTCTTACTCATACTTAATCTTAATCTAAGCTCGTAGGTTATCTAATTCAACTATCATCAACTAGAACTTGAATCATCCTACTGCTATCTATCACACAATAACAATCAATATCAAATATGTAATGAACTATTACAAACAACATCTACGTTAAGGCATTACTTATCTTACCTAGCACTACAAATATGGATATTCTCCATACTAGCTACTACTGTACTTATTAAACTATCCTAATGACAAGGCAACACTGTAACAGTAGATCAGAGAAAACTAGCACCCGTAATCAAACTTACTACTTGATGATGACTGATTTATCATACAGTATTTCTATTAAATAATTTACATAGCTCGTTCATATGATAAATCCTGTACAATTACCTAAATTTTTACTATTTAGAAATTTTTTATCGGTTTCAGTCATGCATATCTAGTAACTGTACTATTGTTGTTCAGATTGGACGTGCATTTAATCGTTTCAAAAGTAATCTGAAGGTGGGAGCATCTAGCCTAATTAATTTCAGAGATTACTGTATAAATCTTGTTAGTGTGGCGAACTAAGAGTGCAGTGGCCCTATTTATATGCAATTACAGTAGTAGAAAGATGTTGCATCGGCTACTCTGAAAAACTAAAAATATACATGATTATATAAGATATTCCAATACGATTTCAATTGTATGTATAATAAGTCAAAATTATTTTTAAATTGCTATCGCCGACGATTGTATAAATTACTCTTATATATACGCGTAATAATCAAATATCTTATTACCCGTAAAAATTTATTAAGTAGAATATTTTCAATAAGTAAACGCTTTAGACTCTGTGCAAATCCATCGTCAAATTGAGGACAATCTTCGGAAGTGCTGCCATAATATTACGTAATACAAAGATTTAAAATGATTAGCTGTTGCACTGCATAAGCGTGTCTTCCAATAGAGTTTTCATAGCTTGTAAAATTGCGACAGCTTTAATTCATCTATGAAAGGTGTTGGCTTTACCTATCCCTACTTTAAGTAATAAATGTAACCTACATTTAGAAGAATTAGTATTGAATAAGATGTTTTAATTACTGTCATCTATACTTATTGTATTTTACAAATTAACGAAAATGTTCTTACATAATTAAATTACCAATATAGATGATGAATTTTTTATGACGTAAAATAAGTTGAATGTCGTATATCGAACCCAACATATGGTTTGCGTTAACTTTTCATAAAGATGTATGCTATATTAGACAATTCTCAAAATTCTAAAAGACAGTAATAGAAGCTAAAAACTAATAAAACTTTTAGGTGAAGATACCATGCTGTACTCTAAATAATTCGTTGGATCCGATAACTTTTTGCATATCATGTCAGGTTATTGAATCTAACTTGCATTTTGCATATTATGACTCCGTATCTGCATAGATTGCCGACCCGTCCTCTTTTAGGCTTTGCCAAATTCTTTGTGCTATTTCATTTGTTTCATTTTTCTATTTCTATCAAGAAAGGACAGACAACGCTGCATTCGCCTTGCACTTTGGGATTAGGCGGTAAATCTACAGCTTTAATTGGCGTCAAACCTGGACAATTTCTAATAGCTGGATTGTTCGATGTTCACGATAATTACCATCCTATTACCAGGAAACTTCAATCTATAAATCCAAGAAGCCTACAGAGAGTACAATCTATGATTTATGCTATCGATGCCATTAATAATAATTCCAATTTATTGCCCAACATAACCCTAGGGCTATATCTATTCGATAGCGGGGGTAGTTCACAACTAGCTTTGACCCATGCTATAGATATGATACGTAATGATTTACAAAAGCCAAAAGCGAACGAAAAAATGTGCAACTGTATCAACACTGCTGCAGACTGCAACGCGATAACAAATCTAACCGATATTCATATGATTCAACAGACTTTCAATAAAAAGATCATAGGTGTTATTGGTCCTAGAAGTAGCAAAGAGTCTATAATTACTGCAACATTGTTTACTACTTACAAGATGCCTCAAATCAGCTACGCTTCTACTAGTCGTACGTTAAGTGATAAGTCAAGATTTGGATCATTTTTTCGCACCGTACCATCCGATACGTATCAAGCTCAAGCTATCGTGGATATTGTTAAATATTTCGGATGGGACTATATTGCAGTCGTATCAACAAATGATCAATATGGTAATCAACTTCGAGCCAAAATTGTAACTTTAGCATCTGAATATCAAATATGTATTGCAATCAATGCACAGTTTCCTTCACAGTTTCATGATCAAATTATTTCAGATATTGTTAACAGATTGGTTAATAATGTTAAAGTTAAAACAATTATCTTAATTTGTTCAGAAGCTGAAGCTAAAGTACTTCTGAAAGAAGCACAATATCAAAATTTAACTGGTAGGATGTGGCTAGGTTCCGATGCGTGGGGTAATTCTCCTGTAATTGCGCGAACGTATTCCGATGTTGTAATAGGCATGATTGGCGTTACATTACTGCAATCTAAACAGAAACTAAACAAATATCATGAATATTTAAAAACATTAAATCTATGTAATAATAATATCAACCCATGGTTTAATGAATATTGGTATCAATTTATGTCAGATAATGTTACTGATTATTTAAAATGTGGTCAAATGAAAAACTTATCTAATAATTACAGTATTGAATTTTACTCGAAGTCAAGCCTGGCAGCATATGTGATGGACGGCGTATATGCATTTGCATATGCATTACATAAAGTCTTGAAATGTAATAATATTTTCTGTCATAGTAGGATTATCAGACAAGAAGATTCTTTATTATGGCGCGATGTTACACAAAATCTTAAAAGAGTTCACTTCAACGGATACACTACAACCCAATTTAAATTTGATCACATGGGTAACAGCAGACCTAAATACGATATTTTTCAATTACAGTTGACAAAAGATAGTGACAGTAATAAAGCAGAAAGTAGCAAACACTTATATTTTAAAAAAATAGGAACATGGGAAATAAACGAAACTACTAATTCTTCTTGGTTTATGATTTCGGAGAATAATTTATCTCGAGATCATGTAGTATCATCTCGCTGTAGTAATGATTGTCAGCCTGGCACTCGACAATATATCACAACAAGTAAGTGCTGCTGGCAATGTTTACCTTGCCTTAAACATCAAATCTCCAGCAAAATAAACGCAGATACTTGCACAAGTTGCAAACGTGGTTCTAAGCCTAATAATAATCAGACGGATTGTGTTGAAATCTCACCAACTGAGAGCAAATTAATCGATCCGATACCACTTGTTGTTCTTATTACTACTGCAGTGAGCTTTTTACTAACCATCACTACATGGCTTATTATATTCAAAAATCGATCAACACCAATCGTAAAGGCTTCTAATATCGCTCTAACTTATACATTACTCTTTTTCATCGGCCTGTGCCATGTCAGCCCGGTTATGTTTATTCTACCTAAAGCCTTAGTAGGTTGTCATTATATTTTTCCAGTTATTCTACTACCACCAGCAAATCTTAACATCGTTATAATAAATAAAATTCGTATCATTGTTAAACTATTCAAGGATAAATCATTTAGTCGACAAGTAAATTTTTGGAATAGAGATATCGGACAATTTATTCTTATTATTGGTGAAATAATTATTATTAATTCACTAATCCTGGTGATCACAGCCTTAGATCCTGTCATAATCGAAAGATATGTTACTGAAGATAATTTAGTTTATTTTCGCTGTAAAACTCGATATGAACTTGGTGCGTATCTTTCCATGGCGATTTTATTAATTATCACTACAATATCTGCATATCTCACTTATAGAGCTCGCCATATCCCAGCACGTTTTCATGAGGCCAAATATGTCTCCCTAGCATCTTTACTCATCTGCTTTTTTACTTGCATATATATACCTACTATTATATTTGCTCATGGTCCAGTACAAAGCACTATCGGAGCTTTTGGAATGATAGGGTTAATTATTGGTATCCTTCTTTGCTTATTTACTAATAAGATTTATGTTATACTATTTGTTCCTCAAGTGAACAATAGGCAGAGAACTATAATGGAAATAAGGAATTATACGTTTCATAAAGAGTTAACTATGTCTGGAAGCCTTAATGCAATATCATGATTACATTTTTACTTCCTCACCTAATTGTATTTTATTCATACACAATACAAGTAATTTATTGTGCGCATGATATCTGATATGAGAGTCAGTAAAACGTAAAACTTCTAAGTATAAAACGATATTGGACAGCCGTACCGTTATGTTCTCTCGGGCGCTACTAGGCCAACCACGTAATACTAGGTTAGATACTGCAAAGTAGCCTGAAGCGTGGAGTCCACTTTTTTATTCTGGGTTGCCTTCCCGCAAGTGATATATATGTTATACTTATATTACATACGTATTAGTAAATTACTAGTGAACGTAATTCCTAAACATTACCTGTTTATCATACATAACACGTACTGATAGGAATGTATTAATTCGATAGATTACAGTTATATTAATATGCCTTTGTACTTATAGACTGTAGACGAGAGAGAGAAATAACTGTTTCAGAGAAGAGAACTTTATTACCCTAAGTCAGTCAGTTACAAGGTAGAGAGAGATATATATGCTGCTACACAGAGAAAGGATTCTGAACCCAACCCGCTAACACACATATACATATATGTAATAGATTGTGATCTAACACGGTTCTAGTTTATTACGTTATTGTAACGGTTCTGTATGCATTATAATCATGATCTATGCTGGCGTAGTGTATATGATAGTAGATAAATTGTTAACAAGCACCGCATTGTATGCAAAGAAAGTATCACGAGCATGGATTCGACTTGTATATATAAGCACAGAACGTCATGTAAATTTAACTTTATCTATGCTAGAAAGAATATTTTTTAGCACTTTATTAGATATCGGTTATACGAATTAACATCCCATATATTAAAGCCTCATTTAGTACAAAATGTGTTCATTTAAATAATACACTGTGGCACCTATGAATGTAACAGATTATACATAAGTGATGCACATTCACAAACACATACGTATGGCTGCATATTAAATTAAATATTGCAGACAATTTAAGAATTACGAGAAGTTTGTTCGACATTTTATAACTCTTCAATAAAGCCGTTGCACACTAGCTAAAATTGGTAAGGAATTTTATTCGATGTTAGGCAGGTCCTAAATAGTAACATATTACACACCTGATGCGCATTAATTTAATTATTACTGTATTGTAAATAACCAAACTGAAAATCGTTATGAATATTTAAAATCTTATGCAGGATATAAAAGTATACCAATAGACAATTAGTAATTAGAGTATTCCGTATTTTTACTCTATTATCGTCTACGTACAACTTTTAAGGATATCTGGCTTATCGGTCGGCAAACATTAATGCAAAGGGAATGTATAAAATCCAGAGAAGAGCCACAACATTACGGTCAATAGTTTTTAATTTACCTCATTACTGTGATATACTAGTCGAATCTCTTACTGAATTTCGGATAAATTACCTTATAATATTGATGGATAATGACGCCATGCCATATACACGTATTGAATACAGTATGTGCAGTATATTGCAAGTTAGAAATTATATGCAAACTGATAAGGAATGTTATTATACGATTCAGTATTGAATGCTTTATAGATACATAACTAGATGAGTAACAGCTATAGCAGATTATATAAATGCTAGTAATGGTGATTTAAGTGATGTTCATTCAATATTAATTTACTTCTAATGCTGATATGATACCCTTAATAAAGATGGAAAACTATGACTATACGGCGTTAACTGACATTATATAGCTACTTTACAGGTTTTAATTAAGATATTAAAGAGTGATTTCCTAGCACGAGTACATTACAGAAAAGAGCTCTTTTATGTCAAGATCAATAACTATAATTATAATGTAAGTCCACATTTATGTTAAATTGATGCCGAACTTTGTTATGAAGATAAATAAGGTTGCAATGTAAAGAAATGTGGAAATTGTTGATTAGCCAGCGTAATACTGGAAGGACAATTAAATTACAACGTATATACTCATTGAAATGCATGAAGCTTACAATAAGATAGCTATCTGTTTAAACATCAGCGTTTCGCGAAAAGGTGATAAAGCTCAATTAGCTGTACGAATATATGATCATGGCTATATATGTGGTAATGGCTAAACCTAACAAGTAATTGCATTTGACTTTGCTCCAGAAATGTTTGTCGGCATGTTCCTCGTATTCTCACGATGCTAACAGATTCCTTAAATGATAATCACTAAAATTGCTATAATATAATGAGATTACAATGCTTTAATTAGAACTCATTCGTTATAATCATCTACACCATAATTATACCATCTAAGTTTAAAAGATTCTATTCTTATGGCAATAAAGAAAATGATTACAAATGAGATAATCTTTTAATGTTATATTGGCGCTTTAAGCAATTATGATCAGGTTGTAGTTATTCATAAATCCAAGGCAGCAAGTATTGCAGTAATTAACTTTACATTATTTTCAATATATAATGTCTCTATAGTATTACAGAGAAAATATTAATGTTTTTATACAGTTAATGGTAATTAACCTTAGCGATATCAAGATAAGAAAGGTATACGAATAGACGAAGAAAAAGCGTTTTCTAAATGCTGTAAGTGTAATAAGAATAGACCTGTAGCTGTCCCAGATATACCGGATCAAATTTACTAATTTGATTCCATGTTACCACAGACGGCCTTTTTCAAGCAAAGTTATGCCAGTTATTCCTTATTCCTATTGGCTTATGATACATGATATTATAAAATCTCTCTACTCAATAAGGATTGAACTTGGCAGATATCCGCAGCGATACTCTTAGTAACTTTGCACTGCATATTAAGGCAATCGATTTTATTAAGTATACTAGGGTTAAAAGTATCATGATAAAAATTTTTGCTTTCATGTTAGTAAAGATGGCTTAAAGTTGGTTACTATTGATTGAAATTATAGCGCAATAAAAGCTTCCAATTTTATTGAGCAGTCCAACCTCCATCCATAGTTAGAGAAGCACCAGTCATTAATCTTCCTGCATCACTACACAAAAATAAGACTAATTCACCAAGATCTTTTGTTTTAACAAATTGCTTAGCAGGCTGTTTGTCAGCTAAAAGTCGATGTTGAGATTCAGTAATAGATATATTTTCCTTTTTGGCTATATTTTCAATTTGTTGTTCAATTAATGGTGTCAAAACAAAGCCAGGGCAAATAGCATTACAAGTTATTTCTGCTTCAGCTGTTTCTAGCGCAACGACTTTGGTTAAACCAACAAGTCCATGCTTGGCTGCACAATAGCCAGTTTTACCGACAGAGGCTACCAAGCCATGAACTGAAGCAATATTTATTATTCGCCCCCAGTTACTTTTCTTCATCGATGGCATAGCTTCTTTCATGGTGTAGAAAGCAGCCGATAGATTGATAGCGATGATATTTTCCCATGTTTGATCGGGGAAATCTTCAATAGGTGAAACATGCTGAATTCCAGCATTATTAATCAAGATATCGACCGATCCAAATGTTTCAATAGTAAACTGGATCATCTCTTTAATTTCATTCGATCGCAACATATTCGCAGGGTGATGGGCGGCCTGAACACCATAACCTTGCAGCTCTTCGACAATTTTGTCGATGACTTGCTTTTCACCAAAGCCATTAATAACGATATTAGCTCCATTTTTTGCTAACGTACGAGCAATATCAAGACCAATGCCACTTGTTGACCCAGTGATCACTGCATTTTTGCCTTCAGCCATGTTTAGTTAGTCACTTGAAGTGAAATTGTCTCAAATTATATAATGATTCTGGTCACTCCCAGCTTAGTGCCTCTGCACACTAGCTCTGCAAAAAGTTGTTGTCGGGAGGAATTTGCTGTGGTACTCTGTATCGTACCGTACAGTACGATTACTGTACTGTACTGTACGCAGTTTGATGAAAATTTGCTGACTACAACTTTTCTTCTACTATACTGTACTGTACAGTATTACGGTCAGGTCTAGTATTACCTAATCATATTAATCCATCTATTTCTGGATTCAGACGAAACTAACAACTCTCTTCGGTCGAATAAAACTATCATACTGTAGATAGATATACATGTTGTATGTTATAGATAAAGTTAGATAATTGGACAGATATCAACGCTGGGTTCATCGTAAGCGAGATTGATGGCTGATTCTTCTGAAGTTCAATTACCTGATATCACCCGTCGTTTTAGACTAACAATCATCGTCATTTTTAGCTGCTTGTATGTTGTATCTGCGTGTGCTTACGCCATTATAGCTCCATTTTTCCCTATTGTGGTAATGCCATGGATAATTAATTACATATGCTGTAGTATCGATCTGCTTTTATTTATGATTTATTTAAACTCTTTTGATACAATGCCAGTCTTGGCATTGAGTGGCTAGTAGTGATATCACTTCCATTTTCATGCGTTACAGGAGGCTTCTTTATGCAATGCGATCTACTATATTTATCGTACTGTATTATTTCTACAATTTTGCGTACTAGTGTATAAATTAATTAATTCTGCGTTCCATTCCTTTGTGTTCATTCCATTTCCTACGTGAACATGTACAGTACAGTACAGTAATTAACGAACGATATGACAGTTTCTCACCTAGACACCGATTCTGGATGGATACGAATACAAAGCTATATGAATGCATATAGTAGAAAGATTGCATAGAGTTATTTTAACCTCTTCCATTTTCTCGCTTGAATCCGATTTACTAAGTAAATACCCTGTATGCCAGTAATTTGACTAGCTGACAGTTTTTTTTGCCAATGCACTGATCTAGACACGTACAGTACATATGTGTCAATGCAAACTGAATGAATTAATTCCTTTTTAAAATTCTGTACCAAACATTAAGCTATACGCGTATAGTCGTATACGATATTTTCCATTCCGTTATTATTTTGATTTGATATCGCTAGGTATTGAACGTCTAGGTACATTGTAATGTTTACGATGTGATTAAAATGCAATACTCCATGCAATGTAGGTTTAGGATTAACCTATCATTCATTAATCAATTATAATTATTATCCTATCTTGGAATAGGCTGAAAAAAGACAAATAACACATGTTCAACTTGGGATAATATTCGTGGTGTATTCTATTGTGAAAGCCATCTTCTCACCTATTGTTGGCATTTTGGTAAGTAATGGATTGCATAGACTAGTAGAATGTCCATCTCGTGATTATTTTGTGTAAATGTACTGTACTGTTATCATACCGTAGTGTTAAGTACCTTGCTTAGACAATTCGGGAACATTCTAAACGTACGTAAAGGTACTACCAAATTAGACAAAAGGAGTTTATTCAAGTTATAACTACTAACTGTTCAGTAGCATTTCAATCAGAATGAAGTTTACTTCACATTGATATGAAATAGAGCTAACCTCAATAAACAGCCTCAATACTAATTCAAGGTATCACGGACGCACCAATTGAATAGCTAATAAAAGGGTACTGATTTATCAATTTGTAGTTACCTCGTGTTGGAGTTAGATATGTCTTGTGGGCTGGGTTAACCATAGAAGCCGGTAGCAGCATCCTTTTAGGGTAAGTTTATCATTGTCGATCTAAAAATTCGATGTTCAAATATCGTAAATTTCATATTTACCTTGAGAACCATAATTAATCTGCCCAGCCATTGATAGATTCAAATCAATCGACTATTTTGCTTAATATTGTAGATTTTTGGCAAATATATACGATAGAACATCGTTTCTGCTATTTGGTATAATTTTAAGAGGAACACAGGGACTCGGCTCAGCTATGTATCAAACGGCTGCAGCTTCGTATATCACCGTCATATGTCAAGATTCCGTAGCTACAGTATTGGTGAGGTCAAGACTCTGATACTTTTTAGTAGCAATATCTAGTAATGATACATTTTGAATTGACTGCCGCACTGGTCTCAATGCTTTCCCAAATTCATGAAAAATCAAATAATATGATAGCGCTTTTTTAAATCTTAATGTAGGGTGTTTTAGAGATTTTTACCAGTATAGGGTTTATGGTTGGCCCACCTGTTGGGGGTATACTATATTCGGTAAAGTAGTAGCACGCAACTATCTATTATGAACGCTAATACATTTTGAAAAGCATGAGATACAATGCTTGAAATATTTAACTATTTCTACATATTTCATAACTATATTATCGCGTTAAAATTATTGTAGGCGGGAGGTTTTAAATTGCCTTTTATAGTTTTATCGTCGATACTGTTAGCCGCTAGCTGTATTGTTGCGTACATGTTGCCTGCGATACCTTGTAAGTTTCGTTTTTTCGATAAGTTATTTCTTTATGTAGCTTAACTAAAATTGTAACTGTTATAGCAGTTTAATTATTAAGATTTATGTTGGTATCTTGTACATATATAAGCGTATAATCAATCGGTTTTATCCTAGCTGATAGTAAATCATCTCCAGGAAAGCTAATGTTGGATGTAATGCGTATTCCTCGTGTTATAATAATATGTAAGCAATACTACGTATCTTAAGCTTTAATAGTTGCTTAATTATAATGAATTCTATTAGGTAATTATAAGCACTAGATTCGATATTGTAGACAAAGGTGTGATCACGTAAACGCAAGTGTGTATAATAAAAGATGTTATTTATACAGCATACAGCCATGTGAAAATTGAAGTCTATGCTATTACTTTTTTATTACAATCTATAGAAATATTAGTGTGGTATTTTCTCTAAAAAAATACTACTATTGTTTTATCCTTCATAACAGGTTTTGGATTAGCTTTACTACTCACATCCATCACATTTACTGATCCTACCTTCACGCTGCATTTAAAACCGGTATTATAGTGCATTTTTAAATTTTCTTATAATCGTATTTGCGACTTACCAACTAAAGTTTGCTCGATTCTTAATATTCTAAAATAGCTCCATCTATCGAAAACCGACATTGGTTTGGTTTTTCTGTCACTTGCTGGTGCCTATGGAGTATTTTCTCCTCTTGCCGGATATATTTGTGATAGAATAGTAAATTTTAGATATTTTAATATAAAGTGCTCTCATATATCATCCACATTCGCGGAATATTATAATCTTGTACATAGATGGGCTCTGTATGCAATATACTTACCATATTTTACCGAGTTCTAAATCGCAAGAATATAGAAGTATTAATGTACTGTGTTACTGTAAAAATTATATTCCTCGAATATTATTTTTGAAAGGGGTATCGAATGTTAACGATAATTGGCTATTTGGGAGCGGCTATATCCCTACAATTCTTAGGACCAGCACCATATTTACATTTACCATTGTATGTAAGATGTAATGTTTATTTGCGAGATTTTACAATATGATTTACCTTAAGGCAGTTAGGATATACTTATATATCTCATTGTTTGCTAATTTAGGACCGTAGCACAATCTGTTCTGGCAAGTATAGGTCTTGGTGCAGCGTTCTCATTAGCGGCTATTCCATCTTTTCCAGATATATTGGAAGCAGTATCAAACAGGTTAGGATAAAGACATTTAATAAGTATTGTAGCAAACTCATCACGGTACACTATCAGAGATTATACTAATATAAAATTGCCGGTATCATAGTCGCTATTGCCAAGACAAGGGACAGTTGGCTACATATTCTGTCACGTCAGGAATATTTAATGGATTTCTGGGATTAGGGTAAGCCATCCTTTACGTAATAATACTTTGATATGGCAAAATAAAGATCAAGAATTGTTATTTGAAGATGTAAAGTGTGCAAAATTATTGCTATATGCAGGCAAATACTTGGCCCTCTTGTTGGAGGTGTCTTTGTGGCCAATGCCGGAGTAGACTTTGATTGGGTTGCAGCTGTAAGAGTTTTAAAATTAACTTATGATATGATAAAGTCATAATTTTAAATTTTAGATAACAAAGCGTTACAAAACTAGATATTTGTCATCATACAAATATTGTAAAGCAAAATAGAATGATAAGCAGCGAGCATCACAATAATTACGAATTTAAAATTTCTCTACCTAATTGATGTGTGGATAACAAATCTTGAAATTATTGAGGTGATTTTTGTAATGCCTTATACTTAATGTTATTTTAGATCCTTGGATTCATCTTTTTAGCTCAGGTAAAAGTATATGTCAGTAAGAAGTTATGAAAATATTACTGTGATATAACCGATCACAAAATTCTAAAATTTGTAGAAAATTAGAATTTTAATTGATTTTTATATAGAGATATACTACGCTCTACTTTAGCTTAACGTTAGTAACTAGTAGAAAGATTTTAAGAAGAACTACTAAAACATCTAAAAATTGCTTGCTTACATACTCTTCGTAGTGTCTGCGGCTACAGTAATTAGCGTTCTACCCTATCTTGCGGTATATAAGTGTTCAGGTTATTATTAATATGCGTATGCTACCGTGATCACTTACAATTTGTTATGGCAACAGCTACGGTTTTTATGCAGATATCATTTTCCGACTAGCTACAGTAATGATCATATCCATAACTTAATATATGAGTCACATTTTTATTTCTATCAGCATCAGTTGTGACTAAGGTACCGTATATGGTCATCTGTACTTTTAACACAAAATCTTCATCTGTAGTCCATGGTTATAGGCTATTAAACATGCCTTATGATAAATTTAGTAAGCTACTCTATAGTACGTCATGTGAAACATGGCTAATAATTTACAATTCTAATACTCGGTTTAAAATTACCTATCTTGCATTGCCATTGTTGGTTTATAGATAATTCACAACTGTATTGTGGGATAACAGTTTGATAGATTGTTATACGTACATTTATTTATTCATAACAGATTAGTTATAACATTATAATTGTGATTATTCACTTTAGACGGTTGCAGTAATTATTTTAACTCTATGGGAAGGTACTGGCTTCTTCAATATTAACAGGTTATAATTTCATCAAGCTATTAAGTAACAGAATAAGGTCATGTTAACGTTCTGTCTAGTCTTTACTTATTATCTACTATATTTGATAGGGCCTTACCGGAAGATAAAGAATCAAATAAACCTACCGGGAATGATAATAACGATGATAATGAATCAAAACCGTTACTTGCATGATTTGGACGATGAATAGGTTAAGGCACTTATTTATTAATAGATCAGTTCATGATTTAATGTGTCGATTAAACTAAGTACCACCCTCAATCATCGTTCAAGGGGCATGAAGTATAAATTATTTTACTATTTTATGTATATGACAGTGTTATATACTGTATTAGAGTAGAAATATCTATGTCAGGATAATTCTGTTAGCCTATCCTTATTTAGTTAACTTCTAATTTGGATATACATACTGTGTTTTAACATAGCACTGACTTTTTATGACAGTGAAACATATACACATACTGAAATTAATAGTTATAATAGGGAATGCAAATCATCTACTTACAGTTCGAATCATTGTGATTGTAACTTAATTATGGTAGATTGTAAATTATCGTAGAAATGTTCTGTAATATAGTTTAGCACTATGCTGTCAATGCACTGTGCGTAATTAAATCAGCATAATAAATAATTAATGAAGAATACCAGAATCTGTGAATGTGTTTGTAATGTAACCTTCAACACTAGTTGAAAGAATGAAAACAATGCATTACATACTTACATAGCATGCAATTAAGAGAGATCAAATTAAGTAGTTAGCACTAGAACAGAAAACATTAAAATATAATTTAAGTCTTCTTTACCTTACTAATCAGAGCTAAATGACGAAGTTAAAACGGGCATGTGCAGATAATATGTAAACATGATCATTAGTATTTTCACGCATTTAATAGCTAAGGTTTAAGTTTGGTAATAAAGCTGTATCAGCGAGTTGTTAATCTAGTTCTGGAAACCATAAATTTACAGCATGATTTCAACAGAGTAGCTATTGGTACTTTTTATTGCTAGCTGTATGGTTATCCTTGCTACTTTTATAGTTACTGCGTAGTAAATACTGTAAAAACAGACGCGGGTGCAGAACGACAGCTTGAATACTAGATCTAATCTATTACGAACAGAGGCAACTCTCACCTAATACATTTCATCATCTTACGTTAGCTATACCTTAGATCTAATACAAGGTACTTCAAGGTTAAGAGATGACGGATTCTTCTGAAGCTGACACATAATTTGGAATGGTATTTACAGGGCATTATATGTACAATCAAGGTTATATTATTTAAATCAGTTATAACTATAGAGCTATAAATATCAATTGGTGAAGGTTATAATTGTAGAACGAGATATTATAGTAATGAACGATAATAACAATAATTACTTAATCACGAATATTAATGCTCAAGATCGTAAATATCAACGAGCTGAGATCAGTAGCATACACAATCGCTTTTATAACAACTGCAATAGTTACAATTTTAGGTGTACGTAAATACTTGTATCGACTTACCAAGAGATGAGCATGATAATTATATATATAATTGACTATGAACTTGAGCGTTTCATATTATTTTTATTATTATATTGCATTACAATTTTAGATCTACGCTTATATTAACATTTTGTCAAACAATACGGTAATTGGCTATGAACTAAAACTCTGTATAGAATAATATTAACAGTACATAGCATATTTTACCAGTTTTGCATCAAATTACGCTATTTATAACCATAGATCAACACGCCTCTTAGTGAGATAATCGATCATTATACCCAATACAGAATTGCACCGACAGATTGTGATATATCAATTCATCAGTATATAATAGTTACTGCTTTGGATCTGTACATATGGTACGTAATGAAGAAAATTATAGACTACTAGCCAATTCAATATAGAGTAATATGATATTAATAAGTAGTTGTATACCATAGGAAAAAAAGATCTATTATCTACAGCAGAAATTATAATAACTGATGGGTCACATGATTGTAGCAGGCGGTCTGAAAAAGAGGTGGAGCTTCAAACTGATGATTACTGCTACGTTTTAAGTACTCGATGTTGTAGCAGTGATAGAGCAGACTTGCTATCGCATCGACAATTAAAGTGCAATTTGATCAAGATTTCAATTGATTGAAGATTATAGGCACCCTGAATAGACTCGTGTTACGTCTATAGCAAAGGCTAAATCACTCAAATATAAACCCTTGTAGTAGATGCTATAAGGATCGTTGTAATTAATATATACTCTAATTGCTAATATGGAGAACATGCTTGTTCTTATGTAAGACTAACTTTAAATTAAGTTATTGAAATAGTTTAGAATTTAAGAGAGATATAAATCTAAACTATAATACGAATGGTAATGGAGAAAGATGACAGTACGATGGCTGATAATGTTCAAACTGAGGGAGTAAACTTAACATTACGTAGTAGACGAACGATATTAATTGTATTGAGTAGTATATATTTTGGTACATCCGCAGCTTACTCACTCCTTTCACCATTTTTCCCAGAGGTGGTAAGTTGCTTAAATTAAAAGTATGCAATAATTGTAAATGAATTTCGGTATTTATTATCGATGGAAAAGCAACCTGTACTTCCAAATTTTACAGAAATTGTTGTATTAATTAATATTAAGATGAATTATTAGAACATGACGACGGGCTTTCGACACAGTATGAATGTCTCTTCCGCTATATAGGATGATATACATATGATAAATATCGCGATCGTTAGAGGCAGATCTGTGGGTTTCTAATTATACAGTTAGGACAGCTGTTAATAACAGTTAATAGTCTAGGATTAAATTATAAATAGGGATGGATTAGATCTTCTTTTGATTTACATCCGCATTTTGTACTATTTGTGCGGTCGTTTTTAATTAGATCTATGGATTAGCATGAGTTATAAATCAAAAATAGTAGCGAATATACTTGAAGCATATCCTGAAATGCCGTCAGACTCTGCTATTATTTACTACCAATTAATTTTAAACATGATGATAAAGCTTGACATAAACGCAAATATTACACTCATATCTTCAAATCTTATTTCAACAATAATTTTTAATTTTTTCGTGCTTTAATATTCATTATAATTATTTACAACTCTAAAGTATTGAACTAGCAATACGGTTTCATATATGAATTTATTTAAAATTAAGCGAAGGAAGTATTTTAGCAGTATAAAATATTTAACTTGTTACTATATCTGCTCTGTAAAACCTTTTGGAAATTCTTGCTGCCTATTTTTGTATTGAGAATATTAGCGTTTATCAATCGTAACATTTTATTATCACGTTAACTACACAAGCATAGCTTAGAACATTTAAAATTTGTTAATTTTAGGTGAATATTGATTAAGGATATATGTATTACATTTAGCAATAGTTTATCATGTAGCGTAACAATAAGTTTTAACAGTTTCAAATGAAATGATTAATTTATTATGCAAACCGTATAACCATTACAACCTAAGCTGACTAGCTATTCGTTAAATAGGCTCATCAAAGGGGAGTGGGAACTGTCTATATTGGCTTAATATTTGCAATCTATCCACTTGCTAAAGGCCTAACATCGCTAGTAATCGGAGTAATAGTAAGTTATATAATTTTGGCGATACATGAATTAAACAAGCCAAAGCAATGAAAATTACCTTAAAAGCACATAAATTCTATTTTATTTCGTATCGTAATAACACTGTTTAATTAAGATAGCTATATTATGATTTTTAAATATCTCGTAAATTAATTAAGGTAGGCGACAAATAACAATCATAGGTAATTTATCTAATTGTTGGGCTAAAATAAACTGTACTTACTCATAAGCTTGACTGTTATACTAGATTAAATACTAAAACTCAACTAAAAAATAATAATCAAGTTACCAGCGCAAATTTAATAACGCGAAAATCCCTTTAATATCACATTTAATGTTAAATTTCGTCGACCTTTTCCTTTCAGCTACCCTACGTAAGCATAGTCTATCTGTTATGGGCTGGCCTATTTTTGGAAGCTTGTGGCACAATGATATTTGGGTAATTCATCTTATTCATTTCACGACTATCACAACCTAATAGCGAGGTTGTTTTTAAATTCAAATGCTTAAGTGTCCAAAAATTGATAAATTGAAATAATTCGTAGCAAATGTATTAATAAGTTATAAATCCAAACTAATAAATATTGTATAAATATTCTCAATGTTTATTAGATTTCTCCCTCATATTCTTGACACGACAACATTTATAGTCTTTTGCTTCGTTACAAGATGGATTCAAGGAATGGGTGCAGCATCATATCAAACATCTGCTTATGCTTGTGTAGCTTCAGTATTCTCAGATTCACTAGCTACAACTATAGTAAGTTATGATGTAGACATAAGTATTATAATGCAGCTTACAATCTGCCTTACATTTACAGTACAAAGCAAAGTAGTCGAAATCTTGGCTAGCCATAAAATGCTACAGCTTAGCATATTGATCTCCTAAATGAGAAAATATAGTTGTAGTGTATCGAGGTAAAATCGTTGCTCTAGAATAATATAAGAATATTTTTGGGATTAGAAGTTTGCTAGATGCATTCTTAATATAATTTTATACTCACATATAAAATTTATACACTGTTAATTGGATGCTATATTTACAGTTGATACCATATATCCTTCCTACTTTGTACTGAATCGTGATGAATATAACTTAAATTTTTCAATTTAAATTAAAATATGATTATGTATGTGTTTAGAATGTCAATGTATCTTGATTGACTTGTAATATGGTAACACTATTAAGTGATCATATATCGTATAAGCAATAATTTCGGCTGCTGATTCTAAAAGGAATGACTTCATATAACAGCCTAATATATCAATTAATTTATAAATTGTAAAATATATTGTTACCTAACATTTTACTAACTTTTTGACCTATTTTGGTTATATCTACAAAAGGGAATATTGGAAACCTTTACAAGTCTAGGCTTTGTAGCAGGACCTCCTATTGGCGGACTGTTATACAAGGTGACTATCTCAACTTATTAGTAAGACTAGTAAATATTACTATCTTACAGACAGAAGCTCCGTATAGAATATTCTATGTAAATATAACCTAACATATTTGTTAATCGCAATTGATAGGCAGGTGGTTATGAGTTGCCATTTGTTGTTATAGCAATATTTTTGCTTATAGCTTCTTGTGTTATTGCTTTTACAATGCCGCGGATGAAATGTAAGTAGAATTGGATTACATTATCTAACTCTGCAAAGGTGTCAGTCAGCTTTACCAAACGATAGGGTACATTTACTTTCATATTTAAGCGTTATAAAATTTTCAACACCATGATTTTGTAATGTAGTCCTTAAGCTGTTTTAAGATTAAGGTTATAGAATTATTGGAAAATAGTTCAAGTTGTGCTTTAAATTGTATCATTGAGCAACTCTCTGTACCTGTACTGCAGATTATATTTACAAGTGCGTATTATAGCTATTCTACCGCAATGTTACCTTAGGATTCTGAGATATTTCGTGACAGACTATGCTAATTAATCAAGTAATTAGTATTATACTATAGTGTATGTTACTGTTAAGCAATTATTTCACAAGGAATGAAGAGCGATGCTTTAATTGGAAGCGCCACTTATATTAATGAATTTCAGGATAGTAAAATTGTGGCTCCAATATTGCCACTTTTATGATATTAATATGCTACTGAAAATAGCCTCTAACCTCTTATATACACTATAATTTATGTATAGCCTATTTTAATACTTAACCTATAACACAAATAAATAGCGGATTCTATAGTAATATCTAAATTTTAAATAGTTAGACTGTTAGACTTGGAATAGATACTAGTAGTCCTTGACAATTTGGTAGATAAACTAATTTATTTGAAAATATAAGGAAATCTTATAAGAAATCGAAGTTCCAGTTGTATTATTTCTAAGATACTTTATCACATGTCATAGTTGTAGAAAGCCTATTAGTAATCATAAATAAAAGTTATGCACCTTTTTTTCAATTAGATAACACTACGACCTCGCCAGTTCATCTCCTAAAGCGCTTAATTTGTTCTCCAAGCGTAACTATAATCTGTATGGCTGCTTATAAAACAGCAAAGCAATAATCAATAGAAGATATCTGATAAATACAAATATTTCTCTTTTATTTCATTAAAAGGATCTATTAGATTATTAAATGTTTTTGTTATTTTATAGGCATTCTTACTACTTAACATATTTCTTTGCTTCATTAATAGGTTTCGGTGTCGCTTTATTTATTGCCAGTTCTGGTTTTATATTCCCACTACTATCATTGCACATAAAACCGGTAAGATTAGTTAATCAACTATTTTAATCAAATTTTTTCTGCACTACCAGTAATTTGATAGCTTAAATGTATCGAAGCAAGTGATATTATCATGATTTGTTTAGCTCAGGCTGACGATACCTCAAATTGGACTTGTATTTCTAATCTTGCCTGGAGCCTTTGGATTGTTCTCTTTCGTTGCTGGAATCATTGCAGATAAAATCGTAAGCCATAGTTTGCTACCTTTGCTCTATTCTCTGCAAACTCAAGCTTTAAGTAAGTTTAAGATGCCATACAGTATAATTCTTGATAGTAAACGTCCAAGAAATGTGCAAATATGAGGTTCTAAACTGCCTTTAATTCTGTATAACTGTTATCATTGTATGATGTGTATAACTGAGTCAAAAATGCTATCGTTGCCCTGTGGTATTAAGCTGATCTTACATGGTTGATGACTTATGAACGTTATGAAATGATGCAAATGTTTTTATATTTGCTAAGAATTCCCGGCTGATGATGATAATTGGCTATCTAGTGCTTGCAATTGGTTTACAATTCCTTGGACCAGCAACATATTTGCCCATTCGATTGTACGAGATGTTATCAAATTGCTATCATACGTACAGCTGATATCAGTATATACCTGCATAAAGGCGGTTGGCAGATATGATTAATTACTGTTATGTTTTTATGCAGGAGTGTAACGCAGACTATATTAGCTAATGTTGGATTAGGAATTGGATTGGCTATCGCCTTTGTCCCTTCTTATACTGACGTGTTAAAATCAGCTAGAGAACGGTATAAAAATTATATTTGTTTATAATTGCTCGTATTTAAGTAGGAGACCTTTATCAGGAATAGCTACAAAAATTAAATTATTTTTAATTTTAACGAAAGTTTAAACAATTTTCAACAGTTTTGGTCAACATTATGACGAATTTGTTATTAACTCCATTACGTCTGGACTTTTTAGCGCCTCCCTCGCAGTTGGGTAAGTGTTGTAAAACTTCCTAACATCAGATTTGTAATTATCCGCACAATTACAGTATATTTGGTGCACTTTTATTGCCCAAAGAATTATTAATACTATCTTCTTAATTCTATACATGTCCTAATTGCAGGGCAGGTTTTCGTATTTACAACATATTACAGTTATAAGATAAAATTTTAATCTTTATTTATCGTAAGTAAAATGTCGTTTGTGATCTATTTTTGGATTAATATGAAGTCTATAGTCACGATGTACCACTATATGCATACAGACATAGTAAGATCAATATGAGAATTTTTAAATCTGATATCTAAATACTTCATGGCCTTCAATTTGTGCTACCATTACTGTCTCATTTTGCACATGGTTATTGCAAGATAAATATACCCAATTCTGATATCTAAATAAGTTTTAGCTTGTAATTTGTACTACCGGTACTATTTTGGTTGTATAGGGCATGATACAATAGATGTACCTAATATCAAAATCTAGATACTTTTAGCTCTATAGTTTATGTGTCTTTACATTATCATAAACGCAACAATGATAACGTATGGTGGATAAATGTGGCACTTTTGTCTATGATTAAACCTACAGCTAAGATCTGTATGATATCACAAGTGCCTGTTTTATCAATTTTTTGTGAAAAATGTGATTAAAATCGCTACACTGATAATGATTAATAATAATATAATATGGTTAAGTATATAATCAGATTTTTAGTAACAATGCCGTATTTTTTATAATCATTAGGCAAATCATTGGTCCTGCAGTTGCTGCAGCCGTACCTAACGTTGATGTCGGTTTCGATTGGGCTACAGCGGTAGTTATGCTAACTTAAATCTTTAATTAATAATGTCGATAAATTACTTACATTAGCTATATGCAATCTTAGTACCTGAGCGCTTTATATGGCATAAGTAGACAACGTGCAATACGCATATCTAGTCTATCTACTGTATGTTTCATTATTGTGAATGAGTAAGGGATTCCAGTACATACGTTGTAATAGCATAGAATTATTATAGTTTGATCCAATTTATTGTTTAAGCAGCGTAATTATAGATCATGGCATATAATCTGTAAAAATAACCGGGAATTATTATTTTTTTTATGACGTTCAGATCTTTGGTTTCGCCCTATTCGGCCAGGTGCGTTCAATATTTAGACTGATTTGAGATAAGATATTATAATATCAGCATAAATTTTCAGCTGATCAAAGTTCTTGATTATCTGTCTTTTGAAGAAGGCTGATTAATAACATAATGAAATGCTAGTTATATAGCAATTTATACACTTGCAGTTAGACATTATTGATATTAATCTTTATTGGAGTTGTAAAGTAATCTCGGTAACGAACTATAATGGCAGGATGATGATATCATAAATTTTAACAAGGGGCTGTATTGATAGGCAATTCTTGTTATTATCTTAACCGTCGTGGAGAATACTTTCATGCATCAAGCAGCAGGGTTAGTTTATCCAAGGTTCTTTTCCGTAACATAATACATAAGTAGGTATACCTGTATGATCTCCTTTTATCGATATGTGTCCATTAATAGACAAGCATCTCATGCCAAGGAGAATGTCAACAATAAAAGCATTGACTCTAACGTGGATAATGAAGAAAGTAAACCATTGCTAACATAATGATGAAGATAACGGTGATTAATCTGATTTAATACAATGTAACAGTATCGATATACACTATAATTTTCAATTTTAAGTTAATTTCAATTAAAAATTAAAAAATTACCGAATTATGTTGGAGTTAATGACCATAATGGCCATGGTGCATATTTTCTCGAATTAATTGGATATTTAATTCTAACATTCATGAAATGACTATTTGAGAGAAAAGTAAAATTATTTTTCGTATATTTGGCACGAAGTGATAGTCTTGGAAGAAATTGCTTTATTCTTTATTATTTATACATTTTTAGATACATACTGTATTGAGTATATTGAAGATCTTACGAGGGGCTCTACTTTCCACTACTGTAGTGTTGAAAGAGACAGGAATAACATACAAATGAATATATGTGCACTTGTCGAAGTATTATTGATATTTTAGCTTTTGGTGATTCTTTGCACTGCTAATTTAACTGAGCAAAAAGTAATAAATGAAAATACATCAAATATTTCAAGTATTGATATTTCTACTTTATTATTTTGAATTACATGAATTATGCCTTAAGCTCCCATGATTGAGTAACATGCTACTTACCAACAAGTAAGGACGCAAGTAGCGTAATGTACAGTAATATATTCAGTTCAGGATTTTATAATTGGAACATCGACATAGCCTATATTCGATATCAAACAGTGCAACTAAGCAGGAAGTCTTAATGTTTTATTGACAGTATTGTTACAGTATTTGAAAATTTTTAATAACGACAAGGGCAATCATGCATAGTTGCTTAGAATATCTATAGTAGTGATTTTATTTTGTACAAGCTAATTGCCAATATAAAACTTAGCTAACTTAATAAAGAATGCATGAATTCCACTGATCTATTCTATGAGATTTACCCCTATACATACTTGAATATCATTATATATAATGTCTTTGACATTGCAGTAGGCCATGAAATCGTATGTCTTGCGTGCTTAGCATTTTAAATCTTAGATGAAGCTAGAAATGCAGCTTACTACACATTCATGATAATTTTTAGCATTGAGAATTAAGTAAACGTAGTCTCCAAGTAGCATTGCACAGATTCAAGAAATCCAATTTGCTTATAATTACAGTACTGTCACACACCACTAGTGACAAAGTAGTCTACACACGCCAATCCTTGCGGAGAACGCCACTTACTAACTTAAGGAGGCGAGATTAGCTATATCACCAAATAATTCAGTTCCAACGACCGAATACTATGGTACAATTATAGCGTCACAGATGATGTAGACGAGATAGTCAGAGATTTACTATCATTTATTACTGAAGGAATCTTGGCACCCAAGATTATAGTCTTTACAATTAAATATCAATTGAAAAACTAGTTGACTATCTAACCGACTAACGAACTAAAAAGGAATCTTCAGGCACCAGCCTTTTATAGTCTCGTCAGAAACTCCCGGTGCACATAATATAAAAGTATCCTTTTAAAGTTATAATTAGGACGAGCTTACGCATCGTAACAAGTACATAATGCCACGGTGCACCAATACAATGACCAAAGTCATTTTTTACCTTTTTGAAAATTTACTTTTTAAGTTTGTGGTGATAGCATACCCTTTAAGATGACACCGCATAGGCATACATTAGCAACACAAACTATTTCGTGGAATATAATATTACAATCTGTATCAATTTGCACCTTCTTAACGGTAGGTTACGGCATGTATACCGTATAATCATAATTATGCAGTACATTAAGATTCCGGTGGGCAGAGCATCCACGGCTGCATTAAACTGCATGCTTACGACTGTAATCTACAGCTCCACTTTCTATATCTACTTTACGTACTATATTACGTTGTTATTGCACACAACCTTGCGTACCTATCACTATTAGACAGTAGAGCATAGAAAAATACTGAAGATACAATACGTCACTTTTCGACGTTGGCCGCAGATGAAGTAATATTCCCTACAAACGTCAAGTTTTCTGCTGTATGCTTACGATCGTAACTTGTAGGTAGTTTCTACAGTTTGCTCGATATTATGATTTATTATTACTAGACAGTATGGTAAAATAGGAGAGATAGAATACATAACTTGTAGAGTGTAGTCGTGGATGAACTTGCTTGCAACCGAGAGTTTTTCTACTCTAGAGGTAAGAAGTAAGAGGGGTCTTACCTCTATTTTATCTACTACAATATTCACTGCACTCCTATAGCTATTTTCTGGCAATTACGTCTCATGGCACTTTACCTTATGTGCTAATCACGACAGGAGACGGGTTATAGTGATAAACTGCAGATACAATATGAAAGTTATCCCTGAAAATATGCAACTTCCTTGCAATCAGGAGGATTTCTACTATACTAAAGAGTAGGATATTAATTAATTAATAATAATTACAATCACTACTTGCGAGTAGACCCCTCGCTCGTTATCCTTCGGCTATGCTCTACTTAGCTGCATGCACAATTGCACACTACACAGTACACAGTCTGACAAGGCTGAACGAAAGACGGACAGACGAAGAACGCACTTTTAGCTAGTTTCTACGGTGCAATAATGATCTCCGTGAATTGCACTAGTTCAGTATGTGGTAATAGGATAAAACAGCGCCCTTGTACTGTTTCTAGTATGAGACTGCAATTGTCCATTTCAGTCTGACAGTACACGGCCATTGCAACTCGATATGACTGAATATGGTGGAATACTCTACCAATCACTAGTGGACAGTAAGGTGAAATACTGGTTACAAAACACATCACTTTGATAGCGTGGCCTCCAATTTTTTTCTTGTCGAGTAAACATCACATGATGAGCAAGAGATTCCTTCGTCATCATTCACCGCCCATTAGCTCCTTCATATATTATTATTTTGAAAGAATAAATTCTACCCCAATTTACATGGAAATAATAGTGTCTGAAAGTATAATTTCCATTATAATTAATACTGGGTCATTATAGATATCAATCCAGTTGGATTGTTGGATAGTACAATACGAGGACGCGTATATTTTTGCAATAAATTCCGGTACGGTAAAGTCTACTCTATCGCTCCTTATGATCTCGTTTAATTATAGCAACAAAATTATTTTATCATCGCTAGTAGTACTGCACAGACAGACTAAGGTACAACATAATCAAATACCAAATTCTATAGTGTCTTCTTACAACATGTATATCTATACAGTAATACGAGTAAGATGACGTCGATAGGGTGATTTACATAGTAAATAAGTAGAATAAATAACTGTCACATTCTTATCGCAGATAATATTGCATTTGCCGTCCTTTTTCACCTATAGTGCTAGTATTAATTCACTCGATTTTGAATCAATTGTAGTCAAAATTTATATCGTACCTCAGCTGACATAAACATTATTAGTCATATCTTTCATTTTGCAACAATTTTAGTAAGGGAAATATCGTTTGATCAATATTTCATACCATTAATTATACCGCTTTTTATTGTTAGATAAGCTATTGAGTTAACGACTGTTATCAAGATATTCAATGTAACTTCTGTTCATCGAGTGTCGACGTCAAGCATTCTCGTTATTGATTTAGTTTTTACGTACTTTATATCACTTTTGAATATTTAGTTGAAGTACTACAGTATACAATTTGGTTAAATTTGGCATCTCAGATATTTTGTGCTTTCCAAGAATTTCAATCGAATATCATATTAAAATCGGCCTCTTAAATTAATTAGTTGTTGTAGTACTATTCTTGGAAACGATATTTATTCACCGTTCATAATCCAAAATACAGACCGAACTTAATGGTGATTATGCTTAAATTACATGGATAGAACCTTTTAGGCAATTTATCAAGGAATCTAATTATAAAGAAACGATGGCCTACTAGAAGTTATACCTGAGCGTGCAGTAAATTATTTTGAAATAAGGGCGCATCACTGTGAAGTTTTTACTCCAAAAGGATGGAAGATACTGCTCAAACTCAAGTATCTACAATATCTCGTCGAATTAAGATCATCTCTATTATTATTCTCAGCTGCACCTATGTTGTAACTGGATCGGTTTACGCAGTTATTGCTCCATTTTTTCCAACACTTGTAAGTAGATTACGTATAACATCACTTTCTTTATTTAATGTGATCGAACAGATACATCGGCTAACTTTAATAAAGATAATATTGAAGCCAATTTTATTTCTAATTAAATACGGTACCCTGATAAACAAGTATGCATACACGTTAACATTATTTTTACCAGAGAATACAAACTTTCTACCTCACTTATATCATTTATCACGGATAAAATCGTTGTAAGCATGAAAGTAATTAAAAATCAGCCTTCATTTTCCCTTCGATTAAATTCGGTTAGTTTAAGCATTTATTTACTTCTGGGCTACGAACAATTCGTTCGTACTTAGCTTAGACATATTCTGCACTTTTGAGAAGCTTTCACTGCAGAGATTACCACTATTGCTTTGTAAGTCCATTAGAAAGTCAACCCACTTGCCAAGAAGAACATCATCATCTGCTCCTAATATCTTGACACACTGTAGGAGCATTTATTCCATAATAAATTAGCCCTACTTTCTAATTTGATTATAATTCTTTTAGTGAGAAAAATCGAAAGGAAATGTGAATGAAAGAATGCAACTCTTCATGTTCTGAACGAATATGTTATTGCTAGGATAACTTCGAATAATTTTCAAACCTTCGATTGCTTTAAAGTTCTAAGGGATGAAATGGTTTTAACCACAACGTTATACTGTACTGTAAAGAATAGTAATCCAGTATAGCTGTCTCTATGATTATCACGTAATGACCAACTGCTGTAAAATTTGGCATTTAAATAGATAAATATGTCCACAAAGTCAATTATAAAATTGCTCTAGATGTGTGATAACATAGTTCCCCAAGTTCATGTAATTACCTTCGTATTTTCTGTGCCTTTAAAGAAAAATTGACAATATATAAGTTCTTGTAAAGCAAATGCATCATCATCAGCATTTAATATTACGAATCTTCTTTTTATTACGTTAGGCCGAGGAAAGGAATGTTACTAATTTTGAAATTGGTATCATATTTGCTGTCTATCCTTTGGTTAAACTAATCGTTTCTCCAATCATTGGCGCTTTTGTAAGCATTGAGTACTAAGAAATGGACTTAGCTTTACTGAAGTCGATCATATTTAGTCACTGCTAATTATGAAGAAATACTAAACTTTATAGCATTGCCAGCATAGCAATAAGCTTAAGCTATCGATAGTTTTATCAAATTACTCCTTAAACAATCAATTAAACAGTAGAAACGACTTTATTATTGAAGTTCGATACATTATTTTCAAAATAGTTCATGTAGAAGCTAATTTTTCACTCTAATAACACAGCATATCTTCTGGTCTATGCTAACAAGTCTTATCTATAGTATAAATAGCAGCAATAGTAAATAAGATTATACTCTAATCTAAAGTTGATTCATTTTTGATATTTTTTCAATTAGTCATTGCAGTATAGTATTTATTTAAAATTTAATCAATAATAATCATAGAATTTGGTGTCTTATAATTATTATTGGAATCTATACCTTATATAATTTCTGGTGTAAATTTTATTCTCTTTTTGGATAATAGCTACCCCACATTGGAGTAAAATATGCTCTCTGGGCTGGCATGATGATCGATGGTGGATGTACAATGGCATTCGGGTAAGTATTAAAAATTTCTTGAAATTATCAAGATAACTTAAGAGTTCTACATTATTATTTACTAAATTAGATCAATTTTTGAAACAAATACTATTTATGATTGCTATTATGCATACCTTTAAAACCAAAAGTATTTTTATTACGGTTCAATACTGGTGCAACATTGCAATCGTGAACATTTACTGACTCTTGCTAATATTCAAATTATAGATTTTTACCCGAAATTTTGGATCATGATACATTCGTAGCATTTTGTATAGTTGTCAGAGGGATCGAAGGAATGGGTGCAGCAGCCTATCAAACTGCTGGATTTTCATTTGCATCGGCAGTTTTCAAGGATTCCGTTGCGACTACACTAGTAAGTTCCGTATTTTAAATAAATTGCACGTTTATATGTTATGATGAATCATTTCTTTGGATCTATTTAATAAGAAGGCTATATTTTTGGATTAATGGTGCGAACATATAGCTAATCTTTAGTTTCATCACCGCACCTCAAAATAACGTAGTTGAAAAAATTTTTAGTTTTATGCTACCATGATGTATTTATATTCACTCTAATATAATTATAAATTTATTATTAGGTTTTTGCTTAAACAATTATGTAGTACCATATATTAGTAATATCAAATAACATAAATAACAATAATTACGTTGTATTTCATTTTCTCTACAGGGATTTTTAGAAATTGCAACAAGCCTAGGATTTATGGCTGGCCCTCCAGTTGGAGGCCTACTTTATAAGGTAACTATATCAGTTTTATCATTGTTATTCTTCAAATTCTATTTAAATAATCTCAAAATTTAGAAAATTAGCCCATGTCCTAATCTGCAACTTATTAAATGTTTCGAATAAAGGCTGGTGGCTTTAGACTACCATTTATCGTTTTAGCATCTTTGATGATAGTTGCCGGTATTTGTATCGCTTATTTCTTACCTTCAGTTTCGCGTAAGTATCAATAAATGTTCCTTAACTTGCTAATAATATATTGTGACCAGTTAGAACTCTTGATATATTTATTTAAAGAATTGTTTCATAATCTCTCAGCTTCGTGGTTGTATCGTAATTAATTTAGCTTCCACGATATTAATTTTGGCTTCTTTTACAGATGAAAGTAAAATTTCAACGACAGGATTAATGAAACGCCTTATAACACTCCCACGGGTGTTGATAATATGTAAATTGAATATAAAAAAGATAGAATGCAATTAAATCTTACTTAGATTCATGACAAGTTTTCTAAATTTTACTAGTAATGGATTCAGTCTTCTAATCAAAGATTCACTCATGATTTATGTCAATCATGATAGGCATAGGAGTTGCTCTCCACATTACCAGTTTTAGTTATTTAGATCCAACTTTGTCCATCCATATTGAACCGGTAGGAGAATCCATAGTCAAACTGATTGATATGTTTAGACTGTATTATTTTTATCGAATAGTAGATAACTATATAAATTATTTGAGTAATGATCAGTTTAATCTGTCAATAGTTTAAATTGTCACATCCACAAGTGGGACTGATCTTCCTTATAATACCGGCCGCATATGGATTATGTGCTCCGGTTGTTGGATATGTATCAGATAGAATAGTGAGTTTAAAGCTTAAGATTAATTTTAGGTGCTATAAGATTTCGAAAAGATATGATAAATTGTACCGATAGTATAGTAGGCAGTATCGGTTTTACTGGCATCTTACCGTAATTGATTGAGCTCGTCGCATTATTAAATTGAAAGGGTTTTCGAATATTTATTGTGCTCGGAAATGCTATTTTGGGAGTTTCGCTATTATTTTTGGGACCAGCTCCTTTTATTCCTGTAAAGCTGTAAGTAATATCTTTATCGTCTATTGGTAATAATCAAATATTTTCATATATGTACAACAAAGGACTCATTATCCCATATCTTATTCTTTCGCGTGCAATAATAATTACTAAAATAGGACCCTTACACAAACAATTTTGTCAAATATTGGTATGGGAGCTGGGGTAGCAGTGGCTCTTATACCCTCGTATCCTGATGTTCTGGAAGCTGCAAAGTCTAGGTTAGCATATAAGCACTGCAATACGATCATCTTATAATAAGCTCTTCAAATTCAATTTTCTCTATTAAAAAAACTTTGATTAAAACTAATCGTTTCTATCAATTTTTAATATTATTGTAATCTTAAAGTCGTTACTGTAGAGGCAGAGAAGATTTTGCAACGAATTCTGTCACGTCTGGACTCTATAGCGCTTTTATATCTCTCGGGTTCGTTCGCAATAGCCTATTCAATCAAGCTTTTACTTGTTGATACATTAACATGCACGTATATCATTTATAACCTTTAATAATAGAAGTTAATAGCTATATTATCCTCTTAATCTGTAACTAAATTCATTTTCATCAAATATGTAGTCAAATAATTGGTCCAATCGTTGGTGGTACGTTTACGTCAGCATCAGACGTAGACTTTGACTGGATTTCTACTGTAAGTAATACTAGTTATTGTTCAATTGTTAATAAAAATACAGCAGTAAAGTAGAGAATGGACAACATTAGCTACTAAGTATGACAGCACTAAATTAATGGCTAAATTGCGTAATTAAAACTGATATTGATAAAATAAGAAAAGTTCTTGCCGAGCATTAAAATTTTACAAGTGCGTATCTGATATTGAATAAAAGATTTTCTTACAATTTATCTAGATCATAGGATTTATCGCGTTTGGTCAGGTATGTAATTTACTTTATTTTAAATGTTTGAAGTGGCCATCAGAAAAGAGCATAAATCATTTACAGTTAAAAATTATTAATCATGTGTATAATACGATTATATCTATTAATTTTGATATTCTATATTAGATGGGTTTAGTAATACTATTGACGATAGTTGAGAAAATGGTAGATTCAGAAGTTCCTAGGTCAGTAAACTATTATCATAAATTATCAGTTATATTTTTCAAGGACTGTAAGGTATATAATGCCAAATCGAGGCCCTAAACGAGCTGCTTTACGATATTGAATCTAATTTTCATTCATATATTTTCCATTAGCTCTGAATTTGGCTCAGGAAAAGCTATAAATGGAATCAAAGCAGATAAAAATTTATACAATACGAAGCCTAATGAATCAAGCCCATTACTAACATAATCGAACTGCTATGATAGTTAAGTTCTTTGTGAAAAATTATAATAATGTATCGCATTCACGCATGTGGAGTGATCCACGTTTAATCTCAATATTCAATATTTTACATCATTAAATGATTTGACATATCATTGCTGATAATGATAACAAAAATAAAATTATAGTGTAATTGTTATAAAAACAAAATGTTCTAAGGCACTTATATACCAACGTATTTAATTGGCTATATTGAACTTAACATAACAAATAAACTACTTAAAGTTTTGAAACTGTGTTTTATCGGTTGTAAGAAAATCGATGCAGGCAAAAGTGCGAGGAAGTTAACATCATATATTAGTCCGAAAGCTCTTGACCATGAATAAGATATTTTTATTGCATTGTTGCCAATTAATTTTATTTTTGGGCGTATTTATTCTAATTGCTGTAGATACGGTAGCTGCCAAGATAATATCGTTTAAAAACGATATTATTCTTTTGTCTTATAAAATATACAATCCAACAGGTGCATTTGTTACTTATAATAAAATATCTAAAGGATTCCTCATCTATTAATAGCGTTTCCTTATAATGTATAATTCCAGGAAATACGTCAACAGGTCTGTAATCATTAAACAATCTGGAGTAACCTGTTTTGCTACTTTCAATTATCTGGCACTATATGACTATACATTACTTTACATGCTTTACTTTTTTGTGTCTCATTAACAAGAAAGAAAGGCAAAATTCGAGTATTGAATTTAAAAGAGTGAACAGTTTCATTAGTCTGATCGCTATATTTCAATAACATGATCATTCTGTAATAGACTTTCTTACGGACGTTCCTATATAGGTTAATCCTTTGCATTACTTTTAAGGTTCATACAGTAAAGGTGGCTAGAATTCATGTTCAGATCTAGTTTAAAATGAAAACAGGTAATAGGTTAAGATTGCGTATAACACAATCTCATACTTCAATATGTTTTACTCTTGTTGTTATAAAAGAGAATTTCCGTAACGTTAATAATTGCGAGGATACTATCGCGTATTACCGTACTTTGTTGTAAGGTTTATTTACGAGCTATAAACTCGGAGGCCGATGCTCTGTTCATACGGTAGAAATATTAACATGAACGAATTCTGATCGAGATTATAAGTCAATAGCCAGGTACAGTACCGTTTCATCCATAAAACTTATGATAGTCTCTTTTCGATCCCAAATAAAGCAACCAAGAAAGAGATCATAGAATCGTAAAGGATATTTAGGCAACTCAAGTCCTAAATAATATTACAAATGAGCTTACTGAGGTTTCTCGCAGTTATTGGAATTATACCTACTTGTCGACGCGGTAACTAAGAAGATTATAACTTAGATTTTTATTCTGCTTTTACAGCAATTCATAAATTCAGAAACTGAAAGAAGTTTGATTTAAATAGCTTAGGGGTATCCTATCAACTGCATGAAAGTACCGTAATATTTCTGAAGGCTACAAACGTAAAGCTATTACAACGAACTATCGCAACAACCAACCTTAACCGACGATATTCTCATCCTTATTACACATAAAACTCGAATATTTCCAGGGTATTTCTGAATAAAACAGTTATCAAGAAGTATCTTAAATTATTGCTTAGAATGGGTTTAATGTCTATAACTGTCTTCCGATGAAATCATGCAGTTATCAGTATGATATACGTATAACATTCTTAGTCACGCAAATTGTGTGAGTTCATCATCATAGTAGAGTGTTGGTGGATTCGAACAACTTTTCGGAGCTATTGATTTAACTAAACCTCTAAAGTGCCGAACCTTTTCTTATTAGGAAGTCGTGCGTGTTTAATATTTATCTGAAGGACTTGGATTGACTTAGGCGCAAACCGTCTTAAGGCAAGTCCTTTTATTTCGAAGCAAACGTGAAAACCGTGTACTGCGATCTATCAGGAAGTAGAACAGAAGCTTCTATTTAAACGAGCTTATAAATATCTCTTTAGCCCCCAAACGTTTCACTCGAATTTACAGTAAGCAAATATAGTACTGTAATCAAATGATGGAAAGTTTATCAACGGTCATAGGGTGCTAAATACGAGTACTGTACGTCGTAGTCAAATGCAATCGTGACGACGATGGCCGCCATGTTGAAAAGAAATCCTCTACTACTGTAGCTATAATTGCAGATGATTTTGATGATTTTGATACAGTTATATAATCCTTGCTAATTAAATTTTCCTGTATGATAAGTGTTTTATACGTCATAAAAAGCATAAAGTAAGTACCGTAAAGCGAATTAAAGGCAAAACCTTACCTAATTAAGAACTTAGACAATGCACCTTCCTATCCTACTGTATTATGAAGGACAATGGACGGTAAGACATTGCTACCCCAAGTTTAACTAAATCATTTTTATTTCTTTTAACGATAGCTGTTATACAGAATGCATGCATCTCATAATGCATTGATACTTCCTAACGTTTCATTTATAACTAGATACTGTAGCTTTATATTTTGAAGATTTATGAAACAACACTAGTGACAGCGTTAGTTGTTCTAATCTCTATGCTGTGCCCACAATATATTAGAGGATTTGCTCATAGAGTTAATAACAGTAAGTAGTCTTACGTGCCTTAGGCATATCCATTGTATTACGAGAAAACGCTATCCAATGGGTCAACTACATGTATCCAGGGAATTCCATGTCTTGCTAGCTTGTTACTGTAATCCTCAAGCGAGATTCAATGCCATATTTTTTAATAAGATGGAAACAATCTTTTCTGTTAAACAATACAGTGCATACAGGGATAGAAGAATTGATGAAACGTAATGGAAATTATAAAGATAAACAATGACGTTTATTGAAGAACAGTAGCACATCATCTTGGCCAACCAATTAGTCTAATTAATAGGACCAGCAGTAAATCCTCATGGGAATCTAAAAATTTGATGCTTTTATTATAAAAGAAGTCAAATAATTATGAATCATCGTTCAATTTTTAAGGGCGATTGTCAGTGTCTAACGTTATCATTTATTTAGTGGAAGTTGATCACCCATATTCGACAAAATCGAAGCGATTTGTTTTATCTAATGCTTTATCGACAATTAGTAGTTTCGGTAGAGGATACGTGTAAGATCGATATTTAATCATGGCAGAAAATAAAGCTTCTAGCGATAGTGATACTGCTAACTTGATCGAATTGAAGCAAGACGACAAATCGAATCATGAACCTATCAAAAAAGAAGGGATTACTGCTAACCAAAGATCGACATCATTAGTAATATTTCTTTATAATGCGGCGGTGGTTTCCATTATCTTTTCATTACTCTTTCCATTTTTTTCACCAGTGGTAAGTATAAACTTACTATAGGTAATCCATGCAGTAAAAGTTGACATCATTAAATTTCCAATCCAGTTTTAACTGTGAAATTAACAGGTCAAATGACTCAGCATAGTTAAGAATAAAAGTGCCAATTTTAGAGAAGATAATGATAATATCGTACATGTTGGCTATACTTTTAAGCTGAACTGACACTGTAAAGTGCGTTATATTGTTGAAACTATAATTGCAGGCTGACTGTATTTTCACTCCCTTATAATAAAAAATGACAACTTTTTCCTTTACTTAAGGCTTGGTCCATTAACGAATGATTTTAGGTTACAGTCAATTTGAAAGCATATGCATATTCTTTACGACAAAAGGTTCCCTACTTACCAATAATTAAATGGATGACCTACGGATATATTCTTAATCGTAGTAACATTAGTAAAATGATTACATATACACCTTAATAATTAAAATTATATATGATTCTGCTAATACGTAGTATCAAAATTCAATTTAAAATATTCATCTTCTTACCATTAAGTTAAACACTTTATACATTTTAACACTTTTATAATTATCGATCATGATTGCCTTTCAAAGTATCAAATGATTATCCAGTTTTATTTTACTAAAATAAGAGAAATTCATATTTCTGATAATCTTGAAGAAGAAAAGTATAACTGGAAACATATATACTCGTGTAATATGAATAAAAGATACAAATAAGAAATGTAATTTTCTCCCCCATATCATCACATATTACACTAGCACTGACAAAATCCTACCTCCAACGGCAAGGTTATTAAATAGTAGCATTTAAGACCATTCGTAACCATAATAAATTTACTACAACGAATAATTTTTCGCCTTTCAAATCTGCCTTATTTAATCCAATAATGTTATCCACACATGAAATCATTTTATATAACTTTTATAAAAGGTGTGAGGATAGAGGATTACTAATTAGCGATGAAATATATCAATACCGTCATATTACTAAGTGGCAAGTACTTAGCATTGAAATAACTATGAATACTGACACAAATAAAGCGCTAGAAAGTAATCTAATTTTTATAGGAAAGCGAAAACAACCATAGATAGACAATATCACTACGGCTTTATCATCAGCTTTCCGTAGCACTAGGATATTATATAATTGGCGAACTTTAAAATTTTGATTCTTACCCCGTCGCTAAGATCTTATAAGTTTTTCCACAAAGTAGTAAAAACTATAGCAAGTATGCTTGTGATGACAGTTTATAGCAGCAGAAATTATTCCTTAAAATTGCGTTGATATTTTAATTCTAACTCTCTTTACAATAGTGATACCTACCAGTACTCTTAATCAATAGAAAAGTTCTTTAAAGCTATGAAGTTATCATTGAAAGATTTTGTTTTTTCATAGAATAAAAGTTATTCATTTTGAAATCAAAATAAAGCATGAATATTATGATTTCTTTCAATTTATCAGGCTCTTAAGAAGAAAGTTAGCAATTTGCAAATCGGATTTATCTATGCAATTTATCCAATGACGAAAGTAGTTTTCTCACCATTGGTTGGTATGTCGGTAAGTTTTACATCTTGTGCACGTGATATCAGATTAATAACTTATGTTGAAGTGGCGAAGCTCTTTTACACACATTTACTATAGTATAATGACTTTATGCTAGTAATATGGTTTATTTCTGCGTTTCAATACGAGCTTCAAATTGAAGCTTATGATGATGATGCCATTTTCCATTGAAAAGGCTAATAAAGTAATAAAATACGTTTGTGGTACTGACATCCAATTAGTCTGATTACTTTTTCTTCGAAGTGATTTGTGCTCTTCAGTTTACGTTACAAAGACATACCCGTATTTAATTTACAACGTCGAATATGACTATACGGTTAAACTTAGATCATGATAGCCCTGATCCCGTTTAATTAAGTGGAGTAACATCATTAGTGCCGCAAGTGTATCTGGGTGAGACTATTTCATAAACTGCAATGTGCCTATAGGATTAATGATAATGATAATAGTAATTATAAATATATGAAGCCATCGCCATAAAAATATTACAAGGACTTTTATTGTTCAAGAAATTTTAATAAACTATAGAAAATTTAGATATAAGCCGGCTTTAAAGATTTTCTTACTCCCTTGTTTTCTTATTAATTTACATTTTGGTTTTAAATGTAATAAATACGAACCTCTTATGTAATTTAGCAAGATTTATTACAAAATATTCAAGTGACGAAATGTGAATGCTAACCTGTACATTTAATTCAATCTCTTAAAGCCAAAGTCACTCGTCTTACTTTTACCTCAATTATTAAGCAATTTATACAAGCATAGATGTCACATTTCTTAGTGTATCTTATCTCTATTTATGATTATATATAGATGCATAAAATAGGTTTAAAGTATACCATATGGATTGGATTATTCCTAGAAGGTGGATGCACTATTCTTTACGGGTAATTTATGGGAATATAATCTGAACAGTTTATTATTGACAATAATATTATATAGCATATTATATGTTGCACGCCCATGGTAATTGTATTATAGTTTGATATTAAACAGAATAATGACGCCTCTTTCTCAATTAGTAAAGGTGTAAACTATTCATATGGTATTAAATATTACATGATGCTGGTTAAAACATTCGAGATAACTTGAACTTATTCATATTTTATGATTATAACCGTCAATAGATTCTTGACGCTCATAAATGGCACTACTTCATTCTTGTGCGCCTGTCTGGTTGTCAGAGGCTTGCAAGGAGTTGGCGCCGGAACGTACCAAACCGCCGTATTTGCGTTTGTTGCTATCACTTAAAACTGGCAATATTGGACTCATTTTTCTCTTACTAATTGGATCCTATGGCCTTTGTGCACCTATCATCGGATGCATTGCAGATAAAACTGTAAGCTAGATGCGAAACTGCTCGTAAATCTGAATTCGTAGAATAAATTCTATACTAAGAGCTAAATACACCTTATTGTTAACAACACGTTTGCATTTTATGACATTCCTCGACAATTTTAAATTAATTTACGAACCAAATTGATTTTATTGCCAGGGCCATCGACTGATAATTATTGTTGGGTCTATTGCCTTGGGAGTCTCTTTACAATTCCTAGGACCAGCTCCTTATATTAACATTAAAATGTAAACCATTACAATCGATCTCTGCTGCCTTTAGATTTCTCATCGGTTATGGCGATAAAAGTATACCGGGTATCTTAAAAATTTTAATTTTTTTATTTCTTTCCCGTTTCAGGACGGTTCTCTCTAGTATAATAGCTATTGCTAGCATTGGAATCTCTGTAGCGTTGGCTACAGTTCCTGCTTTGCCTGATATATTACGCGGAACTACAGCTAGGCTAGTAAATGTACAAATGTATTCTAAGACCCAAATTAATCATAACATGAGTATAGATTTTAAAAATTATGAAAGTAATTTTATTGTAATGCCAAAAATTGCAGCGGGTACTGCAAGGAAGCCGACAGTGTGGTAGCATACGCAATGGCCTCTGGAATATTCAGCAGCTTTTACTGTATTGGGTAAAGCGATATTTTTAAATATTATCTTTTCACTGGCCCATTATACTTGTAATAATCACCATTAATGTTTTATTTCGATATTCAGACAAATTGTTGGCCACACTCTTGGAGGCGCCTTCGGACTTTCTTCTTCTCATGATTTCCGCTGGTGTTCTTCGGTAAGTACAGTACAGTACGCAGTGTTTGCTTTTATTTCTATTTCATATATACTAAATATACGAGTATATAAAGTACGTCATAAATAAATAATGACTTTTTAAAGCGACTTAATATCGAGTTTCAATGTATGCTGGATACTTAAGTAATGAAATACGATATCTTTTAACTCTTACCAATTCATATATTCTAATATAAATTATTATAGGCTTTAGGAATGTTGGCAATTATTCAGGTAAATAAATTATTTGATCTTCATTTTGCTATAGCAGCTTATCGTAGGTACTGCTTATTCTAAGAGTGAAATCAGATTTGCTCAAGTAGTTAAAACCATCAATATTTAATAAATTACCATCCTGTATACACACAAACCTACTAAATTCTATGCCTGTTAGATATAGTCATGTAGCATAAGACATATCTAGTAAGTATTTTTACTTATTTTTAATAATCTCATATCTACGAAGTAAGTAAATGCAATATTTTAATTACCGAAGTTTCCCTTTTCTAGTTAACAATATGAACATAATTAAATGTATAGCATATTAATTTTTTTTGCCGTCCATTCTTACCTTAAAAGATTAGATATAACTTTGTAGCAATTTTTCTAATTAATGTTATAAACAACTTACGAATATTTCATTTAGCATTGCTGAATTATACAATTTTACTGATTACATTGATATTATTGTTAATCACAGGGGTTTGTTGTAATCTTATTGACGATATTTGAGGCGTGGAGCAATCGCAAATCTCCACAACCTTTATAAGTCGTTAATGCTAACTTAAGATGAAACATTACGAAAGCCAGGCTGAATTGGCTTACTTTATTAACAGAAATTTTGGCTTAATCAAAAAAATTCGTCGGAAAATGTCACAATTGTTCAACTTGTTTCTTTGGCAAACTATTTTTACTGTATTAATACTTATAAAGATTTCAGAATCGACCATATGTTTGGACTCTGACTCATACTTAATTATCAATGGTTGAAAAATGGAAAAGTGGAATGGTGCCCGTTTTTAGAGTTTCTGTCTCTAGTACAGTATACTTCATTCCCTTCTTTTGCTTCTTTATTTATGGAAGATTTAAAGGGCTGTTTCTGTAAAGTTTTATTACTTACATTAATGAGCTATGAAATCATTGTTACATAAAACACTTTGGAAATTATTACAAAAATATCATATCGAATGGATATAAATAAATAGCCTTTGATATTTACTTAAATGGAAGTTTCAATTCGCAATATAACCCTACAATTAACAGTGTCAGTTGGGCGCATGGTTACTAACAGAATGTCACACACTGAATGCTAAATTTGTGAGCAAATCAATCGAAGAATAGATTTAGAGCAATTATATTTTTAATGATTCTAATACGTTTGGTTAGCTAGTTGAGAGCTATAGTTCTTTTGAGTTAATTTAACTAACTCATTCTCTATACATAAATTCTAATACTTTGCACTCGCGAAAAGAGTAGGAGCTTTTGCCAGTCACAATCTTTTCATGTATGACAAACTATCAACGTGATATAAATTACTCATATATCAGAAAACTGCAAAACTCTTAATTGTTGACACAATGATGATATAATTAATCAGTAGTCAGAATTTAATTTGTACTTACACGTTCACCAATAGCTAAAAATAGTTTAAAACCCTAGCAATACGACTAGATTAGATTTTATTTCGTTGATTCCTTTTTTGTTACCATATATTATATGATACCCTTATAGATTAAAGCTTTGTTAACTAGTGTGTCACGGATCACTCTCCTGACAAAGGATAACGTAAAATATTCTGCTCTTTTAAGTTGTTACTGTTAACTAGTATTCTAGTTTAGGCCGAGAACTACCCTTCTATACGGCAGTCTTACAGATAAACCTGACAATATTGAGCCACTCTTTCTTTATTCCAACTAATACGACCAACGTAATTTTGCTCGTGAAACTACAAAATCGGTTACTAACGAGCAACGTTCGCGATTACAAGTCAATGACAAAATCTTAGTTAGCCTAATCCACTATATATAGGCAGAAATTTACTACGATACAAATACTTAATCTATACTACTATTCATGGTGTAATTGCACCGTGGTATAGTGATATAACAAAAGATAATATTAAGCTGATACGATGCTCCAGAGTGTCAGTAATAAATTTATCTTGAGTAACTTAAATGCAGCTCCTTAATACAAAGACTTGATATTAGCGCAGTGACAATGGATTAGTTGTTGATTGATTTTATTACAGCTATCTCTGTATTGCGCCAAACTGTAAATTCTTTCAGCTATGGTATATGTTATATATTAACGGATCGAAATCTGGATAATAAGAATTGAAAAAATCAATCGGATTGTTGCATTTAAGAAGAAAAATAGATCGTTTCCCTTATAATTCTTACTTAAAACACATACTGTATTTCACAGTACTAACATATGGCAAAATAACAACTTTATGGGTGTCAAAAACAATATGAATATGAGATTAAAATATTTGCAAGATAATTTTAGAATTTCGTCGTAAATACTGCATACAGTAATTGGCACAAGCATGGCAGCAAATCGTAACTAAATTAACTCTAAGGACTCCATAACAAAATGTAGATTATAAGATATAATTTATCCACTATTTTTATTTTGTCCTACGTATCAACCTAGTTACAAAGACATGCCTATCATGCGTATACGTACGAGTATTCTAAGATTATTTGTATATTAGCTTCATAGATTATGATTGGTAACTTTCCAATGGATTTTACCCGTATTTATCGAAATTGGATTGTAAATTGACAAGCAATTGGTCAACATTAGTGATTTATTATAAACTTTACATGTAGTAAACGTTGTACTACAGTGACATCTATCACATCACACATGTCGTTTGCGGTAACATCCTGTAAAAGCTGACTGTGCAGTACTCATTCAGTAGCTCTACCGCTCATACCATGTCATACAAGAAGATGATATTGAATGAATTTGATCACATAATATTAGAGTTGGATGTATTTATCCTTCATTTGCAAACAGGGCTTACAATGTGAATCAGACAGTATTCGAGTTGGTCATGATTTTAACAACCTTAAAAAAGATGTTATTCTATTGTTATTTTACATTTAGTAGATAGAATTCTGGTAATAGCTATCAAACTGTTGGTGCAGTAATCACAACCGTGCAATTCATATAACGTACATTAATAATTTTTTAAGTACAAGATTCATGACGTTAAAAGCATTCATCTAGTCACTAGCAACTATACATCCCGGTGATACTAAACATTTATAACCAGACATCATAATGAGGTGCATAAAATATAACTTTCGATCAATAAGCAAATCATAGAGCATTCTTGAAAATGGAATAGGGCGCAATTTCTGCATTGGGCTAATTCAAATAGTTATATTGGCGTAGCTTTGTGAATTGTTTCAATTATAAGAAATCCCAGATGGCATCTGAAAAAGCATAACAAAGTTGATGGTATTAAGAATGGGTCCATGTCCATCAAATAACAAGATCGATTGATTATGCACAGTAAACAATGTAATACCTGGCCGGAAAAATGGCTAGAATAAATATTTGATGGATTCGCTTGATCATTTTGCCCAGGCGGAGCAGCAATCAATCCGGAATGTAAATGAGCATTTGTAACTTGATATGATTGATGTTCTGGTTGGACAGTGCTATCATCCAAGTCATCGTTTGCATCTCCCTTACCATGAGATATATTCATAGGTCCTTTATCTCCTTTCATAGCCTGGCCAAAGTAATACCAATGTAGGTTTTAGTTTTAGCATTTTGTTTCATCAATTCATCAATTCGTAAAGTAGTTGAAGCAAACCTCTCTATATTTTGTTAGGTACATTTTCAATGGCTCAATATAATTATCGAAACCCAAACTAGACATTGCAAATAAGATATCTTCACCATTTATTGTTTTTCTTTTTTCTTGTTGACATCTATCACTCGCTCTGTAGAATCTTTGTTAAGGACAATATAGTATCTATACTGATATTAATTAATAGGTCACACCTTATCTACAAAATTTTAACTGCAAAGTGGTGATTGTACTTTATAAAGTAATTTATATAGGATACTCGCTAGTAATAAAGCTAACAAATTCTGACACACACTCCTGGACGCATTCTTTGGCATCTTTGGCAATCTGCAAGAACAGTGAGGAATTTATGAAGGAAAAATAATTCTAATTCAATATATATCTACCTACCTTTCCTACTTTGGGTAATGCTGCCTTCATGATACGGTTAACATTTGCAATCGGTAAAAATCGATCCTAACGTTGATAATTGATGACCAGCTTAATTCAACTATTATTTGAGTATGTAACAATTATTTTATCTTTATGGCTCTACATCTAAAATTGCTGTATTCTACAATGACATTACGCTATACAGGCACATTTAGATACATCTGAAGGATAATGCAATTTTAGTAATACTAGGTGCCATCACGTACAGTCTATGCTCTAAATATTAACCTGCGGTCTTTCTTCACTAACCTGTTCCCTTATAGCCTCCTTATCTTTACCTTCCTGGTCATCTTCTTCAACTTGTAAGTTGCTCATAGAATTATCTTTAAAATTTGAATTACGTAAATCACATTAGTATCCTTAAGACAGGTCACGGGTAAAGTTTAGTTCCAGCATATACGCGTGTGATTTACTACAGCACTATCTACTTGTTAATTTAACTTAACGCAAGTAGGTGACATTAATAAATCGTACAACATGCATTGTTAATAATACAGTTACTAATCCAGACTACAATTTGTGGCTCCATAGTGCACAGTACTGTACTATACTCGTTCTGTTACATATTCAACATATGCAACAGAAATTGATTCTTATATTGTATGCCTTAGCAAACGCCACATAATAAAGTATCTATTGCATTGAGTTCCAAATTTAATTTTAAAGCGAATAGTCGACTATGCTACAGTATATCAGCTGATAGCATCAGTTATTGCAAAATAAATGAAAGCAGGATAGCTTAAGATCTAATCAATAATACATGCTACTTTGTTGAAAGGCTACAGTTGCTTGTTACTTTTATAAAGATATGCTACTATAGTATATTGATCGTAATACTCTACTGTACAACACTATTCAATTAGCGCCGCGCTTTGGATGAATATAGACATGGACAACTAGAAAAAGGGCTTTTCTAGTTGTTCACGGTCTAGAGTATATCACATATACAGTACGTAAACTACAGCCAAGCAAACATGATCTACATTTACAGTACTGTACAGTATACAAGTATATCATACCAATAATACTTCGCCTTATAATTAACATACGTCATGAATAGTTAGCTATAAGAATGTCAATTATTGTCAAATACAACAAAAATCGTCTTTATAAGTGAACTTTTTGAACCATTGCAATAAGTACCTTCTAAGCGGCCTTCTTGTTGTTCGTGGCCTTCCCCGGGCAACATATAACTGCTACGCTCGGGTAGTGCAGCATCTAAGCTAACATCGTTGTAATCAAAGCTAGTAGAGTTCGGAGCACTCCTTTCATTCCTATCTGTTCGAGGAGTTGACGAACTGCCAGTCGAGACAATTAAATTATTGGCATTTCCCTGCATAGATGTATCACTAGCGTTACCGATATGATGTGCTAGTAGATTCTGCCTGACGCCATTTTTAATTTGATTGTCGACACTATCATCGACGGCTGTCGCTGATTCTTGTTCAGTGGCCATCGAAGCGGAATACTGTACTAGCAGTGGCTGTATTAATGAAGATATAAAAATTAAAAATTATTACGACTTTTAAACAATAGAAATGTCCAGTACCCGCCATCTTAACAATTACAATTTATCATATAGGATGCTTCCACGTTTATAATATATATATATATAATATAGATGTGTATCTAAATTAGCTTCTGTATATCATTTATACAAACTACTGTACAGTAGGTACTTCTACGCCAAATCAAAATAATCTTCTTATTACATGGTGCTGTTTATGTCGGATCACCGGTGAAACTATATCTCAAAGAATACAACATACACTACTTTATACAGCACCTTCTCGACAGTAGCCACAGTAACTCACATGCTAAAAGCTAAAATTGACTGTAATTATTAGCGATACGTAAAATGCATCGAAAAGAGATAGAAAAGGATCTTCTAAGCGTAGTGATATACTTTAAAAAATCAGGATAACTATCATGATTGTTTCTGCATGAAGAGTGGGTAATACACGGTTACCTAATAATCTTTGCAAGTTTAAGAATTGTCGATCGAAACTAAGATTTGAATACAATGTGCTTTATTCGGTAAAGTACTGACTATGTGACCTCTTGTATGGTCTATCCAATATTGATAGAATCTGTAACCAATGGACGTTTATCTTTACAGGATGAGTTGATGTATTTTTCGACACGAAATATAAAAGTCATTGGGGGTAAAAAGTATGGAGTCGATAGCTCCATGTTCACCTAAGCAGCCTTTACACGTTCCACACTGCATGTTTAGCCTATAGAATAGTTTAGTAAGTAAAAAGACTATCGAGATCACTGAGATAGGCGGTAGATTGGTGACAGACTGATAACGGTAAACTCAACTCTACCACATTTTCTATCTTTGTAAAATCGATTGAAGAAAGGACATGATACCTTGGCATAATTTGTGATCGAGAGAAAAGAAAAAGTGACTGTGTAGTAGTTTTACGTAGTAGACAAAGTTTTCAATCCTTTATCTTAATTGGCCAAAGGGCGTGAAGGGAAACAAACCTGAATTGATTTTCTTCCTCCAATTGGCTAAATGGACACGATGTCTTTATAAGATGAACCAATGGCAATGAGATTGACTAAATGTTCGCAGCCTATCACTTGTAGTTTTGCCGTTTTCAACGGCCAACCACAGTCGCCGCGCAAATGATCACGTGAGTAAAATCGGGCCAATCTAGGTGAAAAGTAGTACCGTGTCAGATTATTGTACTGTACAGTACATACTGTACTGTACTGTAGGCCAGACCATGATGACCAGATCTGCAGTACTGTACTGTACAGTACAGTACAGTACAGTACTGCTCTGTACAGTGTACAGTACTATGTTCTTCAGTCATCAACATTCAACAGTAAAAAGAACAAAGAACAGGGACTAGGATGACGATAGAGGCGAAAAGAAAGAAAAAAAGTAATTTTTCTATATCTGATCCCTAGCTCCTTTACCCTCTTTTCGTTAGTCACTTAGTAATCCTTAGTAATCCTTAATATTAATATCAATATTACCAAAAACATGCCTAAAATAAAGTACGGTCAAGTACTGTACACTTGTTCCCTAACTGCATCACACTCAAGTAACATTTAACTAATATCATACGTACAGACTGATGATTACTCCGTCAGGCGGACGGACTTTTTTTATCCTAACTTGAATGAGGCTGTAAATATCGACAAACGACTGCCTTGCTGCCTAGTATCTTCCGTGTCTGCTTTCTAAACCTCTAGTGCTTATTTATTTGAATAATATTTACGATCTTCTATAGCTGTTTCCAAGCAAAATTTTAGTAACAAATAATAAGATTCAATGTAATATGGCTTCATTTAGAAAGAATCGACCGGCTGTAGTCTGCAGACTTACTACGTTTTTGACACGGTATTTTTGGAGAGATGAAGCCTAAAATGTCTGTCCATCCACGAGTGAGTGATCAATGCGGATCTCCTAGTACAGTACTGTACTGTAGTCCATGATCAAGGACTCAATTTCTTTTTTCAAATTAAATACTTAATTTAGTACAGTATGTCCCTTTCCCAAACTAGTCCCTTGCAAACATGTTACTGTATAAGTGTATATCTCATTCTTTCTCACATGTTTTCTGTAGAGTTAGGGACTAGTTTGGGACAGGGATACTACAGTAAATTATAAGAATTTACTATTAGTATAAAAACTAAAAACTAACTATGAAATATGAATTTTATTATTTATAAAAAACTAAAAACGAACTATCATATAAGAAGTTGATTAGTCCCGCCCCGCCCCTGCCATGGTTAGGTACAGTACAGTACAGTACTGTACAACCACAGACTGCGCGCATGGTCTGTAGATCACTATTTTGTATACTAGAGACCTTACTGTACACTGTACACTGTATGTACAAGTATCATGGGCTACTAAAAGGAAGGCAGGCCTTACCACAAAGCAAATGTCATACAATGTACAATACGACGCGTGCTGCGTCATGTTTCCGGATGGGTATAATGGCAAGGGATGCTTCCGATTTGTAGAGGATGAGATACAGTACATTATTATAATGTACTGTTCATATAACATATAATATATAATTTAATTATACATGTACGATGTACAGTAAATAATTTGTCTACAAAGTATTGGGTGTCATTGCGGTTACCTTTGCTACGAAAGTAGAGATATACTCGCACGAGTATAATATAATAGTTCCATCTTGATGGATGATCTTACCAACAAAATTCAGGATGGGACTGCTAATAAATTAAACCTACAGTTTAGCCGCCGAAAGAAGATAATCATCTTAGGGCTGTTATCTATTATCAGCTTTCTGGTGACAACAATGTTTGCTGTCCTTGCTCCTTTCTTTCCAACAGTGGTAAGTGGATCGGGTCAACGTTGATCCAGTTAATCGTATGTTGAATCAAGCCCAATATGTCTTATTTACAATCCCATTGCCATCATTTTACAGGACTGTACAGTACTTTCCTGTATAATTTACAGGGTTAGAATACAATAATCCTTACATATATAACAATGAAAGTCTGTTTATCCGCGACGGAAACGAAGGTGAAGCGACGCCGCGTATAGTTGATGCACAGTATATTGTCAAAATGTAGAATAGCACAGTATAACGCTGTACATACACGTATGCATTTTATGAAAGTTCAGCACAGTACGGCGGGGGTAATGCTCTGCCATTCAATATTCAGCATAAGTAAATAAGTACTGGATTACTGTTGAGGTATGGATAGTAAAGATAAAATTTTGCTTACTAGAGTATCTACTGTATTAATGTCTGAAAATAGTCATGTTAAATAAATTATAGATTACGTACAGTGCATCCCTCCTAATTCTCATTCATAATAAGTCTTGCATTATAAATATTTCTGATAATATATAATTTATTTAATCGTATTTCCATCAACAGTACTGTACAGTGTACAATTAACACCTACTATTTCTTGATTGAATCTGTTAAATACAGTACAGTACACATACTGGATCGTATAGTATAGTATAGTTACAGTACAATATATAAATATTGACACTGCCTCGAACCCCTTTTTCTATTTTTCTAGGGCAAGGGCACAATTTTTGATTGAGTAATCCCTGTTTTGATTACGAGGTTGTTCTTTCTTTCTATCTTTTCTTCTCTCCCATACTGTCTAATAATAAAAAAAGGATGACTAGTTGTTCATTGTCAAACTGAATAACGTCTAAAATGAATTGACAAGATTCTATTTCATATAAATCTATGTTAAACAGATTTATACTGACAACACAATTTATATGTGTTTTAATTATCATTTGTGTACAGGTTAACCGTGTTAAAAGTATATAAGGGCTTCATTATTAGCTAGCTAGAGCAGGTTGATGAAGCTGTAGTAAAAGTTCTTTTATTTTGATCAAAGATTTTTTACTTAGCGGAGAGCGCTTCTCGAGTACAATATTTACCTGACTACAATATTATGCAGTACTGTATATATACATTACATTAAATAAATAATTAATTGAAAGTATAATAATACTATGGAATTTATTTTTACTCTTAATTAAATGGTTTCAGGCTAAGAATAGAAATGTCAACCAGTTTACAGTTGGCTTAATATTCGCTGTATATCCAGCTACCAACTTTCTATTTTCTTTCGTATGCGGGCTGATGGTGAGTTAATGCTTTAGATATCGACAATCTTTATTAAAGTTCTTCCCGAATTCTTCGAAATCTAGTATGTGTAAACTATGTTCTTATCGACAGTAGTTAGTACATTAGGAACGATCCTATCCGGTGCAGTAATAGTTACGGGGTATCGTTTCAGACGTTATACTGTATTGTTTAGCATTTTCCACGAACTGTATAAAAATTAAGATTTGATATTGCAATGATTATAAAATTTTAAATTTGACTTATTTTTTATTTTATACTCTACCAATTGAAAGATGCCTCATATCGGGGCTGTGTTTGTTTTATGCATTGGTATATTGATTGAATCCTGTTGTAGCATAATCTTTGGGTAAGTTTATAAGATAATGTGTCATAGTTGTCGATAATGCAATTTGCCTTCTATCGAATTTGATTCGTAGATTATAATTATTATCAGTATGTTTACAGTACTACATTATTACAACTATTACAAAGCAATTTAATTTAAGAGATCCTATAAATTTTATCATCACATCCTTACAAAAATTTTTATAGTCGCTCATTGATATAAAACGAAAGTGTAAGAGCAATTGGTATTACTACATAAAATTAGCCGAATTTATACATGTGCAAATGTATCTCATGCATTTTCTTTCCATCGTTCTCCTAGATTTTTACCGCACATTCTGAATAATGCGGTATTTGTTGGGTTTTGCATTATTACTCGAGCTTTTCAGGGGACTGGTTTGGCATGCGTTCAAACTGCATCCCTTGCAATAACGTCATCGATATTTAGCGAAAATATTGCCTCAGCAACGGTTCGATAGGAATGAAATAGGAGCATGTTTTTTTTGATTTTGTTGATGACATAGTAGTGCCTATGCGCCGACAAGTATAGTTAAATTGTAGTTCTTACAAGTAATTACGAAATTATAGACTGTTTTATGTCCTAGTAATAGGTATGATGAAAGAAAGTGACTGAGCTACTTTATAAGATCTGTTAATGATAATCCTTTTAATTTTTACCGAATAAATTTAGAGTGTGATAGAAGTTCTTACAGCTTTAGGCTACACGGCTGGACCTACTGTTGGTGGACTGCTTTATCAGGTTTGAGAATTAAAATAATATTGGTAATATCTGATTGATTTTAATATTACTTTTAGCTCTTTTGATCGTCAACGACATATTTCGATTTGTTATTAGGCGGGTGGTTTTAAACTACCCTTTCTTGTTATAGGGTCTACAATGCTAATAGTTGGATTTACAGCAATTTTCTTCTTACCCACAATTAAAGGTAATTTTTCATCGTAATATAGATAGTGTGTAAATATAAAATCTACTTTATCTTCTAGTTGAGCCTGCATGCTGTATTTGATTTACAATACAAATTTACGAGTTAAGTATGGGTTATTAATAGCATAAATACACTTATTTTCGTTTATTGAATAATGTATGCTTTAGGTTCTCGTACGTCTGCTCCTGGAGCTATAATGAAGAAATTACTGATTTATCCACGTATAATTTTAATGTGTAAGAATATATTATTATGACTGTTGTCATAAAATCTTCAATCATATGCGAATTTCTGTAGTATGTTCGATATCAAATTTAAAAAATTCAAAATTTGAATGTACGCGTACAAAATCCAAGGCGATTGTTGATTAATACCCAGTCCTATTTATTGCGTTAAAAGGCTGCAGTGTGACATTACTGATGATCCTATTTGGTTCAGTAGACTTAGGCTTAGCTCTGCATATCAAACCGGTATGAAACTATAGCATCAATTGCCTTATGTAAACCTGAAATACTTCTCCACTTTGGCCAGTAATATGCAGTTGGAATAAATTTTTGCGTGCTTACTTTTATCAATTACAGTTTCATTTATCGCCATTGGCGGTAGGCTTGCTTTTCCTTCCATTAAGCATTGGACATATGGTATTTTCACCTGTATTTGGGTTTCTATCTGACCGCTTTGTTAGTAATGAATGAGTCTATGAGTATGATCGACTCTAAGCGTGATATAATATTACTATTTAGTTGCATTGACTTAATTGATACTTGAAGCCGAATCATCTTTTTAGGGCTATCGACAGTTCGTTATCGGTGGTTGCTTTGCTATAGGAATTGCTGCACAATTCGTTGGACCCGCTCCATATCTAAATATTCCGCTGTATATTTTCTATTTAATATTTGAGTTTTTTATTATTATTTGAAACTGTCGTTGACTGCAATAATCTATCGAGGCATAAAATGCTATATCACTAATATGACTATTGTTTTATGATATTAGCTCTATCGCGCAAATTATTCCTTCACTCTTCATAACTGGAATGGGGACTGCAGCGGTATTTACGCCAGCTTTTGGTGATATTCTGGCATCTGCTACGATGAATTCAGGGTGAATTATGGAATAATTGTATATTCCTTATAATTTGTAAATTACAATTTCAAATTATTTTTTAGCCTTAATGATGATGATAACGAGGAAACTGTGATTGCCGACAACAGCAATTTCTCTACAGTTTCTGTGGTTTCTGGAATATTTACTGCATTCAGTGCTCTAGGGTTTGTGCAAATTTTATTAATTCTACTTATTTATGCAGCATTGAACAACGTGAATATAACATTAGCAAATTTGATTAAAGTCAAGTAATAGGTCCTATTATTAGTGGCATCACCTTTACTTCTGCAACTTCATCCTTCAGTTGGACCATATCTGTATGTAATTTATTTAAAGCAGCATGTTTAAATTAATGGAAGAAAATTTTACTGTACCCAAAATGAAATTCTGAAATTCCATTGAAATCAATTTTCTATAGCAAAACTTATTACTGATACAGAATCAAGCTAATTTATTATATCATGTTAAGTTAAAGTTTTCCATCACGCTTTCCTTTTCATCAAAGCACAACTATGCTATTACTATTATTCCACTCTTCTAAATGGCTAAATATGATAACCATTATCTGTATTTTTTAGGTACTGGGCTTTATTTTCGTAGCTCAGGTATAATCTAAACACCGGAAAAATCATGTTGCAGCGTTGTTGTTTATCCAATTTAACAAAAGCATAATTCTGAAATGTATAAAAATGTTTTAAGGGATTTTAAGAATTATATGTTTTTACTATTATTCTCCGGAAGGGTTTGTTGATCGTATTTCTTACGCTCTGGGAAAGAAAACAGAGTTATCACATCGTTGGGTAGGAGCGAAGTACTCGTAGATTTATTACTTTTGTACAGATTTATAATAATTATTTATTACTTAAATTCTCTTCTCTCAGAAAAATGTCCTCCGATACTGAGAGATTTATCTGCTACTCTTCTGATACTAGCGAAAAATCGCTATAATTCATTGCATGCAATTAAAAGATCACAAAACAGAATATCTGTTTTGTGATCTTTTTTTAAGGTAATTTATTGATTAATCCATTAATTTATTACAATTATTTAATGTATGTAGAAGAGTATGCGATTGAAAATGAGAATCTTCGGTACTTGATTTGGATTTATCGATTCTTATTCTACACTTAGGAAATAAATTGAATCCCCTGTACGTGACGTGAAATGCATGTCATATGAATGCAAGAAGAAAGCTATCAGTCTTAAAGCTTACAGCGAATAACGCTGTACAGTAGAACAATATCATCATCCGGTATGATTTTATTGGCAAATCTTAGAACGTTTTATTTAATTCCTATTTTGGTATGGACAAATAATTTAATTCAAAATATCACCTGATGTCGACTAAAATCTGAAATGTTCAAGCAAAATTTTGTAATAATAGTAATAATTTACAATATTTGTGATCGTTTGTTTTCCGATGCGTGTAAATATGTTTTGCAAATAAATTAAATTTTATACTTACAATACGGAAGGTAGTCAGTTATTTGATATACACTGTCCGTATACGTAACATACTGTAAATACATGCAAATATAATTATCATTTCGATTTGTTATCCAAAGGGGCACGTGAGCATAAGGATTACGAATTTACCTAAAATGATTAGATTTCAGGCTTTCAGCAACTTCGTAAAATTAAGATTTGCTGTATGAAAGTCTACATTGCACTAGGGGTATATCCTTTGCCTATCTATTTTATCTACCATATTATGATTGTAATTGTTATTAATAATTATCAGCAGTACAGTGTAGTAGAATACAGAGAATTGACTAAAACTGGAGATGCACACTATTTTATCCAGTGCATAACCAGGGACTACTGAGGCTTTAGGTCTCTGGCATAAACAGTGGAGTTTTGATACTATCAAGATACCATCAGGATATTGTACTATCGAGGTACAGTATACAGTTATCTACTATGCTGTACTGTGCTGTATGCGTGTACACTAAACTATAATTATATAATAATTTTATTGCAAACCTCAGTATTATAGTTCAAGCTGTTTGATAACAAGACAGTACAGTAGATAAACAGTTTTATCTAATACAAATTATTCTTTATACAGTACTATTTCAATGTACTGTTCTATCCAGTGCGAGCGACTACCAGCTAATTTTGTACTTTTTTCGCCAATTACCACTAAAATAGTTATGCTGTAGAGGTAATTTCACGTATCGTTTCTCTTCTTTTACACCCGGGTATTTTTGCAGGCTGGAAAAAAGTACAAAATTAGGCGGCAATAGTCTCTCCAAGTACTAATATCTGTACTATTTTCCTTGATGGTAAACTCAGCGAGTCAGACTCGTCTCTAGATTCTGAAAGTAACAGAGGTTTTTATTCTAGGTTACTGTATTCTTAATTAGAGAACCACATACAGAGACGGACAGACATTTTCGGCGTCTTCTCGCCAAAATTACCAAACACTTCGTTATGACAGTACTTGAGTATGCCGAAGGTCAATTCTGTATGACAGATTTTTACTGAATTAAGTAATATTATATTAAATCTTATTATCTATTACTAACGTTCTGTTTGAAAATATTTACAAAAGATCGTAAACGTTATTTAAATTAATACCAGTGATTTAGAAAACAGACACGTATGATCCATACTAAGTACCGTAGTCATTTTTCGACATTCATTTAATAAGCGACGTCTGTCCGTCTGAAGGAATAATCAGTCTGGCCATCTACTAACTACTGTACTGTACTGTACAACTTACTACCTGCCTCCTAAACTAAAATAGACAGTTCAACTCCCGGTCGGCGAACCAGTGCCCTGATTTTCGTTTATAGATATGCAAAATATAGAGACCACGAAGTCTGGTGATTCTGTTTCGTCATTTAATAGTGAAAATGGCGATGAGACAACAACAACCCCAGAAGTCACCAGTAAACGAAACAAACTCATCATCATGGTGCTATTGAGTGTAACGTATTTCCTTCTAGCATCAGTCTACGCTCTTCTTGCACCATTTTTTCCTCAAGAGGTTGGTGTATATTTTAGCCACAACTACACTATCCTTGATAGCGAAGTTTGCCTCGATTAAGAACATTTATTGCATCATGCATATCTATGTATATCATTACGATATGATGCAGCTATGGCTAACATGTGATAATATCTTGATGAAATGGACACATCGTAATATCCTTCATTAATTTCTTATATGATTTTTGACAGCATTCTTTTAAACCTATAGCTTTAAACTGTTGATATTACATTCTGATACTCATGCAAGAGTACTGTACGTATCTCTACCATATTGATCAGTTAACATTACTCTGCTATGTAGTACGGTTTATCTGAGCTATTGGTGAGATATTATAACATCTTAATGTTCTAATAGTAAGCTAGAACCCATGAAAAAATAAGATAGAACTACAAAAACGCTTCATCCAAGGTCCGATAATTATAATAATTATTAGAGAATTTATTTATGTCGAATATTATGTAGTAATTGGTTACGCCTTTAAATAATTTATATTAACACTGTTATTATCTAAATTTAAATTAAAAATATAAAAGATGAACTATTTTATACACCTATATATTATACTATACTTATAAGTTACTCTTAAGTAAATACTTTACGTTAGGAAAAGAACGCAATCTGATTTTTACACGAAATTAGGTATCAATATATATATATTTCCTCAAGCACCTAGTAATGAATAAAACTCTTGTTCAACTGCTATAGGCCAAAAATAGGAATGTTAAACATTTCGAAATCGGTCTTATATTTGCGATTTATCCATTTTTCATTTTTCTCATCTCTCCAATATGTGGCATTATGGTAAGGACCGTTCATAATAATATACGTATTACAATGTAATTACTAGTCGATCCCTCGCTCGTTAAACTTCGCCTACTATACTGCACTTATACCTTTTAATTTCCAATTATATGTTAGTATCATATGCAACGTTACAATGTTACTCAGTATAGGCTAGGCATTTAGACTGCTACCTATCAAAAATACTGCGATTGCACTATTCTACTTTGGTTACTATGGGCACGAGCTATTAATACTGTTACGTTTATCGCGCAGTGATGTTAACATAGTGTAATATTCTTGTTAGCACGCCTGTAGCTTCATTAATTAAATTTTCAGTCTTGCAATTGACTTTATTTTTACTAAAAGCCTATGCTGAACGATTAACTAATACACCATTAACTGACTTGCACATTGTGGCAGATGCCTCGTATTGGTGTTGTATTTACGTTATGGGCTGGTTTATTCTTCGAAGCGGGTTGCAGCATTCTTTTCGGGTATGTCTGAAAGGATAGATTATTTTTAGATTGACATGGCTTTATTTGAAGCACTCAACCTATGCTATAATGATGACATAAATTAAACAATGTTTTATTACTTCTAATTACATTTTTTAATTTTATTATCCACTTTGATAGGTTTTTACCTAATATTTTGGATCACCAAACATTCGTAGCATTTTGCTTACTTATACGGGGTATGCAAGGTATTGGTGCTGCATGTTCTCAGACCGCAGCTTTAGCTATGATGTCATCGATTTTCCCTGATAATGTTGCAACAACTACCGTAAGTTATTTTTATTTTTGACTGAAGTATTAAAATAAAAAGTCTACACAAAATTTTTGTGGGCTCAGTGTCGTAACAACATAACTAGATCGGTTATGAGCGGATTTGATAACATCCAACAAAGACACCGGCGTTTCTAGAATCATTAATGTACTTGAAATTTGTCGATAACCTTCTTAATGAGTCAGCCTCATAAGCCAAGGAATCCAAGGCTACGAACTTACAACTTAGGCTTTCATCTTGTTATTTATAAAGAGCACATTAGAAATCTTTGGTGCATTGGGATTCATGACAGGGCCTCCCATTGGTGGCTTATTGTTTCAGGTCTACATGTGTTATATTACAATAATTGCAAATAGGAACAACCATTATCATTACCGGTGCTTTAATATTTTTTGTCTGTTATTCCGATAGGCCGGCGGTTTTAAGCTACCATTTATTGTTTTAGGATCGACGTTGTTGGTGATTGGATGTGTTGTCATTTACTTTATTCCACGAATTTCACGTAATTAATACAGCACATAAATTCTGCATATTACTACTTGATATTAATCATAATAATAATGAAAGGTGTTAAGCAACTATTGACTGCACCAAATTACTGAATAATTATTTGCGATGCAACTCCTATCAACCAGATGCAGCTAGTGCACCTCCAGTAACGCTAATGAAGCAGTTATTGATCCGTCCAAGAGTTATTATTATGTGTAAGATTTGCATGCTAAGCTGTATTTGGTTAAAAATCTTATTCTATTTCAAATTACAATTGCAACTATTATCTTGTCAGCTTTCTATCTATCTATATATATATATAAGTTGATATTCTTAATAACAGGTATAGGAATAATTTTACAAATGCTTCTATTTGGTTTTCTTGATCCAACACTTTCACTTCACTTAAAGCCGGTTAGTCTCGATGATTTCTTTTAATCTTCTCAAGTTTTATAACTTCAATTAATTTTTCTGTCTTTGGCAGCTAAATTTAACACCACCTGAACTTGGAGCCGTATTTCTCGCGCTGGGCGCTGGCTATGGGATTTTCTCTCCAATATTCGGATGGTTATCAGATCGCTTTGTTAGTAACAATATTATTGGGAAATTGATATCATTTCCAAGGATATATGATTTATTGTATGCAATACAGAATATTCAGGTTACATATGTAACATTGCGACCATCGATTATTAACACCTCTAAACGAAAATACACTACCTGCAAATTGATAGGGATACCGACCTTTCATTATTGGTGGCAATTTTGCAATGGGAGTAGCATTGATGTTTCTTGGACCCGCTCCTTTCTTTAAAATTCCGCTGTATGAAGTCATTCAGTTCCATTTCATGTCTAAATTGTGTTGTTTTACTAAAAGTAGCTCAACAAATGTTTAGATCTCTACCACAAACAATTCTATCCTTGATATCATTGGGAATAGCAGCTGGTGCTGCTGCGATACCGTTATACGCAGATATGTTAGATGCTGCCGTTACGGAATTTGGGTTTGAAAAGTCTAATACACATATTTTATAGCAATACGAATGATACTGTCAATTTAAAATTTCTAAAATCATGTTTATGTATAAATCTTGTAACAGTAATCAATCCCCTGGAGTTGATGAAACAGAAAAAGATTTCGTATTATATGCAGTAGTTTCTGGTCTATTTTCATCTGCTTCTTCACTCGGGTAAAGAAATGTTACAGTATTTGTTACGTTTTACTTGCAGAAATTCATCTTTAAAAATATATTAAATGATATCATGCAAGTTGAAATAGTACAAATTCGTTTATTCGGATTACTATTTACTGTTAACTTAAAGTCAAGTATTAGGTCCTATTGTGGGGGGAACTTTCACGTCAACATCAGATGCACTGTTTCGGAAGACTTCTGCGGTTTGTAAAATGTTCATTCAACAACTGTCATTGTCGGACCTCATAATCCGTTAGATTATTAAATCGTATGATCTGAAATCGTACTATTGAATTATTTTTGTCCCGAAGCTTTCAGAATTGATATTGCTCGAATTAATAGCACTGTTTAATAATATTTCATTCCGTTAATAGGGGATAGGCTTTGCCGTCGCTGCTGAAGTAAGTAAAATAATTAAAAGTATGAAGATAACACTGAAGTATTCGTTTGTTTACTGGTCCAAATATATCATATGATATACGCGTATTTTTGTAAAAGACTTGACTCTTACATGAATGGTTGCATGGTTTCATGCATTCTTGTAATTAGTTAAAATAATCATAGAATTACTTCTAGTAGATTGTCCGCTTAAATTCTTTACTTTTCTTATTGATTAATAACTCTACAGGGTTTAATAGTAATTCTGTTAACTCTTTGGGAAAAACTATATAAAAAGAAGACTGAACGGTAATTATTGTGTAGATAAATATTATGCAATTTCTTAACACAATTTAATTAATATACGTAATACCTACCGTAAGTTTGACTTACAAAGGTATAAAAATTAAATTATGTTTAACGTAACTACTTTATTGTTTTTTCAGTATTTTGAATGAAAATGAAGAAGAAAGAAACCCGCTAATTTAGTTGAAGTAAAAATGATATCGCGTTAATATTTTAATTACTGCACATTGAATAGGCAATCTTAAAATTTACATGTATAATAGACATCGTGTTATTTTGATCGTTTGGGAACATATAAAATTTGACTTTCCAAATTCTAAAGAATATAAAAATCGAGTCTTTTCAAAACATATATTTAAATACTTCGACTGCACTGAAAGTATTTGATACCTAATTTTTGATGTCAAAATTAAGTTTTATTCTCTATTAGGGGCCAATATGGCTTACCTTTGTAAAAATATAAACATAAGCAACAAATTATGATATGCTATACAAATAATAACCTTTATAATCAATTCTTTTAGGATTCTTAGAACTAACCCAATGAAACTTTTACAAGTTCGTGTCATCATTGAAGATTTATATGATTTACCATTATAGATTGATTTATAAAAGTTAAACTCCATTGTATCCATGTATGTGTTGGGTGCAGTACTCAAAAATTGTGTACAAATTAGTCACCCTAATTCTCCAATAACTTTCTACTTTTTACGAACGTCTTATAAAAGAAAAGAACTGGATCTCTTTGTTTCTAATGCAGTATAGACATTACTGTATGCATCCTTAGCTGCATATTTGGATAGAGTTAAATGTGCTACAGAACTAAAACTAGTTTTTAAGCGACAAACAGCATTACCTTATTTTATGTTTACATCGGTACCAGCTTTTTCTTACAAAATCTTATGTTTTCATACTATTGTGTGCTATAATGTGCACACACATGATATCACTATTTTGCTAGTATAGAATATCTTTGTTTGTATTATTTTAATCAATTTTAAGGAATTATAGCCACTTAGGCCTTAAAAAATTATATGCTGTATATTTATCGATATTATATCCAGTCAATCGAAAAAAACATACGAAATAAACGTATTTTAGCAATAAATGTATTATTGAGCTTCTACAAATTTGAGATGTAGCAGATTTTACTCACAATCTGTTGAAAAACTAATGGCTAAAAAATTTTAAAATAAACAAGAATTAATAACATATCAATGCAACGTGTAAATTATACATTAAATTAGAATATTTTATGATTGTAGCTTTTTACTTAATTTTATAAACCAAGTAGGCAGTTGTGATTGATGCTAAAATAAAAATTCAAATTGTCTATATTCTAAAATACTTGAAAGTTAACATTATTAAATGTACGAATGTAATTATTTCATATAGTTTAAAGCATGCTGTAATACTGTAGGATTTATACGCTCATACTGTACTACTGTACACGTACAGTATCAATACTACACTGAAGACTTCATTCTACGTGGTTAAATTCAATGTTATAATACTATAATTTCATCCGCTATGTATATATATTATGGTCAGTTATTGAAGTTGGACATAGACCCTGTAAGGTCTAGTATAGTCTTATATTAGTCGTATGCAATATAATTTAACGGGCAAAAAATACCTGAAGTATAAAAAACTTTTAGTACAGGGAGAGATTCATGAATTTTTATACATTTTTGGGGACTAACAATCATCAGTACCGTGTAATGAAGTGTTTGCAATGTTTGATAAATGGTAAATTAGCTGCCTAGTAACTACTCTACTATGGTTTTTGTTATTTCATCGTCACTCTGACAGAATTTTACCTAGTAGTGACAATCATTGAGGTATTTTCAAGTATTTGAATAAAGTAATTATCAGGCCTATACCATATATCGGAATCCTTTTCAGATCGGTAATTTACTCAAAGCATCAATATTATCTTTGTTTTCGAAAAGTGTTCCAACATGGCGTAAGTAATCTTAACTAATGTAATCTTAATACTATGCTATGTAAAATGTCGAATTATTGTCGAAATACTACCGTAATACCGCATAGCGACTTTGATAAAGATTATTGTTACAATAATATTATCGTCTTAATACAACATTAACACAATTAACTGACTAGTTATTCCCCTATTCCTAGCGGTAGAAACCTAAATTCGTATGATTTTGTCTATTTTTAACGGTAAAGGACACTCGAATTCTTAGGTACAGCCAACTTCCTATTGATATCATGTGGTATCAATCGGGTGCAGTTCTACACAGTAATGTTTAAAAATACATGATGCTGTTGTGCTCCTCATAAATATTATGCATAATTGCCAGCAGAAAATTACTTCCTATTATTTTAAATGACCTGATGACTTTAAATATTATATCAACTCAATATAAACACGACAATAATTTATTAAGCTAAAATTTTAGATAAATCAAGCTAACATGACAGCTATCAACAATCAAAATGGGCAGCTATTAAAATATAATTACCGCTAATTATTAATTGATTAATTACTAAAATTTCATAAATCTTGCAGTTATCTAGTCATTGTAGCAATAATCAAGTATTTCTTACGGACAATTTGTATTCTCTTTCAATCTTCAAAAGTCAAATAATAGTGATAGTCGTAATTACTACTTTGGTTTTTACTAAAGAGTGATGGTAGATTCTCAAATAACGCTAATTTTAAACTTTATCTCTATTTCTGTATAAAATGTAGGGTAAAACTAAGATTGCAAAGAGAAATTGTATAATTGCTATGACTAGGCGATACCTATGTTATACGAATATACGTCAAATTATGTTCGTATTATTACGACAAGGTATTTTCAATACAAACATGATCACTGCATTACTTACAAATACTACAAGAAAACCGATTTTATCCACTGGGTTTTCAGCAGACAAAAGGAACTTGTTATAAGAACTTAGATTATACAAAAAGAAGCAGTATTGGATACTTTGGTATTTAATATGAACTTCATCATTTTTCTTGGCTTAAAGTATAAATTTTGAAATCGGCTTGTTCAGCTCCTTGTCTAAGGGCTTGATATTAGAATTTCAACTCTAAACTTCCTCATGGAATGTAACAGGTGCAACATCTATTACCACCCTAGGTAAATATATGTTAGAGGATATTGTTTGATTGAATTCACGTGATTTCAATTACAATGCTTAAGGCAACTATTAAAATTGATATTATGTTGATTTATTCCTCCTATAATGACCATAGAAGATTCTGCTGTCGAAATACAAAATTTCGCTATCAAGTGAAAAATATTGCCAACATTCATGATCACAGCTTTCACTAACGAAACAGCTTACAAATTTCATCATCTGAAGACAATATCAATGATGAAATGAAGTAAAATTCTGTTCGTGTTAACTTTACTAAAATTAAGGTACAAAATATTGCAATCATTAATGTTACGGCTTACAGTAAATACAAATATCGTATAGAATGTTAATTTCAGAGTTTTACTCATATTTTGATGAAAAACAGCAAGCTACACGATTACAAATCACATAAAGTCACTTACATAATATTTTTAAAATATCTCTATTATCCCAATAGAAATATTATACTACTAGATTATACAAATGACAGCATTTCAAGTTTCTGTACACATATTATTCATGTTAATACTGTTGTAAGATTCTTTTATAAAAGGTGCTCACAGATATATGGTAGGGCTTAAGATTTTTACTAATCAGCGTAGCAACTGTATGGTGCGCGTGTATTATAATTATATAGATAATTGTATTCATTCTCTTTCTGAAATACTACTATAAAAATCACTGTACTTTATCTACTCCATCTTCAGCAGTGTACTTTCTACTGCCCGTATAAAATTATAAATGCACATTAAACGTTAATATTATCTAATTGAGCAGTAAGGCATATGCATGCCATCTTCATTAGTAATGTTGCCGTACAATAACTGCTATAGGACCCATACTATCAAGGCTCCATTAAAGTAACTATCAATATGAATAAGTCACTATTAGAAAATAGCAAGACTATCTTATAATCTAAAATAAGCTAAATATATAATCTTCTAGTACTTTTAAATGATTAGTAAATATTCGCATATGCAGATATATTTGTTTGATAATAAATAAACGAATATTTGTTGATTAAAAAAATCAGAGAGAATAATTGACACTTTGATTACCGTGCCCTAATGGAAGATTTCAGCTGTTTGCGGAAAAAGTATAGCATCTTAGTGTCAGAATATCACTGAAATGAAAAATTCAGCTTTAGGGTCTCGAAGTCTTACAAATAAGATTCAATTTTTTACTATAGTAAACAGCCAATACTACAAACACGGTTAATCTCATAAGAAGTTTAGAATTTATTAATTCATTCTTAAAGATTTTTGTAGAATTAATATTTAAATTCCTTCACTGATGCTACTCTATAATCTAGCTATCTCAATACAATCCCAACCTCCATCACTACCGTACTGTAAATATCTTAATTTCAAAACAAAACATTTGTATAATGTATCGTAAGGAAAAATGGTCGATTTAAAGATTATTTTACCTTTGTTTAAATTCGTAACACTAGATTCAATAAAAACATTGTTAATTTAGATATAATAGTACTGACAGATCGACTGATTACCAAAGATTAATATAGATTTGGTAATTAATACTAGTTCAATAAACAGTTAAACCTTAGTTTGTATAACTCTACTCCTATGAATATACACCTACACGTTAATTGAAGAGTACGTCATGGTCTAATGCAATCTTACAGTTGAAATATTGTATATTTATCTTTTATCAATCTAAAAACTGTATACTGTTACTCCTGCATGGAATTTGATCGTCAGATTATTAATTTTCATCGATCGCTACTGTCACTAAAAATATTCTAGATCTTGAAGAAATCTGTTATTTTTATGGATTCAACTATCATGGAGCCCGACAAAACCCAGTTACCAGGATATCGAATGTTAACCACCGTATTTTTATGCCTATTAAGCTTGATCGCTCAATCTCTTTATAGTTTATTGGTTCCGTTCTTTGCGACAGAGGTTGGAAATATTGGGAGATACCAGTACTTTTATTGTAAATAATATCAAATGACATTTTAATTGCTGTTTCGATAAATTTGTAGTATAGATTGACAGTTTTATTAACTCATCATCTAGATTACTGAAAATTAAAAATGCTAACATGTATTAAGTGTTATCGCTAATTCAGGCTATTAAGGGTAGTATCAGTGTGGAATGTTAAAACATAGAAACTTTAGCTCCTTAACTCTTTCATCATTTTAATGATTACTATTAGCGCGTAGATGGTAGTACTTTACTAAACACTGATATTCCTTTAAAGATGGTTGATGCTATAATTTTAGTCCAAACTATATAATAATAGCTATTCCACATATCATACATAAGTTTTGTTACAAATTAGTGTTAATTTGTGCGATGGTGTTTAGACCACTATCAAATTAAAGTAAAAGTACTATGCTAACTTTATACAGTGATTACACGCAATTTCTCCGGTTTTTATTGGTGCACAGGTTATAAAGAAAGGTTTATCCTTAAACGAAATTGGCTTTGTCTACGCTGTATATCCCTTAGCTATGTTTATAAGTTCGCCAATATTTGGTCTTATGGTAGGTATTAATTAGAAAAGATCATTCTCAACAAAGAGTTTGTAAGCAGTATTTGAGCTTGATTATAAAACTGAAATTATTGTCTTAATACTCTGTCTCTACTGTATTGTAGTGTTAGAAAATATTTGTGTTAGTAGAAGAGTTTTACCGTGAGATGCTACATCACCGAGAATAAGATGTGCATCTGTGGCGATTTCTTAAAATCCTAGCCTTTAAAAAAATGTTATTCCAAATTATTAAATTTTAATAATCAATGAACAATAAATAATGTCTATTAGGTTCCATCCATAGGCTCCAGGTATATGATTTGGGCTGGATTAACCATAGAAGGTGGATGTTCTATCCTTTTTGGGTTAGCCTTGACCTTCGATTCTAAATTAGTAGATGATGCATAATATTGACTGCGACTATGTTACCACATTTTTATCGTTTTTATGTCGACTCTTAGGTTTCTAAATTGGATCAGTGACAAAAAGATTTTTCTTATTTTAGCTATAATACTGCGATTTGTACAAGGATTAGGGGCAGCCTGCTATATTACTGCAGCTTATAGTATAGTAGCTTCATTGTTTCGTCAATCTATAGCTACAACGATGGTACGTCAAGAGCTATATTAAATAACTGTAAATCTAGTAGAAATTGTTAAACATTTGCTATGCAGTATACTTTTGAATTTTACCATGTTTTGTTACTATCTATTATACTGTAGTTTACGGAATAGTTGAGTCAAGAATTTCAATTAAAATCAAAATCATATTGTAATCCGTGTATTTCAATTTACAATGGAATGAAAAATGCCCTAAGCTCTCACATTTGGTTATATTTAAAATCTCTAACTATAATTTAATCTCATTTATATAATTGATAGGGGGTTATCGAAACATTTAGTAGCTTAGGATACGCAATTGGGCCTCCAATTGGGGGAGTACTATTTACGGTATTACTAATAACGATTAATGTTGATCGACCTTAAAAATAATATTATAAAGACAAACTTTTGTTCTTAAACATAGTAAAATAATTCGAGATTTAAATTGATACAATAATTACGGATAGTATATTCACTATCACTGTGTAAAGGCAAATAAAAACTAGGGAATTGCTTACTAAACAGTCGACTAATAAAGTTATATTTAATCAGTTGCCAGTATCCGGTATAGGCTTTTAACTAGAATAAAAAAATAGTTTGATGCAGATTCGAGACCACTTCGTAGATAATATACTGCCCTTTAAACTTGTCTACCTTGCGTTTAATATATATGCTCACATATATACGTATATAATACATTTAAGACACCTCTACTTAAGTGATTACTAACAAGAATTAACAAATACAATCTCTAGGTAGGAGGCTTTATACTACCTTTTACAATTGTAGGAAGCTTTATGGTTGGTATGGCACCAATAGTTGCTTACTTCATACCTGTTTCTAAAGGTAAACTATTTAGGCATGCACTGCTACTCTATCTTTATTAAGAATATCTAATTAACTGTCTAACTATCATCAGTACGATATAATTAAGCGAAAGGTTATTTCAACAACTCTATCGCAAATTATTATGAATCCATTAAGGCAGCCGTACATTCGCGACTACATCGCCAATAAAATCTAAAATTTTTATTGTCAACTAGATGAAAGTGTATCAACTACTAAAATTATGAAGAAATTCTGCAAGATTCCATATGTTTATCTTATTTGTTAGTATAGCAGAAAGCGTTCTTGGCCTGGCAGTAATAGAAAACAAATAATCGTAACAACTACATGATAATTGCTATCTTATCATTGTTTCGTTGGATCTGATTTTAGGTATTGCGGTTTGTCTGGGTATTATGACACTGACATTTTTGGAAATTAATTATTCCATTCATATCAAAAAGGTTACCCGATTATCCCTTGGAATTTGTTTAAAACGGAATTAATCATCACTATTGCTAAAAATGAGATTAAATCATTTTTGTTCGACTGAAATTATTTGAGAGTAAAAGCGTCATGTTTATTAAATATTTGTCATGTTATTCCATATTTTTCTTTCTATTGAATTATCGTTAGCTCAATTTGACGTATTTACAAATTGGAATGGTGTTTTTGATTCCCGCTGGCACCTATGCTCTTATAGCTATAATGACGGGAATGGCCGCTGATCGATACGTAATCTTGCATTATTAATTGTTGCCAACTGTGTTAAATTTCTCTAGTTACGAGCACATTCTATCCACACAGCAGTAAAAATAATTCATTTACATCCTATCCTAGGGTTATCGACAATTTGTAGTCGCTGGATTAATTATTATGGCAATATCCCTGCAATTGCTTGCTCCGGCGCCATATTGGAAAATTCCATTGTAAGTCATATCCCAGCCATTCAAATGACCCAGAAAGGGCAGTTTTGTCACAATCTCCGTTAAGTGATAAAAAATAATAAAGTAATATTGCTCCTACCAGGAATATGCGGCTAGTAGTAATTGGACTTATTATCTATGGTATTGGAACAAATTTCCTATTTATGCCTTCTTTCGCAGAATTATTAAGCGTTGCAGCGTAAGTCCGTATCAATAGCGATATTGTGCACTCTAATAATTATAATAAAACCAAGAATAATGCAGTAGATGCTGTATCGTCTAAAATCTACTCGTGCATGTATGGAAAGTAATGCAAATAAAATATCTTAAAAATTATTAAATAATTACAATTGTATGAAAGTAAATTTTTTTCTTCTTTCTGTAGAAACAAAAATATCGGTGACAACCTGGCAACTTATTCCGTAGGATCTGGATTATTTAAAGCAGCCCAGGCACTCGGGTAATCTTCGCAGTTGATAATAATTTTAACCGTTAAATTTAAATTCATACTAATTCGAATGAAAAGAGAAAGGGAGTGATGGCGATAGGATTGAAGAAACTACAGCAGTCTTTTTAACGATATTTACAGATTAATTATAGGCCCTATAGTTGGAGAAGCTCTCATTGTCGTGCCTAAACTTGGGTTTCCATGGACTTCATCTGTAAGTTATTTCAGAGTGCCGATTGTAACATGACTTAAAATTATGAACTCAAAGTAGTATAATTTATGCTTATGTTAGCTCCTCGGCTATATCCTATTCGCTCACGTAAGTCAAATAATTAACGCAACATAAATATATTTAATTCGATGAATTAAATCATTGCTGACAGCTATAACTTGTACAGTAGCAAAACGAAGCATAAGATGAAAACTTGAAGAATCTTATCTTAGCTATAAATATAATGATCGTAGAGTATGAGAGTGTTATAGATCAAATCTTGTATGTAGTGCTTGGTGTAAACTCATCTAAAATTTATAAGTACCGTACAAATTCGTATTTCCGATATAATTCTGGCAGCTAAGTTTCTAGATAAGAGCCTCAAAATTTCATAAGTTATTAAATATTATTTCCATCTGGAAATATATATTCAAAAAATTAAAAAATTTTAAGTAAACATTAATCCTATCGTTGGGTAATGGATTTCGACAAAAATTTATAATCTGGTATTTTTAACTACTGTATTCTTATCTTAACTAAAGAGGTTGCAGCTATTTTCGGTTGCTACTTTTAAAGCAATAAAATTAATAACCACAGAATGTCTTACATTATCTAAATGGGTACCTACGTTCTCTAACTTACTGTATATATCACACTTACATTTAAAAGAGATCCAACACTGTCTGCTTTTCCTGGTTTAAAAGCCTTTACCATTTAATTATAGGCATTGGTGATTTCTTGCTATCTTTTATACGAGAAATGCAAAAGTAAAAGGTTAGAAACTTACTTGATAGAGCTTTACTGCATTCTCTGCTAAGTCTACTAGAATCAATTCTGTACTTTTGGAACGATATTATATTTATTAGAAAACTCCAATCTGATGAGATCGACGATGAAACAAGACAAACTCTTTTAAAACAGAAAATAACGAAAGAGACATCTGGTGATGTTACATATAGCACAAGCGATAGTACTGAATACGTTTCGAAGGCTACTAATGCAATGGAAAAATAACTCTGAGTTGACTAGCGATTCGCTATTTGAAGAAAGTATAAAATTGCGACAGGTTCGCTCTCAAGTGCCATACTATTCTTTGTGATATTTTTGATCTTCTACAGTTTTAATATAATCGCTGCTTTTACAAACATTTAGATATTTAATACATCGTAATAACTATCATCTCTAGAATTTATAATATAACATTATTGAACCTATCTTTGCTAACGTCATGTATTGAGCGAATTAACAAGAATATAATGAGCAGCCAAATGATTCGTTTGTGATGATAGGCAACATAATATTTATATCCACAGGATGACTGCTTGGGAAATAAATACAGCCGTTGAAAATTCGACAGCTACACTACCTACGGCAATTAGTGTGGACAAACGAATAGTGTGGGTTCCTAATTAGTGTTACCCACATTAAATATGGTATTACCAAAAATGTTCCAACGACCGACACTAAATGTAGTGATTCTTATCAAGCCGCTGATTATACATAATTATTAGCTTATTATTCTAATCACAAAATAAAATATAACTGATAAAAATAATTACCTGTTGTGTAAGAAATTTATAATCTGTCATTCGGTCCTATTAAACGTACACGTATTTGGGTCAAAATTTTAAAAAGTGACTAGCATCTTTTTACTTTATTACTTATTGTTAGAAAAATTCAGTTCATGATAGAAAGAATTGCTATCTGTATTAAATAAAGATCGTTCGATTAGCATATCTACACTAGGAAATACTCGATATTTGGAGTTTTTAAAGCACTTTATGATTTACAATCTACTATATTAGTGAGAACTAATTTTGAGTTCATAATATTTTATTATAGTTCAGGATTAGATAATTATCAATTACATTTATCGTTGGTAATGAAAGCAGACCTTTCCTCAAAGTTGTCTCTTATATCCTAGCTAGTCCACAATTCTGCATAGTGAATACTATATTACTTGAGATAATAATCACGATATTACTTAAGTAATCGTTTAGCTCAATTAAATCGGTAGCTAAATCAGCTCTTCTAACTAATACGAAGTAGATATGTTAATTTCACTCGATGCTTACGTCATATTTCTAACTATATCAGAGTAATGTACTGGTAGTTTAAGAACATTGTTATACAATCACAGTATAATAAAATAAATAAATTCATTCAATAATATATCTAATGAACGCTAAGAGCCTAACAATAGCTATGGCTACTAGCTACTGAAATACATTAAGTATTAATTTATTATGAAAATTTAAAATAAAGTGTAACGTTACGTTTATAATTTCCTCACGGCGCTCTATACCCGATGACTAATTTACGGACTGTAAATGTATCGGATCTACAGTACAATACATCCCTGTACTTTATTTGGATAAAGATTCCAACAGAAATAACCAAATATATGCGCGCACTAAAGCACTAAGACAAGACAGCATCGGACGCTGAGCAATTTAAGGACTCTATTAGAAAGTCTTTCCTTAACACGTGAAGCTCTTGGAAGCCATCTGATAAAGCAGTTCGCCTTGTTAGCTTTAGATCTTAAATTGGTTAGACCACAGTGTTTATTTAGTACGGTATATTATCTAATTCAATTGTAATTACGATAGCATTGCCATAGTAGGATAGATTCTTTGTAAGCTGGTACAAACAGCTATAGTAGATTGCTATTAGAGACAAATCTTCCTATAGTAACCAATCCTACTAGAACAGCTATTATCATTAGACAACGTGAAATACTGGACTAATTCATCTCTTCAAATCGCTAACGACAGTTGGCTTTTTAGAGGATCTCTAAGTTATTATTTATCAGTAGTATAAGAACTGGATCAATCGGTATTACAAACATATTAGCGATTGTCCTTCAGGTTGATAATTAGGAACCATTTCACGCCATATCTTTCTAGTTAAGGCCAAGATTGGCAATTCTATCTATGTTATCGTTACATTATGCCGTTTAATTATTATTAGTTATTTTTATACCTGATACTGTACTACTAATATTTCACTAATAATCTGGGGTTGATAACTTCACTGTCGGCCATCACTGTAGATAAATTAACTGTAATCACTGGTAACTTCACTTACGAATACTATAGACTTAATCAATTTTATTAATGTTCTTAAAATTTCAATATAAACGACCATAGTTTGTATTTCTACAGGATCAGCACGAAATGGAGTCGGCAAAGCAAAACATCGATAGCCCAAAAGATGAGAATGAGACGGTAAAGGTTGTGTCGAAAGGCCCTTCAGTTATTATTTCTGAAAGAAATCGATGGATTATCATCGTTTTAAAATGCTTAATTGACTTTGTAGTATCTGCAGTTTTTTCCATACTGGATCATTTGATTTAAATTTTAGGCTGCGGAAAAAGACGTGCAGCCAATTCTAGTTAGCGTTATCTTTTCAATTTATCCGATCATGGTATTTTTATTATCGCCATTCTTTGGAATACTGGTAAATTTTCTTTATGGCGGCTTTGCTTTGTAGCCATACTTGTTCTAGTATGAATTGACTTCATAAAATTCTCATGTTCTTAAATTTTACTTGATATCATCTGATTAGCATTATTATATATTGAAAGTGATCTATTTTATAACATGTAGTTGCCTAAAGTAGGGCCAAAGTTTCTTTTATTTACCGGAATGTTTACTGAAGCTTGCTGCACCATTATGTTCGGGTATAATAATGATAACTTTACCTTTCTTTACAACATTTACAACATTCCAAGCTAGGTCCGGTTGTTATACATGCCAGTGATCTTATCATCGCTAACAATTTCTTTCATTAACCTTTTATGTTAGGTTTTTATCCATTATTCCAAGTTCATCGATATTTGTAGCCATTTGTATCATTGTTCGGGCCCGTGCAGGGAATTACAGTAGCCGCTTATCAAACTGCTACATTTGCTGTTGCTGCTTCCCTTTTTCAAGAATCGATGGCTACAGCACTGGTACAGTAATATACAGCGTAGTTATAGTATTCTAACTTGTAATACCCTTATTAAATACGGTACTAGTAATATATCGAAATTAATTTCGTTTGAATAATGTAAATAGGGAAGTTTGGAAGTATTTACTAGCTTAGGTGCAGCGCTTGGACCATTAATCGAGGCTTACTATATCAGGTTAGACAATAATTTTATACATCTTTGCATATTCTTAAACTAATTATTCTTACTCGTACATTAGCTAAATAGAAGAAGAGGCAAATAACGCTAATGCAGAGTAACATTGAGTTCAAAAAACTAATATTAATGTACATGTTTCCCAGGTTGGAGATTTTAAATTACCGTTCATCGTAACTGGAGGATTTATGGCTGCCAGTGCAATCGTCCTTCTCATCTTTATGCCATCCATTCGGGGTATGTAACTTTAGGCTGTGATTCATTTTATGAATGATTCTATCCATTTAATTTCAGAATAAAAATAATTTCAACATCTTTAGGGCGCTATTTACATATAAATCTGCTTTCCAATTACAGAATCAGGTCCTAAAGTTTCAGCATGGAACTCTATGAAAATTATTCTTCGAATTCCACATATCACCGTACTAAGTAATTAAACTAAAGTAAAGTATAAAGATACTAAATACTATAATACATTAAGCTTGTAAGACATTTGTACTATAAGCAAATGATATCTCTATGTTTTTCTTCTTACAGGCTTTGCAATAGCATCTTGCATAGCTGCTATAACGTTCTTCGATCCTAGCTTGGCCCTCCATCTTAAACCTGTAAGTAAATTTAAATGATATCAAAATCTTGGACCGATTACATAAAATTACTAATGCTGGTAATCAGTAAAATTCATATCATTTTCTATCTGAAATGAATTTATTAAACTGTATCTATAATTAATATTGAATATAATATCGAAATTTTGAACCCCACCAGCTTAAGCTCACCCCAACGGGCATAGGTTTGGTATTTTTGGCACCTTCAGGTGCTTATGGTGTTATGTCAGCGGTGGCTGGAAGGCTGTCTGATAAGTGGGTTAGTTTTAACGTGTACCATATGAGTTATATAAGGCAATAACAAGATATTAGATTTATTTTCGCTTAGCTGTAAACAAATTTTACTAATATCGTGTATTTTCTTGGTTTCAATCTATAGGGATACCGGCCGTTTATTGTCCTAGGTTGTCTTCTCGCTGGAGTTTCGTTTTAATTTGTCGGACCAGCACCTTATTTACATCTGTCACTGTTAGTATTTTATTTCCAAAATATTGAAAGATGGAACATGAATATCTTGTTTTAAATAAATCTTAGGAAACTGTGGCTATCGATTATTTCTTTGATCTTTCTTGGTATCGGTCTCGGAATGGTCTTTACTCCAGTTTTTCCAGATATGATTGAAGCTGCCAAGTTAGTATACATAATGTATACCGTATTAATAGAGTTTTTGCTAGCAGTTAACATAGCTTACTACGCTATATTTTTTCACATATGTGTTTCAAATTCATAGAAAGAGAAACATCGGAAACGATTTTGTAGTATTTTCAGTAATTTCAGGATTGGTTTCAGCATTTTTCTCATTAGGGTATGATAGACCGAATGTAACACTGTAGTGTATATACGGTTTATGGACTGCATATCTATTTTTATTTTACGACGTTTCTGTATAAATTCCCTTATCCCATTTTACTTTATTCGCTTTTTCGCAGTGAAATAGTAGGGCCTTTTATTGGAGGATCTTTTAATACCCTAGATAGTATCAGTTTTGATTGGTCTTCATCGGTATGACTACATAGGATAAATTAAAGTCTATAAATACTCCAATATAACAGGTGCGTATGCTATAAATCTTTTTATTTTTATCTAACCTTTGTTACTATTGTTTACAGGTACTTGGTTTCGTTCTCGTTGCTGAAGTAAGTCTCCTTAAAATAATATTCAACAATTATCGGTATTGAAACTGCGAGCTAAGGTAGTAGTGGTTGCTTAGTTCACCTACCGTAAGGATTTTAAACAATAATAATAGCTTTCAGCACATCAATATTATTTGTACTTTATTGTCTTTAAGGGCTATTACTAATGGTTTTTACGATTTGGGAGCGCAAATATTGTAAAGACAGGTAAGATATATTACCATGGCACGGGCCGTACCTTAAATTTTCTAGTCTTCTTATCAGATTTTTATTTTAAAAGCCTCGAAGAAACTGTGGAAGACCATGAAACAGAAAATAATGAGAAGACGAATTTGTTAGAAGACGAAGCTAAAAGATAGTAGTTGAAGCAAAACTTAGCTACTGTAATATATACATCAGGATATAACTCTTAAGTTCAGCATTTGTTGCAATCCTAAGATCCTATGCTAGTATCACGACATTTTCACTGGTTTTATTCATACAGTATAGTAAGCAGCTAGTTTTCGAAACATTTTCTAATAAAGAAATTCCGAAATGCTGGATTTGATTTTACGTTGACAACATAATTTGATTAAGAATTTCTTCACGTAAAAATAATACGACTATATGGTGGACAATTTATTTATTTTTTAACTTTTGAATGTCTAGATATCGCACAGTACAATAAAGATGTTCATATGATTTAACATGAACACAAATTTATTGCAACTTTGAAATAAATTTGTCATTTAACTACAGTTTTCACTTTCCAACCTTTGAGTCTTATTTTTATGATTGTAACAAAAAATTGCAATTTATTTCGTTACAAGCCATTATATCAAGGACATAGTTACTTATATACTAAACTCGGCTTTAATGATGAACTTCAATTACTGATGTAATCATTTAGAGCTATCGTATTAAGTTTAATTTTATTGAGCTTAAATACTGTACAAGCTCTTTCTAATATTCAAATGGTAATGTAGTATTTCCCGATCTAGCCGTGTTTGAGCCTTAGCAATTCTTGGGGTTGCACCTGAGAATGATAAACGTAATCAGATTACTTTCCAAGAGTGTAGTGACTTTATATTTTCATATATGGCCGGCTATAAAAGAAATACTACAGGGCGCATTTTAGATGTTAAGTATTTCATTATACGTGTAGTTTTAGCCAAATTTTCTTTTCATTAAAAAATATACTAGCTGAAATTCTCTGTTGGTTAACGCTTATCCCTACCCAAGTTTATAAGGTATGGGTTAGCTCAAATCAGAAATTAAAAATATTCAGCCGTATCTGCCTTGCTACAAATTAGGCTAGTCACTCAACATATTAATATCTTAATATCTGCCACTACCGAAATACTAAATTGCGCGTAATAACTTTAAAATGGAATAGTTATTTACCATTAAAAGATACAAATACATTCAAACAAATCCAAACGAATTAATTTATATTTAAAATCTTCAGATGCCCGACTTCTAAAATTTCTTTGGTCATAACAGAATGAAGCTTTAAAGGGTCGACTTAACGTTAATGTCTCTGCTACAGCTAAGATTTTTATGAGCTAGCAAGGCAAGCTAGCTAATTACTAAAACCAATTTGATGGCCGTGCATTTAACTTAATAACTCTAATTACTCAGCAGCAGGTACTCCTAATCTAATTCTCCTTAACACATATTGTTAACTAATAATTGTCTTGTTAGTTATATAATTTAAAACAGGATATAAGGACCGTATTATGAGCAGTTAGGCTGCGATAAGATTTATGGCCGTTAAGAATGGTAACTTTACTATCTCTAGCAATAAAATTAATTAGAACTTAGATATCAGCTAATCTTACATTTTAAAAATCCTCTAGCAGATAAAACTGGTAGGTTTGCGTACGGTCATTAAGTGCACAATATCAAAAATAGTACAAGCGCCAATATCAGACATATAGTGAATCGCTAAATATCTTTCTTTGCCATTGAAAGCTTCTCTGCAAAAACATTTAGTATTTTCGCTTTTTGCGAGGTAATTGAACGAAAATAGTAACTGTCCACTACAAAATATTGGAAATCGTTCACTAGGAATTAGTAAACAGTATACTCGTTATGTTAATGTCGACCAGTAGCTAATTCCTTTACTATAATTTTAATTAATAGTGCTTGCTTCATTATCCTCCGTGGAACTTATTTTATAAAGAATCTTAACTGACTAAGGAAGTATATTACATTCAACCAAGCTACAAACTAGTTATTTAAGCCTTTAATCATCTATTAAATAATTTATTTCGCAGTTAACGCGTTTCTTAATGTGTTTCTCCCAATAACTACGATTGTGGTAATATAATCAATTCTTTCTAAAATGTCAGTAACGTACTCATTGTTACCTGTTGCCAGTTTCGATAATCTAATAGTAAGAAATAAATCTCTATTTTACATCAATATAACAATGTATATGGTTTATGTAAAGAATTCTTTCTTGACAAATTACAAGTATTTACTAAGCAATAGTAGACAAGTGATATATTATTATTTAATTAATTTTGCAACATATTTAACAATTTGTCAAGTTTAAATATTAGCTTTGAGAAACGTAATTAAGTTTTCTTTCACTGATAATCCTGTGTGCAAAAAGTTACAGAAGCGTTTGTTAGTTATCGAAATTGAAGATAGGACTTGTAGATTTGTTAATTTTTCCAATTTATTGAGCTCAAAAATTAGAAGTTACCGACGAATAACTGAACGCACAACTAATCCATACACGAAACGTTTACAACTTGTAACAAAATCAAAACCTCAAAACTCATCAATTCTCCACGCTAGCCGCTCCACAGGCCTTTAATACTGCCCATTTTATGAACTAAAGTACAACTGCAAATAACTAATTTAAGTCTACTACTGTACACTATATTAGGAACCATATCTAAATTTTGATAATGAACGTTAACGTAAGTCATTGCATCAGCAATAAATGCTATAGCCTGAACGTATTGGTGGTCGTAGCAATTAAAAATTTTGCTCACATCAGCACTTGTTGATACGCCATTCATTGACAGATTCTACTCAATGAACTATCAGTGGAGGAATATAGCAGCTAGAATGTTGATTTTCTATTGCCTACTGCCCAACCTACACATTTTAAGGGCACTACTCGATTATTTACTGTTTAATTACTACGTTCACAGACAAAGAAATCGGAAGAGTCAATTGAAATCCGCCAACTATTATTTCTTATATAATTTGATCGGCTCTGCTTTATTTATCGCCATACACCCATTACTTACAATGACGCAACAGGATTAATACCACAATACATGCTTCGAAAAGTCGCTATAGTAACCATAGTCAGAGAGAATAGAGACCCATATAGAGCAAACAATGTCTTGCCGCTAATTTACATTACTAATTATGACTTACAGTACAATGTTACAACTATATAGGTAGAATAAGTCTTTTATGCAAGATAAATGGTGCTATTATGTGATTTTAGTTAACGATTTTCGCGTGACGGTAGTAGCAAATCGAAAAATTTCGTATAAATCTTGTAAACTAGAAATTAATTTTATAGCTATAATTTAGTATTTAAGGATCGAAAAAGTTTATGATATAACCAGCCAATTTTAATTCAAAGGTCAGAAAACTTCCATATTCGTAAGTAGTTACAAGGATATCATAATCTATTCTCTGTCAATAAGAATACAGACAGATCAACTGGTTTGCCTAGTTTTCTTAATCACACTTATTGAGTGTAGCACAATATGATTAACTTTGCTAAGTATTTATTTCTAAAATCGATGTGAAAGACCAAGTACTATATCTGCTGTATTTAATTTATAGTAATATGGCGTAGACTACATTATGTATTGATCACGGAAAAGTCAATTTTCGAGAAACCTCTGAAACTACTATAGTTTAAATTTAAATCGTTCTTGTAGCCATAGATTAACTTTTTGATGAGAACCGTGTTTTCAGTTTTATGCAGTCATTACTCCTAATATTACATTTAATTGAAGCTTCGTCCTTTAAATATACTATAACTAAATTATTTTTATATCACGGTGTTCTTTGAATATTCGATAACAGTATTAAAAGCAGTAAAGTGAATAGAAAAGTTATTCATTGGGGCCAATATTTAAGTAATTTGGTCCCTAGGGTCTAACCATTCAATAGTTTGACTTCCGCACATTTGTCATTTACGTACACAAAGCAACTCACTCATTCATGATCTACCAAGAGTTTAACGAGTCCACAAAACGTGCATAGCAAGCTGTTTATATCTAAAACGTGTAAACGAAGACCAATTCAATAGCAAAACCTTCGACACCTCTGTGATAGAGTCATCAGATCTAATATTTTATGTCAGGCTGTAATAGATAGTATCCAATTAAGATCCAAATTCATCCAATGTTACCATTACAATGGCAGTTGATACATTACCGCGATAAGCCAACCCGTATACATTGGCGGCGATAAAAATATGAAGAGAGATGGATTGGATGATTTTGATTTTTTTCCAATTAAGCCCCCAAAATTTCTTATACAATTACTTCTATTTTAACTCATATAGATAAGGTGGAGTAAATATCTTTGACAACTATTTCCGTCGCAACTAAAGTGATACTATATTTGAAAAACCTGTAATTTGTCTATTTTATCACATACCGGTATTATAATTCAGTAAGATCTCTCTTAAACAAAACCCCAACTGTTGCAGTAGAATTACTTCTAGTAATATATATGCAATTAGAAAATACTACTTGCAAGTATTTCGATAATTAACTTTCTGATAGCATGTCATATTGCTAAATACAGTATAGATTATCGCCGGTATCTTGCAATAATATCTTCTATAAATCTTTTGGCACACTGGTTTACTCCGTAATCGTTATTTATACGATTTATCTACGATCCATAAGTTCATGTGTACAGATTCAGAACCAATTAATTACTGTAGAATCTATCGTCTAAGGTAAAAAGGTTTAAAGATAAAACATACCTAATACCAATATTAAAATTGCTTACTGTTTAGCTTTATAAATTTAATTAACTGAAATTATATGGCAATGTCCTTTGGCTTTACAAGCTAAAATTGCATATATAACTGCGCAGCAAAATTTAAAGATGTTTTTACTATTATATGTTTTCAGATAGGAAATTTATAAGCTGGTCTAAAATTTTCCAAAAAATACAATGGCTAATAGTAAAAAATATACAGCAAGTAAAAAGGGTGGTACAATGGCTCTAATTTGCATTATTTATGGCCTTTGGGGCGTTATTTATAGCTTGCCAGTACCATTTTTCCCTCGTGAGGTAAAGCTAATTTAATCAAACCTAAAATATGTGCAATATTAATTATATTGTACCATATTTATTTTAGACTCTCTGCATACTACGTTGTATTGTAACGATATAAATCTCAACAATATAAAATTATCTCCAATTCAGTCCTACTACATACGCATAGCTTCATGTCATGGAGTGGAAACCATAAAAATGATACTCCCGTCTATTTCGTGCTGTTTTTCTCTAAAGAGTACATGACATCTGTGCATTTGACATGATTGTTCTAAAGCAATTTTCTTAGCTTACATCTAATGAATCAAATTATCAGTTTTTCAGTCACATTGTAACATCTAGCTCCATTTCTTGCCAAAATATCTAGGCGGTTAAATGCGGCTTAAGTGTATTAGAAATTGGCGTCATTTTTGCTATGAGTCCTGCAGCTGTATTTGTCTGCTCACCTTTATGTGCAATCCTGGTAAGAATATGATTGAATTAATCGAAAATATAGTTTAATTATAACATCAAGTAATAGCCTATAGCTATCGATCTTAAAATTACTTCACAAGATTGCTACACGCTTTTGAAGTTTGCATGCGAACGCTTTCATTTAGGGTAATCATCACGTTTATTATTGGAATATTCGCATGTCATCTACAACATAAGAATACTTACTGTATATCTATACTATTGTGATACTGATGTTGATTAAGTAATTTATTATATGCGTATACGAGTAGCGATTAAAATTGGAAATCCTACAGTATGTTATATCAAACTATTAGTATTCCAGGTTTTAGATCTACTTACTTAAACAGTCATTTCTTACCTAGTTGCCATCTATTGGTTCGAAGTACATGTTTTGGGCAGGAATGACCATAGAAGGAGGTTGCACTATTCTCTTTGGGTAATTATTGCGCTTCTAATTTTGTTAACATTTTTATCGCATGAGTTCGTTAATTTTATACTAAAAAATACTTTTAAATGAGCCGTAATTAATTAAACTGGATTGAAATTTCATTCTCTAGAACTTTAACCCTCATGGATGACAGAATATCTTTTTTGGTCTTTGCATTACTTATTCGATTCACTCAAGGCATCGGAGGGGCCATACAAGGCGTCGCCATTGAATCAACAGTTATCGTTTTGTATCGCGATCGTATCGCTTCGGCCAAGGTTAGATCTTTTTCGGTAGCTAAATCTTTAACCTCAAAGCCGTAGCCTAGTATGTAGTGTGAATTCTCAGAAAAGAAGCTACCGGCACTTAGTGTACTTATCACAATCATATGCAATGCATACTTAATTTAATAAAATGCGATTTAAACCCTCAATCAAAATGGAGAACATTTTAGTGCTTAAGTTATCGCATTCTGCTAATTTACGGAGTATAGGGCTTTATAGAAACTTGTCTTGGAATCGGATATGCTACTGGACCCTTAATAGGTGCCGGGCTTTATAAAGTTAGTTTCTTTGCCAATTTACAGTACTGCTCCGAAATACTATTATTTTAATTTAAAACTAATTGCTTTGGCTTAAGTAATTTATAAATTTACGCACTTTTACTGAAATTTTAGGCTGGTGGATACGCTATGCCATTTCTTGTTATAGGTAGCATTGTGATTTTAACTGCTCCTATAGCAACTTACACCTTGCCACAAGTTGCCGGTAAACATGATAACCTGCAATAAATAACTTACACTTTCTAGTTCCGGTTATTCTACTGACAATTGTAAACTGAAATTAACTTTTATCTTAACATTATCTAACAGACGCCAATGTTGCACCATGGAAATCAATGATTAAGTTATCTAAAAGTTTTTACATTATCTTACTATGTAAGCTCAAAAGTTTTTATTAGTATTGCTTGATATGTAGTTTAGAGTTTAAGGACGGTACAAATAATGGTTTATTTTAGCTATACCTAAATTATTCATCTTGATTGAGTAACTATAGGTTTTGGCATATTTATTCAAGTAGCGTCTCAAACTTTTATCGAAACTAATTATTCGATTCGTTTAACAATCGTAAGTTCACAGCTGTAGTATCTACAACCTTTTATAACTTAAATTTTTTACTTCAGAAGCAGATTGACATATGGATAAACTATCAGTCATTAACTTACTTAATTGGCTAATAAATACTTATCTGAACATCTTTCATTCTGCTGATAGTTTCATATGGATGTTGTAAAATCAGCGGCAATAATACTAATATCAGCAACTTCTTATGCAGTAATTGGTATTACAGTTGGATTTGCGTCTGATTATTTCGTAAGTTCAGTTAGTAACATCTCTAATTTTTAAAATAGGTTGCATAGTTCTTATACTTACAATAGCCATACAGTGCCTATTGATATAAATGGGAAAATGCAATACTTTTAACTTATTATTCACATAAAAATGAAACATCAGCTTATATAACCATGATGAATAATCATAAAATTGTTAGATGAAATAAATATTAATATCTTGATCCTTGATCTTTATCAATGTTAGGGCTATAAAAAATTTATTTTGTCGGGATTTTTCCTAATTGCAATAGCATTACAAATGATGGGATCTTTTCCATATTTCAAGATTAAGCCGTAAGAATAATCTAAATTTCTTACTTTTGATTATATTTGGATGATAAATTTTAAATATTATCGATTTTATGAAGTACGGACCTGTAATTAACTACTCTCATTGTGATATCATCGATTACCTAACAAAAATTTATTGAATGTATCTAATTGATATAATGTCCCTTACCCACATCTAGCACTTTATGGCATTTTATGGTCGGTAGCGCTTTATATGGCGTCGGTGCTGGTGCAGTAATGATGCCAATGAGTGCTGAGATGGTTCGATATGCAAGGTTTTCTGCTCAATTGCGTAAAATCTTCATAACTCGCTTTTGATTGCCTATATTTTATTGTAATCAAGAAACAACTACCTACTTATAACTTATCAAAAATACTTCTGTAAATATATTTTTAAGGTTCTATTATAAACATTTTACTCTAAGTTACAATGGTATTATCAAATTCGAGTAAATTTAAGAAACTATTGCAATAAGCACTTACTTAAATAATAACTTAAAGTCAGTAATTCAGTAGCAACTGTAAATAATATTGAACCAAACCCATATTTAAAAGTTCACTTCGGTCTCTCTTAAATGATAGTGAAAATGATATTGGCGATAACCTAGGTGTTTATTCTTCGGTAGCCGGATTGTTCAAAGTCTTCCAGTCACTGGGGTAAATCACCCGATTTAAATGTTTTCACAGCTGAGATATTTTTGCTAAAGTAGCTACAATAAAGTTAATTAACCGTTTTCTTCCTGTTTTAGAACGATCTGTGGTCCAAGTGTTGGGTCTTCTCTAACTTCTGTAACTTCCATAGGATTTTCATGGACAAGCTCTGTAAGCTAATTTCTTTGTTTAGGTTGTATCTGGTTTGTTAAATAAATGCCTGCGTGTACTCATAATGACTCATTGATGCCCTTATTTAATAAAACAACTGTGGAGATTTTTTAGCTTAACTTTAATTTATAGCGTATGTTGTTACTTGATAAACCACGGACACTACGATGCTTGTAGTTTTAAAGTAATCTGCATCAAAATAACTAGTACATATTTCATTGCCTACTAAAATATTACGAGCGAAATATAAAAATTATAGCAAATGTCTTACGCTGTTACGCAAACAATTTTACCAGTTTTTTATTATTATTACTGTATACCGTCCCAGCTATAAAAATAATTTTACTATCCAAAGTACACTTTAGTGGGCTAAATGTCAATCAAATACAGAATACTACTTACGACTACTTTTCGTTAATTCTGATATTAGATATTCGGTTTTCTGGCGCTTTTGCAGGTAAGTGTCTATTATTGCCTGACTAAATATAATACTGGTATGATTTATTGCAAAATTATGACACACGTATAATTATGATCATCTTTTTTTCATTTCTCAGTTTTTGATCTTTGCCTGTTATAATATATATGAAATAAATTACAAACCCAAAAAACCGTAAGTGTCCGATATAATTCTAAATGAATAACTTTGAAGCGTTCTATTAATGTTGATAGACACTGATCCAGTTGAAAGAGCACTTAAAAATGAGATCTTTACCATATAGAACTAAAGTGATAGATAATTGTGGAACCTACGAAAAGTTATCCAGCATAGAGGAAGTACAGGAAGAACATGTATCAAAAGACGGTGAAAACCACACGATACAATCAAAAGATATCGTCTACGATAATACAGAGACTGGTGCACAAGTATTAGAATGTGACGATAGACAAAAGAAAATTTCCGACAGCACTAAGCTGTAGAAATTATTGACATAGACAATATGAAACCGCTATTTTTAAATTCCATCAATACATCGAATGTTAACGTGGTGCATTGATCGTTTCAGCAATAACTGCTGAAGTTTAAGAATACTACAAAGTTGAATTAATATATTTTATCAAATCATGATATTTTAATTTAATTTAATAACAGCAGTAACTAATTGCTATTAGATTTATCAAATAAATTTAGTATTTAATCAAAAACCCGACAATTTATTTTGATACCCTTTTGACTACAATATAAATCCAGGATAGATATAAAATCGAAGCACTGTAAGATTACCACGAACACTATAGTTTATAAAATTCCTTTGCATGAAATATGGATCGTTGAACTATAAATAACTTACAGTAGAAAATTTTTCATAATATCCAATTCCATAAGCACAGACAACTATATTAGACGTTTTGAAGACTATTGTAGTGGTATACCATGTAATAGATTAGCGTGCAGCTCGCCATTGAAGTTTTAGGCTACACTTGTGTAGTAATTTAATAACATTACATATCTTATCGGCAAGTGTTACGAACATACAGATCAATGGTTTTACCCCTTAATGTACCAAATATTGTATCGTAGCATAATTTATGATTGAACCATTTTAAAAGTCATGTAATTTATTACAATTTACCAGGAACTAGCAATAGACAGAAAGTAAAAATAAATAAGTAGATTAATACGCGTCTACCTATATATGAAATATTCAACGTTGATATTTATAGTACTATCATATTAGTTCAGCATTTAATTTTGCATTAATTATAATTATTCATGAACCTGTATAATAGATTTACGAGTCATAAATAGCTATGCTGACGATAGTGCAAGTAACTTGATCCCTATTTATTAGCATCACTCGTAAGCTATCCACTTAGTCTTATAGTATAAATTGATTGCCGCTTTTCTATAAATTGATGCAGTTTAAAGCTAATTCATCTTGTGGTAAACATACTTAAATAATCCGACATTACAATAGATAAATTTAAGTAATAGTGCGTTATTCTATTTTGACTGTAGTTATTAGAGCATACACTCTTACGGGTGATTTCAAGTTTAAAGTAGAAGTTAATGTAATGATTCTGGTACTCTTTACGTCTTGAAATTTTATAATTTGAACTAATGCTGATCGATTAGAATGCAATCCTGTTTTGACACCAATAAATCACTTTCGTATTTCTCATAACAATAAGACTACAAGTAGTTTATTACCTTCAATGAACTATTCAAACACTCTGTTAACTGAAAATAGAGTTGCTCAACTTATCTGTATATAGGTGCTATAATGATTATGTATTAGATACAGAATCTTTAGCATTCTGTTAATATTCAGGAATTATAATGATTACCCAAATATCATTATTTTAACACTTAATATTAACCGTTGAAAGTATTCTTACTTTTATTATAGTAGTAATTGTTGTTATTTCATGTAAGTAATTAGACACAAAAATAACCACTAATAGCTATTAACCTACAGTAGTGCACCGCAAAAAAACTCACTAGCGCTTTATGATAGCTAAGAATGTAAACTTTACGATGTATAATTATCTAGGAAACGTGGAATCAATACAGTAGTTTAATTTACATTTTAAGACTAAACCTCTCAAACATGCCGGTGATCGATTCTTGTAGTAGTTTACTGTATGATGCAAGACATGGTATTACATTATTCTAGACCGTAATTATGTTTTGAAGATCCTTAATATATATTTAGCATCTTTTCTTTATTATTATGGAAAAACCTCAATAAGGCCTCATTATCATTGTACATTGTTATATAAGAATGATCTTTGCAATACAATTACTATTACCTTCTTTAACTTAATAAAGAGTCTCTATAAAAAGTAGGCTTAGGTTATTTCTCCAAATGGAAAGTTTGGACTTTTACTAGAACTTAACATCTTATGGTAGCTTTCCACGTTAGAAGTCTGAGTTTACACCAGATTCTTAATTAGACTTGGAAAAGATTACGAAATTCGTTAATTAGCCTCCAAAATCTACGTAAAATTAGCGTATTGACTGAGTTATTTACTCAAGAACATAAGAATAAAAGTAACATTCTTTGTAGCTTTGCGATCATATTTGATTAGAGTTATTTATATATAGAGGTAAGCACGTAGAATGATGATATGAACGATTTTGTGGCTGAAAATTTATAAATGAATGAGCAATTTTTCCATTAAATAGTTACTCCATAGAAAATATCAAAAATATGTAGTTTGTTACGATGAATGCTTCATCGCCGCCCTTTAGTCTCTAGGGACTGACTATTTAATTGTATTACAGGCTAGTAAGGAGTGTACGGTCCGACTTCATTTTTGGCGTAATAACGTGACTTTACTTACATCCGATAAATTAATTAATCACAGTAAATTAGTCGTCAAGATGTTAACAATAATTTCGGAGATGCCGTAGACATGTCCAAGATGATCGATTTAATAAATTTAAGCCTCGATGTTTCGTAGAAAATCAGGTATCGAGGTAATTAGAATTATCTTATATTTTAATGAATTTAAGCATATACGTGTATAAGCCGTGATCTAGCTTATAATTGTGATGTATTCAGTCGAAGTCCGCTTCATCTTATAGATTAATATTTATTTAAAAAGAAAGATTTTATGACAAGAAAGTGCTATCTATCAGTAAAACGTTTGTGAGTTCAAGCCCATGCTTCGAATTGAGTAAATGCAAACAAATTATATTATACTTCATGATACATCTCTTATATGATGAACTTTAGGTGATAAAGTAAAATTTACAGTGCATAAACTACAATTACTAAAACATGAAGTTGCTTCAGATAATTACATGCGATTTATGTTACGATTAATCCTAGAGCATATTTAGCTGATACAGTTTCATATCGAAACATACTTTCAATTACCCAATAAGGACATCTGTTGCAAGCATAATTTTTACAGATTATTATATTTCACTCTGTTCTTGCATCTCCTATACATTTTAAATTTTTCAGCTTTAAAAAAAAAACTGCTATAGTTCGAATTGAGTCTAGTTTAGAAGATAAAAGGGGCTAAATATTTGTAATTTAATCAGAAAATACAAAATTATTTAAAATAAATTAAGCGTCTTTTAACTATTTCCATAATATTCTATCGATACAGTGCTGAAAAATACGTGTACATTATAAAAAGTTTTGTCTTTTGCCGATTCTATCACAATTAGTTAAAAGTTTTTTATACGCTATATTAATATAATTGACTGTATTCAAGAATATAAAAATGATATCCAGATAAATCCGTCTTCGATTTTATAAAAGTACCAAAACGCAATATAACATTATCGTTTAAGAATTTAGCGGGCTATACACTTTTACATCGGTTATTTTTTGTTGATTAAAACTATATTAGCAGCGCTAGGTGTAAAGCTTAATGATTTTTTTCTTTCTACATGGTAGATTTAAAAATTGTAATATATGTCTACCATTATGAAAGAAAGCGAAATGACGAATAATAAAATGAAGTCAACGCGGAGAAAGACCATGATAATGATCACGCTTTGCGTTATTCATATCCTCTGGGGCATGACCTATAGCTTTTCGGTGTCATTTTTTCCTCGTGTTGTAAGTTAACTTAATCAATTATAAATCATTGTAGTAACGGAATAAAGTACAGTCACGCTTTCTAAATTATGATCTCAGAGAGTGCTACATCTCTAAATAATCTAGTTTGACGATAAAAATTTTCCAATCTAACGCTACTGGACTAGAGTATTTATTTGTGGAAGTATCAAAATTACCTGAATAATGCTATACAAGTATCGGTATCTTGTCATTACATCATTCTCTATGGAAATAATCACGTAAATATCTTGTCATTGCATCATTCTCTACGGAAATAATCACATAAATACTATCACACAAACTGTGATTACTCCAACGTACTTTTCACATTTTGGGTCCGATGGTTGAAATCAATTCATTTTTCAGTTACCGTAGATCCTAGCTTTTAACTTTTATTCCTTTGCCATTTAGGCGATTAAACATGGTTTAAGAATATTTGAAGTTGGTATCGTTCTAGCAATGTCTCCTTTTGCTGGGTTTATCACTTCATCCTTCTGGTCTATTTTGGTAAGCATATAAATTGTAAATTTGATCTGTAACGACCGCAAATTAAAAACATCAAGCATAATGTATAATTAAGCTTTCAACCCTCAGAATCTTATTATTACATCTTTTTGCTATCTAATTAAATTTACAAGCACGTTAAACTTTAATCGCACTAATAACTTCAGCACATGTCGATATTGTCTGATTTATTAAAAAGTATAAAAATAATTAGTCTAAATACTAGTAAAGATAAAATTAAAAATCGTCTAATGTACAACACTTACCTAGTAAACTTTCGAACTTTAGAAGTTCTTATTTTTAATACAAACATCATATTTTATAGTTACCATCTACTGGAGCAAAACACATGTTTTGGGCTGGAATGACCTTAGAAGGCGGTTGTGTTATTCTTCTTGGGTAATTTTTATTACTTCAAATTAATAAATTACTAATCTTTATATTCATTTAATTGATTATAGACTATTTTATAGCAATTACTAAATCAAATAAAATTAAATATGATTTGAAATTTTTATTCTTTAGAGCTTTATGCTACATCTACGACAGAATAACATTCTTAGTCTTGGCAATAATTCTTCAATTCTTTCAAGGTACCGGAGCATCCATGCAAGATGTCGTTGTTGAGTCGACAGTGATGGTCATTTATCGTGACAATATTGCGTCTGCTAAGGTTTGCCTTATTCTCAGTAGTTATAGATCCTTATCTTCCTACAATCGTTTCATATATATATATATATATTATAGCTATCAGCATCGATTAACATTTTCAATTTCAAGACATTAAGAAAATTTAGTATAATAAATATATAGCGCTATTTGTACGAAATAAAATATACACAGATTAAAATAATTAAAATGAAATAAAACATTCATTGCAATTTTCATTCAAATTGCGAAACAGAAATGTTCTAGTTAACATATTATACTGATTTCATGAAATATAGGGCTTCCTAGAAACTTTCGCAGGAATTGGATACGCTATTGGACCTCTTATAGGAGCTGGCTTATATCATGTTTGTTTCTCTACTAAGAACTTATACCAATACAAAAAACGAATCTTCTAACTTAAAGCTAATTGTGTTGGCTTGTGCGATGTTATAATTTTTTAAGACTAACTTGAATAATTCGATTACTTGCATTTAAAACACTAGGCTGGCGGATACCCTTTACCGTATAATGTTATAGGCGGTATTACAATTGTAGCTGCATCTTTAGCCACTTGTGTTCTACCAAATGTTGGTGGTGAGTTCAAGAACAACTCCTAATTAAGTATCAGTAGAATTAATTGATAGTATAGATTATTACTTTATGTATGATTTCAATGCTAAAATCAATTAAATTTGCAATTTATTTCTAAAAGATAAGCGTGCAGCGCCGTGGAAGTCAATGATTAAGTTAGCTAAAAGTCCTTATATTATCTTATTATGTAAGCTATGAAATGATTGAATTATATAAAACACGAATTAAAGGTATATGAGTAGAGCAGATAATATTTTCTTTTAGCCAATGCATAGTTATATCTAAATTTAACTTCTATTAATATACGATAGGTTTAGGAGTATTTATTTCCGTATCAACTCAATCTTTTTTGGAAACTAACTATTCTGTGTATTTGAAAATCGTAAGCTTGGAGTTATCTCTTTTAAATTACGAGTTATATAATCTTCACTCGTCATCTTATACTATCCGTTCTTTAATACTAAAAGGATAACATATTCTGTAGATATAAATTATATATAACTATGATAAATGATATTAATTTTATGTTCTGAACCTCGAATCCTCAATTAAGGCGATTCTTAATAGAAATAATGCATAATTAACATGCATTATAAGCTGATAAATATTAATGATTAATTATACCGTTAACTTCTTTGTATAGTTTCATGTGGGTATCGTGAAATCAGCGACAATATTGTTGCTAATAGCGGTTTTCTACGCAATAACTGGCATGATTGTTGGCTTCGCTGCTGAATATTTTGTAAGCTCACATTGCAATATCTTCCATTAATTATAGAATTATAAAAACGTACCATTTACAGTGGTTCTTATATTATCATTTAAATCATATACCGCTCGATATGAGTAAATATCAGTGCATAAAAATAACAAAATTTTAGTATATTTAGACACAACAGACATTTAGAATTGTAACAATTTTAGTTTATTGCTAGGGCTATCGAAAATTTATTATATCTGGATTATTCCTAGCTGTAGTAGGGCTACAGCTTAATGCATCTTTTCCATACTGGCACATTCAACCGTAAGAGTTGTCATATTTGCTAATTTCGTCATTTCACTAGATTACAAATATTAGATATGATAATTTCTAAAATATACGTAATATTCATTTGCTAATTCCGCAATATGATCGATTGTCTACTGTATATTCATTTATTACACATCTAATTCACATAACAATCTTCCACATAGCAAATTGTGGCATTTTATAGTTGGTACTTCCATAATTGGTGTCAGCCTTGGTGCAGTAATGATGCCAGTCAGTGCTGAGGTGGTGCAATACGCGAGGTTAGCTACTTAATCACATAAAACCCTCACAATATCATCAATCATTGTTTCTTTTAAAGAATAATATTAGCTCAAAATTCAAAGTAGCATTCAAAAGATTTATTTTAACAATTCTCTTTAGCTATAGTGTAAACGACAAATTTCTTTAAGTGCAAGTAAAAATTGTGCTAGTAACTGCAATTCATAAGCTATATCAATCAGAAAATAAAATAGATTTAAATACAATAAATTTTAAAATATGTTTCTAACAGATTTATTAATATTCCCTTAAATAATAGTAAAACCGATATCGGAGATGACCTTGGTGTATATTCCTCGGTATCTGGATTACTTCAGATCTCACGCTCATTAGGGTGGGCGATTAACATACAATTGTTTACTTCAACCGTAGAAGTTTAGGAAGATCTGCGATAAAAATTACTAATCAATCTACTCTATTTCAGAATGATCTGTGGCCCAAGTGTCGGATCTACTTTAACTTCTATTCCAACGATAGGTTATTCATGGACAGCTTCGGTAAGTGAATCGTTCATTTAGATACAGTATATATCATCCGATTCATCATATACCGCTATATATTTAGTAAAATCCCACATTACAATACTGCATGTTTTCGATGAAACTTGAAAGTATCGTTACAGTAAAATTATTGAATATAGGTACTATCGCTTGTTATATTCTAATTAACATTCTGGTACTGCACGCTAAATTTTAGTTATATTATTAATATGTATCTGATGAAAATATACAGGACCTATATATCTCAATACTTTCTTATCTATTACATGAAAAATACATAATGACTAAGCTAAATGCTTAAAACTTTATATAAGTATAATTTACCTATTTCTTTCTACTATGATATTTCAATTCTAAAATAATTTCACTATATAAATTCGGCGTTATTAGCTTAAATATCGAGCAAATGTTATACTTACAAAATGTGTTGTTTTTTATTCTCGTATTAGATATTTGGTTTTGTCACTCTCTTGTTGGTAAGAAGTGTAATCTACCTTTAACTAAATGCAATAAGCCGCATTGCGATATCCAAAAACTAATACTATATCGTTTTGTTTCCTTCCTCAGCTCTTGATTTTTACTGTTTACATTATATTTGAAAAGAAATGGCAATCAGTAAATTCGTAAGTATTATCTAATTTATTATATGAATGAACATTAAGTTCTTATTCAATATTAAAAATATACAAATGAGGGTTCCGAAATACTTGTACATAAAATACTATATCTTCTTTGTAGAACTAAAGTAATAGATGATTCTGGGACATACGAAAAGTTGCCTAGCATTGAAGAAATAGAGGAAAACCCTGCATATCTTAAAGATGATGATGAAAGCAGCTCGATGGAGCTAAAAATCGCGAAAGATATTGTAAAAATAAATAAATGAGTATTAGAGTGTGACGGGACTCAAAAAGAGACTTCTGATAATAGAAAGACATAAAATCAATTGCTTCAAGCAATAAGGAACTGTGATATAGCCCCAAGTATATGTAAGACTAAGATTGTTAGATTATACAAAAATAGATAAATTGTATGTGTAATTGTAAGATTGTATAGGTGTCTATTTGTAAAAGTTGATTACAGCACCTATTGTAGCAAGACTAACCAGATATTTATATTAAGATGCTGAGGTATAAATGGTATTGTAAGATTAATATTGTGACGCTTTAATTAGGAGCAAGAGTTACGAATTGATAGTGCAATAGTAAATTTACATATGATTTTGTGACTTCATTGGTAAGATACGATTGTATTTGAAGGAAAATCATTCTGTTACTAATTGTACATAAATCGTGAATATTGCTATAATAATTTGGATAGTTAAGAGATTTTCTAGAGATAGTCCTTAGTAGTTAGACGAGCATAAGTTATGTAATAAGTGAAATAAAAAAGAAACTGTGTTTATTGTTTCATTTTTAAGAAGATACGTTATTAAAAGAACATTAATTTCAAATATTATAGGCATATCGATTATTATATGTATTATACGTATTAATACATAAAATTTATCATTTCAGCTTAGCTGAAATTTCAGATGACCATACCGATGATTGATTTGTGGAACGGGGAACGCAGTTGCAAAATCTTATTTTCAACTTGATGATAAATTATTTCCTAGATTTTTCACAAATTAAAAATTTTCTTATAAAGTCTGGAATTTATTTCATTTCTATGCCGATTGTCAAAAAATTCCATTTAATTTTTAAGCATCGTAATTATATAAGATTGTGGAGCTTTCACTAATGTAGTCGAAATTTTTTGTATATATATGAATTGTTACTAGTCGAAACTTGTAACGTGTGAAACTTGAATTATTACATAATAACTACAGCTACTAGTCTACTGCCAGATTGTTCTCTCGGATATCTACCTAAAGTACGACTCTAAATACTAACGATCTCCTATCGTCAGGAGGAATAGTAACACTATTAGTCTCTCTTAGATAAAACTAAACCCGAACTTTATTGAAAAAGACCAGTCAATTTACGTAAAAATGAATTATCAGTACATAGATATTATCACAAAACTATACATTTATCTGTAAAAGTATGTATATAGCGTCACAAATAACAGTATTTTCGAACAAATGCTAAAGTATGTTACCTGATAAAAGTAAGATAAACATTAGTTAGTGAAAGTCACTTCGTGACAATATCTATATAAGATAAAGATAGCTTTCGTACAGTATCCTGGATTTTTGTAGAAATTTACTTGTTGCTTTGGACATACTTTATTTTTTGGTAATGGTCACATAGGAGCCTGTGTATTTGCATCGTGCACTAAGATTTAAAAGCGTATATATCTAACACGAGTATTTATACTTTTACTACCTTTAGATGTCTGATCGATTGCAAATGTGAAAGTAATTATTGTCTACGTTTATTAATAATTAATTATCATGAACCGAAGTATTTGAGCGAAAGTAGTCTAGATCTTTCTGTTAATTTAGGCACACAAACTATGGGAATGTGGTGATTTCTAGTTGTCAAGAAAGGGTACATATTAATCAGAGTAAAGCATAAAACTTGTATTAAATTGATAGATATTTACTGCGAGATGATGGAAACAAATTTTGCAATAAAAAGTTGTATGATGTTGCTAGGTGATTTAAGCAGCATAATAAGACAATTTTGTAGTACTCGTAAATTATCTACAGGGTATGTGTAATGTAACTTAGTATTGTGATTGTAGACTGTTAGCCATGTGTAGTATAATGTACGGTAGATATTTATCCTAAGAGATATTTGGTAGCTGTAACTATAGACTGTAGTGGTAGAGACTCTATGCTAGAGTACAGATGGCTATATACAGTAAGCTGTTGAGTTACTAATATGGCTATAGGTAAAAATAGAACTGTAAATCATATATTAGGATATGGTTAACTCATTGTACTTTGGCTGGTGTGAATAATGTCTACGTAAGTACTGTAGTCGTATCCATATTGGATTAATGATGCTCCGCAGTAGAATAGTCTTACTAAGAATAATTTAACTATGTGTAAAATAAGGTAAAAGGTTGCCATGCGGATTGTAGCTGCGAATGCTACGGAAAGTATAAAAGCATGCAACTTTAGATTATTCTGTTAGTTCGTTCTAGAAGTCTTTAGAAGTAGTATTCGGCTAGAGTAGAGCTGTGTAGTTAATCTTTGTATAAGATTCAATAAAGCCCTTATTTTTCTAAAATTTGGAATTTCGTGATTGGTATATATCACAGTATGAAATATTTATTCGTGATTGATTAAAATAGTATATAGTAAAGAATGGCTTTGCAATGCGTTTTCTAAGTACTGAAGTTCAAAATCTACGATATTACTGCTTCAAGTAGCATAAATGGTGAGGTGAAACGATTTTAATCATTTACTTAAAATAAGTAGCCCTGTGATCATGCAATGATACGGCTATTTTGTGATTTATAATATCCTACAATATCCGTCCGTATACAAAACGCTATAATAGAACTCATTTTCTACCCTATACCAGTACCGTACCTTGTACTTTATTATTACGCAGTAGTACGCTGTAAACATCACTCTGTCGCTATATTATCACAACTTCTTATATTAGTTATACCTAGAAGCCTGTAATATTCCCATCTGCATGATACCCCTCATCAACGGAACTTTATAGCATAATCTAGTAGCGAACTTTAACATACATTAGATATATATAATTATTATAAACATATTCTGATACTGGATAAAGCGCTTGAACGTACTGATACCTATTAACTACTATTACAAGATCAACTAAGCGTGTCTTTAGCAAAATAATACCAACTGTCCATCTAGCAATTCAAATCTGATATTGGCCTTATGCTTGAGGATCTGCACGATTAGATGCCTTAAATTATTGTATTATTAGAAATAGTTAGCTATTCATTTCTATATCATTTCCGATATGATATATTAAAATAGCCTTCCTCCACAATTTAGCCACTACAGTTTCAAATAGTGGTTGCATGCTGAAAGCCACTGACATAGACATCATTCCGAAAACCTTGATGATAATACTTGATCACAATTCTAAAGCACTAATTATCATGCAATTAAATTATTACAAGTATTTGCTAGGAAATCAATCCATATCGGTACAGTAATTTACATTGGTGGGTATATTAACCGTAGTAACTACCAAACTATCATCATTATTTAATACAAATCGACCGACAGCTTAGAATATTAGGATATGTTCAACACTTAAGGTTAGACTCATCCCTAAATGATATAGCAAAAATTTTTGGAATTGCTTAATTCATTTCCTAAACATTAGCTTAATCAGTTTTACAACAATGGTTACGTTACTCAAGTTTGGCTTTTAGTATACATTCTTAAAACCATATGTACGTAATTACCTATGTTAAGGTAAAAAAATGGTAGGAATAAATGGGGGATACTTCCCAGCTGTACGGTATTGTTCCGCCATTTCGAGTAAGTGTCAACACAGAATCAGACTTATGTTTTAAGCGGTCTAGACTACACTATGCCAGTCGTGTTTATCGGGCTGAAAATATTGTTTAAGCAGAAGATTTTTGATTTTAACTACGAGTATCTAGTAAGTAATTCGTGAGCGTCAATGTAATAAAAATAATTAGAATAAGGACCGGTAAGTGTAGCACTCTTTGCCTCTTTTTCTGACAATATAAATTATCTAGAATGAAGTTGAAAATATTAGATATCTAAAGTATTGGCAATACGAACAAATTTTAGTAATTGGTATAAGAGCCAATACCGTACTTCACCTTCTCGTCATCATCCACAGTCCACTAACGTACTTTATTCTATACGAGCCATAGCAATCACCTAAATATATCGTATTCTCAATTTAAAGAGAGGAGTTCATAACGGATGATGGTGGCCTAATCTATTTAGATTGGTCAGAAGACCCAAATAATGAAGAATACACAACTAAAGATAAACCAACCGTTTTGATTCTCCCTGGTCTTACAGGTAGTTATTGATTAGATAGGAAGTTCCTTACGATTTCTTCCTGTCAGCTATATCTGTTTAAGTCATAAATTATTATTATAACACTGTATAACACCTCATTACTAATCTTTTATCAAGTAAAAATTATTAGTCATAATGATTCTCATATAAAAATCGATTGTTTATAGAACACTTTAAGCGGTATTTAGCGATTATACTGTATCGTCTAAATTCATTTTGACTTTGAAAGTTTAAGCTATAATCACTCGACTATAGGTGATAGCCACGTTAATTACATCAAACAACTGGTACATCTGACAAACTTGCAAGGCTACAGGTTAGAAATGCATAGCAAAAATATTTTTAACTCTTTCGCTCGGCTACGCCTGCAATTAATCTGCCCTGATAGCAACATATAATTATAATATAGTATGAAGTGATGGCATGCTAATACTTGTGTAGCTTTACAGAAGGATTAGTTATCTTCCATATTTCGTAATCAATATAGTAGCTATTTCGCCCACATTGGTCTATTCATTATTATTATAATACGTTTAATAACACAAGCATTACAATGACTCATAATCATCTGGTTTTTTAAACATAGTTCTCAATCTAATCTTACAGGGCGGTAGTATTTAACAATCGCGGTCTTGGTGGAGCACAGTTACAGGTACTAATAAAATATTGGCAGGCGCAACGTACCGTATTGCATTAATTCAACTTTTCGGTTATAAGTTACTTGATCATAAAATAAAGATTACATGTACTGCAAAATTATCGATAATCCTATAGAATAACCTTCAATTATTTTTAAGTACAGAGAACAATTAAACGTTCTCTAAATTGATATTAGTAGCACATTATCTTATAAAATTTATTTGCAGTATCATTAAACCTCATGTGCAATGAAATGAATTCACTTACAGTTCTTTCTAGAACTTGTTCTTGATCTTGTGATAATTATTTAAGCAAACTATTTAATTATACCCTCAATATTACAACATTAGACTCCGCGTACATTTTGTCCTCCTTTTTCAAAAGATGTCGAATTAGTTGTTAACCATGTTAAATTGAGGTGCTCAAATGCCCCGCTAATAGCTGCTGGTGTTTCATTAGGAGGGTAAATGATCATTAATTAATCAATAAAAATTATAATTATAATCATCATATTATTAACTAATCATTAAATCTGTAGTAGATTCCATTTATGCTGATCAATTCGATACAATGAAACCGAATTATCTGTTTATTTGTAAATACTGGTACTTGATGACAGATTTACGCTAACATACTTAATCTAATCTGCACGATATTTAGGATTATCCTACTAAATTACCTAGCTAAAGATCAAGCATCCAAACCCATTGTAGCAGCATATGTATCTTCAGCAGGTTGGGACATTGCTAAATCGATGGATTCTTTAGAACAGCCGGTCAATCAAATATTATACAACCGCCATTGTACACGTAGGTTGCAGAAAATGTTTAAAAAGTAAGTCCTAGTATTGCATTTGCAGCCTAATTTACGATACTTATTTATGAATCATGTAGCTTATGTCGTATTTTAATGGTCTTTCTAGATAAATTTCAGAATTTTAACTAATTATTTTTATATACAATCAGAAATGAAGACTTTCTGCTATCTATAAGAGAACAACATTCATTTAACTTAGACGAAGTCTATAGGGTAGAACAAATAAACTATTGCACTGCTGTAACGATTCTCTATCTAATATGATACTAGATAGCAAAAATTTAAATAATGAAAGCTAACTATTAATATTTTAACATGATTTATGTAGGCGAACTCAATGAGGGAAATTGACCAGCATTATAAGCTACCAGTCTTTGGATTCTCTGACATGGAGGAATATCATATGGCTGGATCCCCTAGTAAAAAATTATCCAATCTTACGATACCAGTTTTATGCATTAATTCAAAGGACGATCCTTTTTCGCCTCATGATGGTATATAAAAATATTATGATATAATCCCAGTTATATCTGATCAATTCTTTCACGATCTCGATGTTTTTCCCTAAACTAAAAGTTAATTTTCCATAAATGCATTTTCTTATAGCGATTCCTGTTAATAAATGCAACGCAGAAACTCCTCTAGCATTAGTAGTAACTAAGTATGGTGGTCATATTGGGTTTATGGAAGGACTATTTCCATTCGGTCCAACTTATTCTGATAAAATTTTCGCTGAATTTATTAGTTCGGTTTTCAAGTATCAACATGAACTATAGCAAGATACTGTAGTACTAATATGGTCATATCTGTTTCCAAGCTAACTTCATACAACTAAATTAATTCTATTTTATCTTATTAACAAGCAAAGGGAGTTTATAGTAAAAGCAATTCCAAATACGTATGTCTGACATTTAAAGCACTAAAAGCTACATCGAAGAACTCAAATAGTGGGCGATTTTTACCTTTTGTTATGTATACCAATAGCTGTAATAAAATTCATAATATGCACGGTAAGTGCTCGTCCATGGAGCTACGATAATATTATTAAACATAGCACTTGGTAATTAGCATTTCTGAAATTATTATATATTGAATGATTATGTTAAGTCTATGTCACAGCACCTATTTGTGCTCCATATGGTCCAAAGGATTTACTTAAGGAGATAGATATCGTTATATATGTATAAATAGCAGGAGTGAGTGAATTAATTTATTCCACAGAGTTTTTTCTTAGGATATTTCGAAAAGATGTCATCAACCACCGCAGTTGTCATACAACTATAAGCTAGCTATATATGTTAGTCTCAGCTCTTATGGACAATAGTGATATCCAGTGTATGTATACAAGTTCAGAAGTACTTGACTTGTTGTAATGTTCCATTGTAAAGTCAATTCAGTTCTAATTCAATTTCCAGAAAATTAATATGGATGAATCTTTGTACATCACTACCTTATTTGAGAGTAAACAATTGGCTCTATGTCTTAATATGCTTCTTTATTTAATTTAAATAAAATTATTCATTCCGTGAATTAAATCCAGTCTTGAAATTAAGCAACTTATAACGCATGATAGGGTATTCATTCCTAAGACTTGTAACTTATTTTTAATATAATTTCATTGAGAATTAAAGCTCATGTACGTTAACTCTGACAGGCAAAACTACTATTTTTACCATTCTCAGCAAACCTTAAGGCTGACAAAAAATAGCTACAAAGCGCTCTATTCTAATCAATTATAGTATCTTAAACCCTTATTACAGTCTTACTATTTCAATTCTTTCTATTTGCTAAAAGTAATGAATGTGATTCCCTTTAAATATTACAATCGGATCTACATACAGTATATAGAGCTTTATCAGTGTAAATGCTTCTAACAATTATATCTTGGATTTAAGCGAATCTCGCTATATACAAAGTTAATAGACTTGTTTAGTTTATAATTTTTACCTGCCATTGCAAATATGAGATCTTAACGTATACAGCCGTTAATTTAACAGTAATTAAACCAGTTATTTCTGTACTCATTTATTAACTAAAATCTATAGGATATGAAAATTATAACGCGGCCTTGCTTAAATAAAAATCTCCGAAGTTAATATGATTTAATATTGCTGAATACATGCTATAGGTATACATATATAGACTTATACATACGAATATGTAGTCAAATAAGATAAATAGTGAGTTAGGAATATTCAGTTCAAACGTCATATCAATAATATATTCTTTACAACATCACCTTAATTCGTGAAATCGGTTATTGTGATATCATCTATAAAACGTACATGAGAGTTAGCATTTTTAATAATCTAATAATAGCACAGTAGCCATTATTGATAGGATCACAGATTCATATCGACTACTGTGAGGCTACACAGGAGTAATAATTATATAATGGTGTTAAGGTGCTTGAGTGTGATGATCAGCAATAATTTATGGCCCTATGCAAATTAATGATTGTAGCAGTAGTGAATTCTTAAACATTAAATAGATTAAGAGAAATATCATTTGCTTTTTCTATACAACTTACAGAACATAAATAAGTCTCTGTGAATAAAATAAATATAACATCGTTAAGATAATTTAGAGAAATAATTACGAATCGTGCTATAAAAGATATCATAGCAGTTACAATGTTGATAGTGATCAATGGTAGCATAATATATGTCATTGTACTCTATGTAAAATAATTTTTTAGAATTTAAACAATGATTTGCGCCAAAAAATCGAAAAGCAGTGATCTTTCAGTGAATAGTAACTTGTTTACTATTAATAGTTAATACAAAGATATTGAAAATGATGAACATTAACATGGTTAGCCGAAATGATCACTTATCCTGTTTTACCTATAAAATGAGTCGTTAAAAGCATAGTGCAAGAGTATCACAAGAAAGAATCAACTTTCTATCAGAGTATTCACTAAATTCATTATAACTAGTACACGTACGACGTATATCCCATAGCTTTAATAGCTTGTTCAGTTCCAAATTCCGATCGTAATAGACGGGCCTGCAACCCGGACTTATACCAATAAAGTATTTTATAACATTAAAACTCTTCTAGTAGTTCTAACCTCGACCATAATAGCCAGTGTTCAACGAGAGTAATAGCAACTAGAGAAGTTTAATCGCTCACAAGTAGGAGATATTTGTGACATCATCTCTCTTAATTAGTTATTTTATATTCAAAAATTTTTATTGCGATTGTTACTATCCTATTTACATCACATACCAACGACAGAATATATGCTTTCGATTAATTTTATATTTTAGTAAATCTATATATCACGGTTAGAATATTCAATTCATGGAGTTTTACTCATAAACAATCATCTTTCTTGGCCATGTCAAGGCTATATTTAGTATCTAATTATTGATCGCTATCTTAATCGACCCAAAAATTAGAGTTTTATATACGTCAATAACTAATTTTTTCTCCTTCTTGATCACTTTATTATGCCATAATAATTATGAGAATGAAAGTCACGTGTAATAATAGAAGAGAGAGTACATTAATAACGATGACAGTTGTTGCTAGATGATCCAATTGTATGAGATCTGCTGTGTCATGCCGAGGATTGTATTACAATTGTTTCCTTGCTAAATGAGTATTGATATTAACGGTGGAGTTATTTAAAGCTATGATAATAGCCCTAATTTGGATAACTATAGCATCCAGAAACTTTAATTCCGAGCCACTTAATGTTTATAAAAGTTTAGTAATACCAGATTATTGGTTGAGTAAATCTTATAGTAGCTATCAAACTTGTGTTCTTATGAGGCACCAATGAGAACAATTGGAGAAATATTACTTAGACTGCTAAATATCACGATAAATTTTCGCGTGCATTATATAATTTCATTAATTAGTTTCAACTTTCATAAGATAATGATTTGTTTTGCATCAATGCCGTAATTCATCTACCGCAACTAATCTATTACGATTTGTCATACGAACATCAAATACTTTGAAATTTACTTCAATTGTACTGTATTCAATTGTGCAAATTTAGCCGTAAATTTTTCGAACATTGTAAAAACATAATAGTATCAAAGTATAACTACAGACTACCTTTAACTTACGTCCGATGGTGCCCAATTTGATAAAAATTTGATTGCATCACGAAGAAAGAGTAAACGAAATCAAGACATCTATCGCTATTCAAAAATAATTTTTTTAGCAATCTTTTGTCACGCCCTATAAATTGTCTCTATGCAATAATCATGGGCAACAATAGCATTATCAACAAATCCATCTATTTATATTGACAGTTTCTGCCCTAAAAGAGCATATATAAATAGGAACTTGATCGCTTAATCACTTTGCTTGAAGCATCCTTGATAATCAACTTTATTGGAACGTTGCATTTTTGATAACTAAATGTAAGCAAGTAAAGCATTCCTAAACAATATGCCTGCTGTAGCTAACCAAGACAAGAATGCTATTTTAATGTATCAATTTCCGCGGGCCTCAACTATCCCAAGTGCATCTCCATTTGCATTGAAGTTAGAAACCTACTTTAGAATGGCTGGCATCAAGTATGAATCAGATTTAACTGGTAAATTTTCTAAAAATGGCAAAATTCCATGGGTTGTTATCGATGGCCAACCATTGGGTGATACAGCTTTCATAACTGAATATGTCAATAAAAAATATAACATCGATCTTGATAAAAACTTAAGTGAACTAGATAAATCCATGGCTCATTCCTATCGAAAAATGCTTGAAGAAAATACTTTTTGGTAATCATGTTAACCTAATAGTTCAAAATAATTTTAAGTTATTTCTATTATATCATGCTGACAACTGTACTATATGACTAGCTAGGAAACTATAGTAAAATATTTCTTATCAATGAATCTAATTCATGATCTTAATACTCTTCCTTTTGTTAATTATAGGGCTGCTATCAATTATGGACGCTTGGTAGATAATTTTCCTTGGCTATTAAAAGAGCTAGGAGTACCTAGTGCATTGTCATGGATCGCAAAGCTAACTGTACGTCGTCGGCTGCTGAAAAACATGTGGGGACACGGAATTGGAAGGCATAACGGTGAAGAAATACAAAGCATTGCTATGCAAGATATTAAAGCATGTGCAGAATTTTTGGATAACAAACCATTCTTTATGGGAGATCAACCAACATCTATAGATGCAGTCATCTTTGGTTTCATGGCTGAACTGATTTGGTTTATGCCACCTGATCATTGGACGATTAAATTAATAACAGAAGAATATACAAATGTTGTTGATTATTGTGAAAGAATGAAGGCAAAATATTGGCCGGATTGGGATGATAACTTGAAGAAAACAAAATAAATTAGTTCGTTAAGTCTACAGTATACTATTAATTTTGAATAATTCAAACACGCTTAGAATGCAACTGTACTGTAGTGCTCTACACTTGAAATTATCGATTTAATTAAATCTAACACTAATACGAACATGAATATACACTAACTGTAATTACGCGGACACATAAATTGAAATTTAATAAACTAAAATTCAATATATTATCACGATTGCTAAATTATTTTGAGAAAGATAATCCTACTATAATGCAATCGATATCCTAACTATAGAACATAAATAACTAACTCACTATAGACAAGTGTACTTGATTAATTATCTATACAACCATTTTATCTCTCAGGATGCAATTGTACGTGATACATAATTGTAAACATACTCTTAATGACTACTTGATTATAGCAATTAATAATTTACAATTTATCAGTTTTCACGACTATTGTAGAACTTCATTTCTCCTCCGTCGTATCCATTGCTTGTATTATTATCGTGCTTAGAATCAATTGATGTAACTACAAGAAAAATATTCATTAAAATATTATCAAAGGTTCAACAGAAATTAATACTTTATCGCAAACTGAACTTCTATCGCGAGTTTATACAAAATCTGATAGATGTTATGGCTTCATAAAGTAGTACGTTCATACAAAAGACTTAGTTGGATAGGATATTGTATAATCTTGCAGCTGCAGTTCTAATAATATACATCGAATTTGTGAGTAGTGGATATGTTCAGTTAAAGTCATGTTAATAAATTTAGAAAGTATAAATGATGTACATTCAACGATCTGATATTCAACCAGCGCAAATCCGCGTCTTCGAAACCTATTACATAATCATAACTGCCATAGAAATTTTAGTTTCTTTAGTAATCTTTGTTTTTGAATTCGTTATCAAATAGTTACACAAGTTAATATCATTACCAAATTAGTTGTCATTAAACTGTAAAGTAGTTAAATCACAGGTATAGGTTACTTCGGAGAACTTAAAATCATATCATAACAACTATCGAGTATTTATAACTACTGATTGCATAAACTTGAAAGCTTCAAATGTTTCCGATTCTGGCATAGTAACCTCGTAAAGTCGGGTAATGCCTTTTATTTATCATCTATAGTATTAATTTTTTATTGAGCTAATAGATCAAATTAATAAGTAATTTTTACTAAAATGTAGATATACCTAGAGTGCTGATGATTCGCACCCTTATTTGACGATGTAAAATTTAACTGCTCTATCTCAACAAGGGCTACTAAATTTTAAGCTCTGATGAATTCGCTACTTTACTACTATATAAATGGCCTGTCAATCCTGTACTTAGGAAGTGTCCCATCATTAGCTAAATATCTATTTTATAACTCTAACAGCTACCGCCTGGCAATATTGTATTTTGATTATATTTAATTATGTTCTTGATCAACTAATTACTAATATTCGCGCACACCTTACTTTTTGTATTGTAATTATCCTTCATCACCTCAAGTATGAATCTTGCTCGAACCGATCGTAAATGAACTTGTTTCCCATCATGTATTTTACAATAACAACATAGGCGTTTAAGTTTTTCCGCATCATCGCTATTCTGCAAAACTCTATGTAAATATTGATCCAAACTCTATTAGTGGCCTATTGTTTTACGGAATTTTTCATAAATAACTGATGTAATGACTGTTTATAATTAGTTATTGGATGGTATTTAATTACAATAAAAAATCTATATAAGTCTGTAGCTCTAGCTTGTTGTGCTTCATTTCCACTAAGAAACCCCATTTAATTCCTTCATTGCCTAGTAATTTTATTTACAGTTACTCGAATTTGTTACCAACGAATTAGGTTAGCAAATTATGCATCAGTATAACGATTTAGCATTATATATTATAGCCTGGATATCCTCTAATTAATCTGTACTATCTAATTCAAGGATTTTCAACTTCTCGATAATTTAAACCTGATTTAACTTTGTTGATTCCTTTATTTATCAATAAAGAATTCAATTTAAAATGCCTGCTTTGGCCAGTGATACCGTATTAATGTACCATTTTCCTCGCGCAACAACCATTCCTAGTCCATCACCTTTCGCCTTAAAATTGGAAACTTATCTGAGAATGGCAGATATCAAATATAAATCCGATCTCAGCGGAAAGCTATCGAAAAAGGGTAAAATTCCTTGGATTGTCATCAACGGTGAAGTGGTTAATGACACTAGCTTTATTATTCAGCACTTGAATAAAAAATTCAACATCGATCTTAACAAACATTTAAGCAGCAAAGAAAAGGCTATCGCTTATTCTTATACTAAAACTATGGAGGAAAGTACATTCTGGTAAGGAGAAAATCAAAAGCACTAGTAAATGATAATCTAGTAGATGTAGTGGGATATAAATAGGATACATCATCAAATTTATCATATAGTCAAAATAAATTTGAATATTTATTAGTAGTTCTAAATTTTGACGTGCAACGGCTAAACTTGTCTGATAAATTTTAAGTAAAGAAAAGTATTGAAATTATAATAACTTAATAGACTTTAAATTGGTTACAAAGACCTTTACAGAAGAATTATGTATACAATTATACATGGCTACGGTAGAATTTTTATTAAATCGCTCAGTTCCATTTTAATATAATTATTTGATATCCTAGAATAAATTTCGTTCTTTAACACTTTGGCATATATCCATCCTTTTCTAGGGCTACAGTAACATATGGTCGCTTTGCTGAAAATTTTTCATGGTTTCTAAGCGAGCTTGGAGTACCTAAAATATTGTTTCCAGCAGCTAGATTAACGCTCAGACGTAGAATCTTGAAAAGCATGTGGGGGCATGGAATTGGCAGGCATAGTCCTGAAAATATTCGTAAACTTGGCGAAGCGGACTTGAAAGCTTTTTCAGATTTTTTAGGCGATAAGCCATTTTTTATGGGTGACCAACCTAGTTTAATTGATGCTACTATGTTTGGATTCATTGCCGAATTAATTTGGTTTATGCCTCCTGATCATTGGACTACCAAAGTTGTGAAAGAAGATTATAAAAACCTTGTAAGCTATTGTGAAAAAATGAGAACGAAATACTGGCCCGATTGGAATGATAACCTAAAAAACGGTAATAAACCAACCAAATTCTAATTTTGAGCATCATTTTACAACAAGATGTGCCCTTCTTTACTCGTAACGCTACGCAGATACGGGAAAGAAATACGATAAAAATAATATTGCAGCATATTCAATATATGTACGGGTGGTATTTTCTATTCAAGGATGCTGAAAGTCTGTCAATGTTCAAGCTCAATATAATAGAAACTTATGAACAGTTATGGACATCTAGTTATAATGATGAATCTTTAGCTGTGTTTACTTGACAAATGATTAATACACAAAAACTGCTTTAATCACATCATTTGGTATATTGCCTGTAATGCGCTTTAATAGCTATATAAAATAATGTCTTTATTAGGTCAAGCTAATACAGTTGTAATCGATGTTAACATAACAGCTAAAAGCAGTTAATTCCTATACGAAATTCGAAACAAAATTAAGAATATAAAGATATTGCTAGATATATAATTTAGAAATTTCTTATCCTAAATCTCTTTGGATTTTATACTCCAGAAGCGAAATCTCCTACTGTATTTGTTGAAATTATCTAAAAAATTTCCTAATTTGTTTATTTCCTCTCATAATTTTGATTACGTTCAGTACCTTTTTACTAAGAATATTTAATTTATAAGATACTTTAACTATAACAAATAAATACTGTAAAATCACAACCACGATCATAATGTATACAGAAACAAATCAATAAAGATCTTTTACAATGTTCTTGAAATAACTCATTTTAGAGTCGATATGAATTGAGAATAGTTGCAACTTGGACTAGTTTACCAAATTTTTAATTGTAATCGAGAGCTGACCATTCTTAGAATGCCAAATTCTCATTCTGAATGATTCTGTGATTGTCCATTTCACTTTGTAGCAAATTGTATTATGATTGAAATTAAATGACAGTCAATAAGCGGTACAATAAGTGCAATTATTGCCACATTATGGGGACAAAATGTTTAATTAAATTTTGAAAGCTTGGGTAGATATTAGCTAGATATTGCTTTAGCCCACATAGCTATAAAATTGGAGTACCACAATTTAATTATCTGTACTGTATGGTTGGAAAGGAATCATATACTCGTATGTCAGGCAAGAAGGCACCATATGTTAAACCACTCATTAGATCATTATTAAAAAATAATAAATTACAGTTAATTATCCATAAGAATGCTCATCGACCAGTTTTCATCGAACTGTGTAACTAAAAAAACTGGATTACACCTTACCTTAGGTAGTTCATTACTATTAAGCTACCATTAATTAAAGTAACAGGTTATTAAATTAAAGTTATTAAAATTGAAGAACTAGTTTACAGTATACTTATTTCGTTACGCTCTTTTTAGCAACTTGCAGTGCCCCTTATATTGTGCCGTGCTATTGGTGTCTTATCGTTGGGACGCCACCGTTAACACATGTCTCTCCTAAGATTGAACTACATAGCCCAAATTTAATATTGGAGTGTGATAATTATATACAGTATATATATAATGATAAAAAATAGGGTATCCTATTATCTACAATATGCAATCATATACGTGGGAAGTTAAAAATCTATAAAGTATTACAATTCACATCAGTCATTTTCGATTTTTTTTTACCACATTATATTAAGGTTGCCTTAGCAAAATAAAAAGCGATTCATCACGGACCTATGTTGACCGCAATGTAATTAATTCAATCAAATTGCTATAAACCGTCTAATATATATGGATAGTAAGGCTTCTCCCCATGAATTACCTGAAATAATATAGACACGAATTGCTAGTTCTAAGTAATATACTGTAGTATCGAAAGCAAATAAGGCTTTACAAGAAATTTCGATCATGCCAACTACAGATATCATGTATTCCTTATTATACCTGTCGATGGTTAAAATAACATTTACCAAGCTACTAATAGTGTGAAAACAATCTTAATTTAATAGTATAGTCTCATAATTTGTAACTGTATTGTCTATAATAATAGAAAATCTAATTATCATATTAGCGCATGCAAATCTCTCTCATCTAAGTGATTTCGTATAATAGCCAGTATAAGAACGTAAAAACAATGTACAGACAATGCCAAAAGTGCAGCATCATCCTATTGACTTTGTCCAGAGTTTCCAATAATTGTTTGAAAAATAAAAGTACATATTGTACGCGTATGCAGGATTCTTGGTCATAAATTGTTTGCAAATGTGTATTTCTCGAACGCAATAATTTAATAAAAATAATATATAATGCCTAAGTTTGAACAGTTTTTCACATTTGCAATCTCTATTATTAGTAGCATTTGATGTGAAAAGTACCAGCGTTATGACTGAGCAGCATTCCCAATAATAAATAGTTCATCAACTAGTCAATATCGATTTAGGGAAACAGCTACTATTTAACGACTCATTACTGCAAGCAGTTCTACGTAGTTGATAGCGCAATGTCGACGTAGGTAACTGGCAACGGCAACTGTACAATGTGCGATCTTTATACATGCTAAATATCAATTGTAAATGATACAAGTTCGATCTGTCAAAGCTATGTTAGCGAAAGAACACGAGCTCTATTTATGGTTTCAGCAATTACGATTGATACCTTTTATTAATAAATGTTATTAATTTACTAAATCGTAATATTTTAAGCCAAATAAAATCACTCAACAGTTAGAATTCGATTACCAAATTTTTCATGCAAGATGCAATTCAACATTCACCACCGAGACATTATAAATTATAGTCATGATGTCGATTGGACAAAAACATCACGCATTGAGAAATAATTTTACAGTATTGTGTTATCCAATTATTTTAGTTTATCATTCATCATCACACTTATTATTGCAACTTAGCAAGCGTTATGAAGCGTTAACATTAACTATTGGGACAGGTTACCCACATGCCAGACTAGCAGATAATCATCTTTCTACACAATCGTATGAGCTAAAGCTACGAAATTATCATGATAGTTAGATGTTTACTACCTAACGAATAGACGTATTAATAGTAAGAATCATACTAAGCTACCGATAGTTGATGATAATGCCCGCCAGAACTAATTTGCCTTGGGACTCCTTAATTTACTGTCCCAGTCAGGCCAGTATTCCTCTTTCATACGATCACAATAAGCCTTAAGATTTTTGAATTCGTTGTCGACTAATCGTGCATACCAACAATCAGGTGGTAGAGCGTAAACAATTTCACCAAGAAAGCCAAACATAACAGCGTCTATAAAACTTGGCTGATCGCCCATAAAGAATTTCTTATCTGCAAGAAATGATGAGCAAGCACGGAGATCGTTGTTTCCGATATCGTGAATTTCTTCCTGGCTATGCCTACCTATACCATGACCCCACATCGCTTTGGTTACTTTGCGTCTGAATGTTAGCTTAGCTGGGACTTTTAAATATTTAGGCACATTAAATTCATTTAAAGCCCAAGGAAAGTTTTCTATTGCACGTGTTTGCACAATTACAGCCCTACCAAAGTATTGCAATGATTGCAGCGGTTATTGAATGATACATGTCATACTGTCTTTGTTAAAGTAAAAAAAAGTGAGTACGTTCTAGAGCACGTAGTTTGTTTATCGAGTTTTATCGATTGAATATAACACTTCAAATCAATCTTACCAAAATGTATTTTCTTCTAACATTTTAATATAAGCATGAGCGATGGCTTTTTGTGATTCATTGAGATGACTATCAAGATCGATATTAAACCTCTTGTTCAAGTACTGGACACAAAAGGCAGAATCGGCAATTTCTTTTCCATCGATGGCAATCCAAGGAATTTTGCCTTTTTTGGAAACTTTTCCACCATAATCGCAGACATAATTTAATTTAGCCATCCTCAGGTAGGTTTCCAACTTGAGTACAAAGGGAGATAAGCTCGGAGCTGTCAATCCTTGTATAAATTGATAAACAACTACAGTATCCTTGTCCACTTTATCGTTTGATGAACTCATTTTGCAGGTGCGAAGTGAAGACTTGAACAAATTTTGCAAGCGCTAAAAAAAAAAACGATCAAATAAATGCTCGAGCTGTCCAGCGCTTTATCGAAATCATTACGTACGAGTACTTATGTCATCATTCCGATTTTTGGAAACAATTACTACTCCTCTCTAGAAGCTGGCAGCAGCTTCAATAAACGGGAAGAATCGATCCAATAAGTGTAATCACAATTAAGTTACAACAGTTTACCTTTCGATACGTGGAAAACTTAGGGCTGCTGATTGGCGTCAGATCGCAACTTTGATAGTAAATTCACTTCAATTTAATCAATTTATTTTTTTTTTTTGCCTCTGACGTATTTTATTACCAAGCCTGACACGCACTTTTGGGCGTCTCCATATAGAGTCAAGTCATTTGGGTCATTTTCTAGTAGTACAAGGTACAATTTGGAACCGTACCTAATAATACCGTGCTTTACCACCGTGAGACTGTACAGTGTACAGTGTAAGTTTACGGTGCTGTACTGTAAGATTAAGACTGTACCATGTACTTGATAACGTGGTATGACATTCAATCTGCACAGTGTCTCTGTCAGAGTGTACCATTATAGCTTAGCACATTTAAGATTGTTAATATCTGCCTGAATTTGCGTTCATTCGATATTATCTGAGTTGAATATGTGACCAACTTGCTATGGATACAGGTTACTTAACAATATTAAATAAATAATCGTGATTGTCTATACGTACTGTACAACACCATCGAGCTCTACAACGACTCGTAGTGTATCATCGTTGGAGAGGTCCATGAGCATCAAAAGCGCACAGTACGCAGTGGGTACAGTATTGAATTGTGCATAATTCCAGACTGTCGAACAGTATAATACTATTGCATGCAAATGTGAGTTCTCATAATTAGTGAAATACAGTATTTTAGAAGCTGCAAATGGAAGCCGGGATGTAGCCAACCGAAGCGATCATCAGGTAACAGAATTTTCTGCCCGCTGAGGAATGAATCATAGTCTCAAAGTAAAGTTGTCATGATGAGAAAATATCATCTGCACCTGATGAACTTGAACATGCCAGCACTCAGCAATATTCTACCATAACGTATCGTATTCGGGGTCACAGTTAGCAGGCCTCCATACAATAATATTGTATAGTGAGTATCCAATTTAAATCGACTACGTCAATCTACAATATTGCTGTCACTATGTTGCTGTCTGAACTTTCAACTTTGCCTTGTCTGTCAGTATTACTACAACTGGCTGAAGAGTCTGTACGTCTGTACCGTCATTGTACAGCGATTTACTGTTATACTCAAAGGCTCATGGACTGGCGTATGGACTCACGCTTTACTGACAGCGAGCAAGCATGTCATTATCACTGTAGCGACTACGGCAGAAGGGGCTGGTTAAACCAAGGGCAGAACTTGCTGCACATTGCACATTCTTAACATAATCCTTTGCAGACTCCTTTACCATCAGCTTCTTGCTGTATTCTATTCATTGCTATCTTTAATATCACGTTAACTTATCATGCAATTACCTCTATTTGATAAAACATTCTTAACCGGTCTATTGAACTGGAGGATATCTTTACCTGCTTTATTTTGCATTTATTCTTCCTATTACTGGATGTATACTGTCCATCGACCAAAACTCATTTGTGGCCAAGGCAAATTACGACGATTTATTGAAAAGAGGCTCAAAACTGACTATTATTATCCTACTTGTTGGGCTCCTGGTGGACATCTTCAGACGATACTTCGAGCTGTTTTTCAAATTTTACCACCAATTCATTATACAAGGTAATGATGCATTTAAGCTTAAAGCCATCTATTCATCATTATATATCATTCCATTTATAACCAAGATAGTGACTGAGTACCCCGTTATGGAGCTGTAGATGAATGAAAATCAATGGATGCATAAGACTAATCTTTACTGAGTATTATTGAGGTATGAATGAGGTTGCCAATGGTAAATGTTACTTCTATTTTTGATCCTTAGAGAAATACTTCCGACACCGGATGGAGGTGAAATAGCTTTAGATTGGATAGACGACGATAGAGATACTTATCGAGGCTTAGTCGTGATACTACCAGGATTAACAGGTGATTTCATTTTGACGTATGTTATCATCAAATAAGAATATATTAAAATATGATAATCATTGTAAGAAACTTATTTCTACGCATTTTTAAAAGTGTACTGATAGAGGAAGAGTACGTGGTTTAGTGCTGTACTGTACAATCTCAATGACTCAGTTTTTCCATTCTACAGGAGGTAGTCAAAGTAGTTATTCTCAATATTTAGGTTACCAGGCCAAACTCTTCGGTTGCAGGTATGTATTGCAGATTCTTAAAATTAAATTGATCGATATGTTAGATCGAGCCATCCTATACGGTAGTACATGCATCAAATACCATAATTAAACATAATATCTTGAAAGTATGCGTAATGGTTATAATTCTGTACGATAACTGGACAGAGTAAAAGCGTACTGTAGTATTAATCTCATAGCCATTACCTACGTTCTATAGGGCAGTCATCTATAACAATCGAGGATGCGGAAATTCATTATTGAAGGTCAGTAGTTATAGAGTACTGTCATCGAGCAACATATTATGGATGCATTCAATATCACATTATTAGAAATGCACATTAACAAACAGATTATTATTAGCAATATTCGACCTAATCACATCGCATAAATAGATACAAAAGTAATTACAGCTTCTTAACCGTCGCCTTTACTGTTAAAGACACCCAAATTCGCCTGTGCAGCGCACACGGATGATTTGCACATTGTCCTTCAATTTATGAAAAAGAAATATCCTGATTTGCCGTTCATAGTTGCCGGCGTTTCTCTTGGAGGGTATTAATAACCTAATGTGTGAATTATTGTCTATAACTCTATATTAACTAACAGTTTGGAATTATGATTGATTGTTCTCGATATTCGACATTGTATCAATAACAGTAATATTATCCATCGTCGTCATCAATACTAATTGTAATAGGATCATACTTTCAAACTACTTGGCAAATGAAGATATTAAAGAAAAATATGTAGACATTGGTTTTGCTGCATCGATCGCGTGGGACTTTCATAAATCGCAAGCGTCATTAGAGACACCGTTTAATCGTATAACCTATAATCGGTATTTAGGGAAAAATTTGGTTAAATTAGCTGAAAAGTAAGCGATCCGTGACAATTTCTTCACTATAATAAATTATAGTTTAACTGTACGATATACTGTCCATTAATAATATATCATAACTCTTATTTTATCCACCTACTTTCAACATTTTCATTATTATTCACAGCAATTATGAAATGTTTCATAAAAATCGTGATCAGCTACCATTTAATCTTGACGATGTGCCGAATGTAAGTTCTAATCCTTACGTACTATAAATTATCTTTTACGTTTCATTTAGCTTATAAAGGATTATCAATATGAAAATGTTGATCGGCTGCAACTTAATTTTCATTCCTTACTAGTGCACCACCATTGCAGAATTTGATGCGTGCGTTACCGTACCACTGTTTGGATACAAACATATATCAGACTACTACAGTGATGCGTCGTTTGCATTCAAAACGCACAGAGTTAAAACACCGATTGTATTTATAAATGCTCCTAATGATCCGTTTTCACCGGAAAATGGTAAGTCTCGATACCTTAGGTTGGAATACAAAGATGTATTTTATTCATAACTATATACTTATACATAAATTACAGTAGCGAAATGTTATCATAGATTCAGAAATAACAAATAACTATACTCGATATTCCAGCAATCCCAGTAGACGATATTGCAAAAAATTCCAATTTAGCCTTAATTTTAACAAAGACTGGAGGTCATATAGGATTCATGGAAGGACTTTTTCCTGTCGGATCAACATATATGGATAGGTTATTTGGCCAATTTTTAGAAGCGTACCTGGATCATTCAAGCGATTTAAAAGATTAAGCTCAAATATTAGAAGGGAATAAAGTAAATAATTAATCTATTTCAAAAGAGATAAATAAGGCAATACTAGATCTTCTGTAATCGTTAACTATAGCCCACTGAAGAAAATTTTTAAAGTCTATCAAATTTGGTGATGTTCGGATATGCCTTTATCATCATAGTGACGAGGATACAGCTGAAATATTATTATCTGTTTTTAGTACTGTAAATGATATATACTTGCATTCTAAATGATTGGTTTTGATGCTTTGAGTGCGCAGGCCAATATACAATAAATTGTTCAAGTTACGAGTAACTAACGGCACTATCTGCATTAGTAAATATTACTAGTTAGTGATATCCTCTACTTTGGAATTTCGATTCATAACTAATCATAAATTAGTCTGTTCTACTTTATTTCTTTGGCTTGCAATTGCACTACTTATGGCGTTTACATTGAGATTATATTTTGTGATCCTAAAACGTTAAAGTCAGCAAAGGTCTTTGATCTAATTCCCGTAGTTACCAAAACGGTATCAAAGAAATTTAGTATTTATTTCTCCTGATTTAATTTATTTATGAAGTAAAATTAGCATGAAAGCAGTAGCCACTACGTATAGTTATATAAAGCTTATATAAATCTTTCATTACAATACAGTATGAAAATAGCGTGATGATATTACACATTTGCATCTATTTTATTGCTGTCACCTAATCCTACGAAAAACTCGTGTAAGCTTTGATTAAATAGGGTTGCAAGGGCGTAATTCATACGACGAGTAACCATAGCAATAACATGATGAATTATTGCAAGTGATGAATTCTTTTTGACATGATCAATGCAGCTGCGATAAAATACTTGTAAACTAATAAAAAAACGCTCTTTAGTTCATGATTTTGACTAAAACGGTTTAACTGAATTTTAGCACTTGATGATTCTGTGCTGTTACTTATTCAAATTGTAGAAATCGTCTAGTAATTATAATATAACCAATCAAGTTCAAGTTGCCTATCTAGCAGCCATTTCATACGAATCCATGTAAAAAGCCACATTATTTAACTCATGGTTTTAAACAAGCGCTGATAAATATACCACTTGCATAGCAAATATTCTTTATTATAAACAAATTAATTAAAAATAACTCATTTTTCAGAAAGTGAACCGTATTAATATTATTTCTCCGATAGAATTCATGAATAATTAATGAATTTTAAAGTTATTGTTATAATTAAATGCCTTAAATATAGCATCCAATAAAAATGTGATAATTCAACCATGAATTAAAAGGTATTGAGCAATACTATAACATCATCAACCAAAGTCGAAAGATTTAAGACCATAGTCTGCCTAACGCCACGATAAAAATAAATAAATACTGGCATAAGAGCAACCTTTAATCGTCAAGATTATGATTATACCGATACAATCGTCTACAAATTAAAAATGTCAATATTGAGCTTAAATAGATAGTGAGTATAAATAGATTGGATCAAACTTGTCGATGATACATATGCTATCAATATTGTAAAGACTGCTGTAAGCCGATTTTGCATAAAGACATTAGGTTACTTTAAGGGATGTTATGGCAAATGGTAACTAACTCATTGCCATGTATTTTAACTTGGAAATCCATCCTACTCATTTCGTTCGGTTTATCAACTTCATATTATTTTTATTCCATCGTCAAAAAGCCATTAATTATCATATCAAATGGTAAATTAAAAGATTTTATTCATAATCATATTGATACGCTTAAGCGTCCATACTATCCAACTCCATGGGCGCTAAATGGTCATCTTCAAACCGTCTTCAGAGCCGTCCTTGAGAAATCTCCCGAATTAGGTTGCCATCGGTAAAGTTCGTATTAGTAATGTTGGAAGGCTACTAAACCATTCTTAAAATTAGTATTCGAGTATACATGAAGATAAAAGTTCTGTAATACCACCTTTCAAATAGTTTTAATCCTAGCAATAGCAATTCTAAAAACGGTACGGTTCCCAAGAAAGGACATTCTTGGAAAACTAACTTAAATATCAAGTCTTGATAGTTTAAGAATCTATTCACTATTACTGTTATTAAGTATCAGAACTGTCAACTTTAAAAGTCAGACATAATATTATCCGCTTACTAATTGTTTTATGAAGTGAAATCATCGTTACAACAGCCGGAATCCAATTAGCCATTGATTGGTTGATTGATGATCAAAGTGATGATGATCATGATAAACCCATCGTCTTGTATGTCCCTGGGATAGGAGGTAATATCGAATTTCTACTTCTGCATCGGTACACTGACTTGACAAATCGAGTAGATCGACAATATTATATTCTTACTATCACTTCATATGCGTAAAAGGCAAAGCAAGAAGTAACTGTTTAGTAGAAGCCAGAAGCTTGGGGTATAGGTTAGAAGTCACTGCATTCAATTCATTTACTGTAGTATTAAGTAAATATACGTAAAACTCGATTCTACGTAAAAAATAATGTATCCTCCTTCATATCCATTAAATTAGGACAGCTATTTTCTGCATTCGTGGTAGCGATGGATTACCTCTTGCTAAGGTACGGTTTATTCTTCACTAAAAAGTTATTAAAAAATAATGATAATGGCTGTACACATCTATTACGACAAAAAATATGTAACATATTTTTATCCAATAGCCATCACAGTTACCTCGTCTGGGAGATTGGACTGATTTAGCTACAATAATAGATCATATCCATCAAAAATATCCTAGATCTATGATCAATGTCATTGGTATTTCTCTTGGAGGGTAAAAATTCTTGCTACTTTTTCATCGATTATCCTAATTACTGATTCTTACAATGATTTTAGATTTGATTGATTATATTTCAATGTTTAATCTGACTAAGTTATTATTAAATTATTGCTTGATTAGAATGATTATCTGCAATTACTTAGCAGAAACAGAGCCATCGCAAAATTATGTTCATGCTGCCTGTATTGTATCTACTCCGTTTGATATGAAAGTTACCCAATTATCATTAGAGACTTGGTTCAATACGCGAATGTATAATGTCTACATAGCAGAATTTATGATAAATTACCTGAAATGGTTAGTTGTACGTCGTAATATAACGTTATCTAGCATTCTACTTTAATAGCTATTCATTCCATAGTCACGAATCATCATTTACGGAAAATGGGCATTCACTACCCTTTAACTTCGAAGATGTGAAGAAGGTAAGGCAAAATACGGTATTATATTTCTTCCTTCACTTTACAATCTTAGATGATTCAAAAATTGACCTTAAAATGGCAACTAGTTCGCATTTAAGACCATAATATCATTAATATCTACTCGTATTGTATCTGCACAAATTGAATACAGCTAACAATGCGTAAATTAGTACGTAAATGAGCCTTCTAAGTATTATCCAACCATTAACAATGGCAATAATAACAAGACACACTAGGTATACTTAACGAATTAGGACTTCTCAAAAATAATATTATTTGATCTATTGCTAGTGTATCACTTTCAGCCAATTTGATCAATCCGTTATACTACCATTATTTGGCTATCCAGATTTGACTACATATTATAAGCTGGCATCGCCTGGAATAAGGATGGATAAAATCAAGACACCATTGGTTTGTATTAACGCCATCGATGATCCATTTTCACCAATTGCAGGTACGTTACCTTTGCAGCGGAAATTCACTAAATATTGGCACTTGCTAAATTCATTTAAAATTTTTTTTCATCATACGTGCATATTTCAAATCTATTACTTCCGAATACTAACTCTATCAAAAAAATTGATAATTTTTAAAAATAATCTCCTGTAGGTATACCAATCGATAAATTTAATCAATCTCCAGACATAGCATTGATTTTGACACGCTACGGAGGCCATGTTGGATTTATTGAAAAGCTATGGCCAACGAAAACTACCTACGCTGACAAAGTGTGCATCGATTTTCTTAAAGCATTATTAGAGAATCACAGCAACATAAGTTAATCTATTTACAGTTATCAAATGTATGTGTATTTGACAATTATACGACAACCCTATCTTACTTATCTACTTGCGATGTATCAGAAACCAATAACATCCTAGCACGCTTTCAAATCGCTTAATCGGAAATGCTATCATTACTGATTTAAAACAGTTACGAAGACTTCTTTTTCTACAACATACAGTATGTGATACTCTAGGGATTACTTTAAAGTCCATTGCTGTAAACCTACAATGACATCAAAATTGCTTCCTAACATGGACCAGGGTCTACTCCACAAAAAATGAGATTTTATGAATTTGGATTTTGGATTGGGTAAAAATTGTGGAGTAGTCCCTAAATGGACATGTACTTCTGTTTTGTACACTGTATATGAAATTTAAATATCAATTTTCAGGAAACGAATAAGCCTCCAAATTATGACTATATTTTAGAAAAAACTATGAAATTATAAGTTAATCTGTTTTCAAGCCTGCGGACAACTGGGAAGAGATCATCTTACTTATTTAGCTACAGAATCCAACATTCTGTTTATAGCGAACCAAATTGGTTTCTTTAATATGAAATGGAAGTATAGGCATTAATAAATGAACTATTACCTTGAATTTTGTACTACATACGATTTTTAATATTTTAACACAGGAATATACGCATATCCGTTACATATGTCTCGATATCCCGTACATCGGTGTTATCATATACGGATATAAAGAACTTGACTCAAGGATTGATTCTTGCTTAATTTCAGAGCATTGATGACCTTTATATTGCTCGTTCATATTAATTTCATTATATTTGTGATATCAACCACCATAAATTCTAAACGATCTTATCTCTTTAACTTTATCATGAAGATCGATTTACGAGAAAGCATTCTACTTAATTTCATTCTTACTACCCCGTCGCTTTACTGTCATTTCTACGGATCAGGGTTAAGAAATTGTATGATTATCTACAAATTATACCTTGATACAGATAATATCATTCTATGACTTTCTAGTGTCTACGTACACCGTACGCTTTGTGTTGTCATAAACACGAATTCGTGAAAGTTGTAGTAAAGATAATGCATTTATAATAACTGTGCGAATAAAGCTGGCAAAAACCTTCCTTTCGGTATAGCAAAATAATCGCTGACAGTATGCAGTTCTCTAAGAATTTCAAAAGCTACCACCTATCTTTTCAATACATGATCATGATTAATATTTACGAAATAAAGTTAGCTGCTGATGTAAGATAGACAACAAATGCAATCCATTATGTAAAATTTCAAGATTACATATATCCAAATCTTATTTATAGAAAAAGCAAAAGCGAAACAATCTTCTAAACTCGTATTAGATTAAATGCTTTTAATAAATGTACGAGATTTCTAAAATACAACATTGACCACAAAGTAATAGCTAGTTACTATTCACTTAGTTTAATTTAGCTAAGTCAGAAAAAGCTTGTCCTTTAATTTTGGACAATCAGTGATGTCCAAAATTTTTTTATTCTAATAATTAATTTATTAATATGAATCTTAACCATTTACATAGGTGCATGCTCTGCATATGTTTCATTACAATAATATCAATAAAATGTATATGTATAAACGTTTTAATATATACAGACCAGTAGTATAGAAGACAGGTTATTGAACCTTTTCATAAAAGTATGCTCATTCCTGTTGTGAAAAATTATGTATTTTATGATGTATCTCTTGTGTGTTAGTGAAGTACTGTACCACCGATTATAAATAATAGCCAATTTTCGCAACATAATTATAATTAGTGTACGAACGTATGTTGAAAGTACTATGTTCGTGATTTGTGGTTATACCTCTAAAATAGATATGAGTAACTAGGTCGTTCTTATAATGATCAGAGTTCGAGGTGCTAGTAACTTTATAAAATTTTTTCGCAGCAAAGTAACGAATGTTAAATCAACTTTCTCTCAAGATGAAATAGCATACACGTAGAGCTATCATGGTTAACAGTAATTGAATACATTACCACCAGTAGATGGCCGGGAGGCTATGCCCAATGGAAGAGCATTTCTAGGAATCTCATTAACTTAGAGCGTTAATCGTATCGGACGATGATTTACCCTGTAGCTGCAACTCTAGGTCTTGACGAGCTTGCATCAAATTTGATCTAGCATCTTCAAAGTTTGGCTCTATAGCTAATGCACGTTGTAAATCTTGAATTGCTAGCTGATACGAGCCTAAAGATTATTAAAATGTCATTAGAACTATACTTAAAAAAAATCGATAAATGGTGTATTTGTGAATGCACGTTTTGTTTATCTAAGTAAGTTAGCATATTAATTACATTTATTAACATAGGTATTCTTACAAAGTTAATCAAATCTATTTTTATCGTGTGATTGCCATCACCGGAGATAACAGAATTAGATATTTGTGTATCGCGATTTACAATAACATATGCAACTTTTTAATTAGTTCATTTTTATTTCCAGAATGACACTATATTTACCTAATCTGTAATGAATTTGACCACGATTATAGTATGCTACAGCAAAATGTTGATTATATTTAAGTGCTTGGCTGTAGTCTTCCATTGCTAAATAAAAGTCAACGTTGAGGTAATGCAACTGCCCGCGATTGTTGTAAGCTATTGCCAATTTTTTATTATAACTATTGACGGTATCACCGAAAGCGTCACGTTGTGGTTCCCATTTATCAAGGAAAGCGGTGTAACTATCGAGGGCTGCTTGGCGTTGTCCATTAGTAAAGAGGAGATTGGCTTGATTATAATCTTCATCCATCAGATAAACTCCACTCTTATGCGATATACTCTATAACGTGCATAAAATTATAATTCCTTAATGTGTACTGGTAATTTTCTTTTGAACCAACAAGCTGCCCACCTCAACCGTTCAGTAAAGAGCAGCTTTGAAGCAAGTCTACTACAGCTAAATACACTCTTCTATGGCCATATTATGCTGTCAGAAAATCACTAGACTGAATACAAGCTATGATGAAAAAGGCAGGATTCGGCGTAGCTTGTGGCCAGTATTGTCGAGCAATAACCACTAATATCCCTATCAGCTTGATCAGGGACTATTAAAGATTGATTAATGATTATGTACTTGGAGCTAATGTTGAACTTTCAGCTCGCAGCTCGTTCATTTATTCAAACACAATATTACTACTAGAGTATTACTAGTGGCCTGACTCAGCACTTCAAGAAAGTAACACTACCTCGATCTACAGTGTACAGTCTGCATCTTACAGTACAATACAGTTTGTACTGTACTGTAACCCTGAATCACACTGTCGACTGTGGAGGACATTGAATCGCGCATGTCCATGCCCAATTGCCTATATCCAGAGTACCACTGTTTAAGGCGTGATTTGTACAGTATACTGGTTGAACTGAGCGTACATATACTAGTGACTGTTGGTTTCTATTCGAATTTCAAAGAAATAAAATAACGTAATACGGTAGTAAAAATTAATAGAAACATCAAGAGCCAATTGTTTAAGGTTGTAATAATCTGTTTATGCGAAATTGGAGTCAAACTGAATGTCAATGCCTTGAAAATTTAAAAGATCTTATATTAAATTTGTCAGGATCCAGTACAGTACACTGTATAGTGTAATCATGGTGCTACTGTACAGTATCGTATCGCACAGCTTTAGTATCTTAGCAACAGAGACACATCTAAACTGAGGATGCGTATCCATCTTGACGTTTTGACTTAAAATTTAAATTCCAATGCCATGATCAATAATAATAATTTCTTAGTTCTAAAAGATCGCAGCACATGATGCTTTGGCAGCTTTGCTTTCTAGTCAATAACAACTTATAACATTAAGCTGATAGTCAATCTCTACACTATACAGTAAACAAATTCATTACAAGCTACTATTCAATCGATTATACTCCTATCGCAATTCCTAAACAAGTCAAATACTGTAAAAATAAGAATTTACGGTATACAGTATCAATAATATTATTGATAACAACCTATTACAGATAGTAACATTATTCAAAAAGTAATATATAGCACCTGTAACATCAATTTCAATACACCTCTAATATACCCAACTTGTCAACGGTGTCAAAAGGTGAAGATACCTAGTTTATTTAATCAACTGACGTGTTGTACTGTTGATTACACTAGTCAAGCTTGTAGAATCGAAATACAACAAGCCTGAAAAGTAACAGAACATTTCTACATCGCAGCAATAATAATACAAGTGAAAAAGATGGCCTTTGCTAGAAACATATCTAGGAAGGAAAAGGAAAACAGCGAAAAGTATTTAAGTAAAAGCGCCTGGACACCCATGGCGAACGGATCGTCAAATCTTAAAGTTAGTCACTCTGGCAAATTGTTCGTAGACAATTCATAATATACGATTTTGTAACTTAAGCCCCCACTTCAATATACGTAATTTGTAACATTAGATACAGTATAAGTATTTTCAGTATTATATATAAGATTAATTAAACACAATATACTAAGAATCGTATTCCATCTTTGCACATATAACTATTTTTTATTCTTTATTTCGGCAGTTTTGATCATTTATGTCATCGTCACGATCATCAATTTAACGTTTGTCATGAATAACAGTAGGCGATTAAAATCATCTAAGGAATATCCATCTACCAATTTATACTTTCTTAACAATTTCTACACGTATATCAACTGTAGCAACTTCTCAAAGATACTGCAATAAATTGGACTTCTTGTATATAAATAAATTTCTACTTAAGTATTGCACCGTTGAGCTGCACCTTGTGGAACAAAGCAGAAAATTGACAGTTTTTATTCTGATGATTTACAATTTGTTCATATTGCTTAACAGCTTGGTTTAATATTACTGTACATAGGTATTTGAAGAAAGAAAAACTCTAATTAGCCACTGGGTAAGGGCTATTCGCAAAACTATATCTATACAATCTTAAATTAATGATGTAAATATTTTATATCTATGTTGCACCAATTCAAAATCATTATTATATCACCGTATGAACTAATTCGTAATTTTGTCTCCATCAGTTTGACAAATGGACAGATAACCAGCGTCGGCAGGTCCTAAATATTCTCATCACAAGATGTAAACCTCACCAACTAGAATATGTTCAATCTATCGTAAAAGACAGGATTCCTATCACCAATTGCGATTTCACAGTTTTGTTGCCAAGAAAAATTAGTATTAAAATTCTTTCTTATTTAGGCAAGTATTAATTCTTTCTCATTCGCTATCCTCATACTACGTCAAATGTAGCTATAAATTTAAGTAATCTTTTCTACTAAAAAATTAATATTCATATTTCAATTGTGCGTAATTTTATATCACATAATTAAGATCCAAGAAGTTTATGTCGAGTTGCTTCTACTTGCTGGAGATGGAAAGATATATCCGAATTAGATATAATCTGGAAGCAAAAGTGTTTAAGATTTAGATGGGATCTGCCTGAGGATAATAATAACATAAATCTTATAAGAAATCGATGGAAAGAACATTATATTAATAAAGTGCAGCAAATGAACTACGTTGCAGCAGCAAAGGTAGATGTTCGAGTTGACAGCTACGTTACATGAATAAAATCAATTAGTACTGATTTTTAAAGAGCTATTTCATCTCTCTTTACTGAAAGATAACATATATTTCATTTCTATATTAATTTCTTAGTCATCTACACCACAGCCAGTAAATACCTTACCTCAATCAGAACAATCGCCAGGAATCAAAAAGAAAAAATCTGTTAAATTGAATAAAAATGTAAAAGCGAATCAAATGGAACCGTTGCAAAGATCAAATAAAAAATTGATGGATGATGATAATAAAGATAACAAACTCCCGCCTTGGAAGGGACCCGATCGAAAGCCTACCGATGCTCATCGTAAAATTGCAATAGGCCAGAAAGCTCAGTGAGTGAACTATAAAGAGAACATAAGCCATATTCATTTCACAATCTAAAATATTTATATACACGTATACGTATACAGTAACTATCAATTACAGATATAATATTATCTTAAAGTATTTCAATATTTGGTTGTAATGAGTATTTTTATAAATTAATTAACAGAAGGAAATCTGTACCGTTAATGTTGCGTTCTGTAACAGCACTTAAATCATCACTAAAAGAGGGTAAAAATGAAAATGAACTTGTATCTAAGGTATATACCGTCATCAATCAATTCTATCTTTTTCTTGATGTCAATTTAACGTTAGTACATTATCGAATAAATATATACGTCATTATAAATTGTTATGAAGGTAAGCACTTCTAAAAGAATCACTTATCTGTTTTTGAAGCCAAAAGTTAAACCTACTAAAGAAAAGCTGGATAATTTCAAATTAGCAAGAAATCTCCCAAATCAATCAACTGTCAGTAGGGCAAGTACACCAGGTAAAGGCATTTTCTGAGTATTTTTATTCCATTAGGTATTTCTATCAAATTGAGACTACAAAATATAATAATTAAACATTTACTGTTTAGTTTAAACCGGTGCAATAACACTTTATAGTATATCGTATTACAGGTAAAAGAAGTTAAATGAGACGCCTATTGTAGACGTACCCTAGAACAAATATACGTCGACATGCAGTGAACCAGCACTCTACTTAGTTCATGATTTATGCCTTTACATTCAAGTTCTTTGTAAATATTCGGTTACTGCTGTCCATACATTTTATTTTGTTTTATACTATCGAGTATGTTACGTCTCATAGACTTGAATATGAAAGCATAAATCATGATTACCAAACTATACCCGTACTTGTGTATTAATTAATTTAAGAGCTAAGTACCTACTGGTTCAAACACTTATGTCAACCTTTCATTTGCTGACTCACCCGGAAAGGTGGTACAATACTACACTACTAATTACTGATCAAGGCATCTACATCTTGCCATCTACCTAGCAATTACAGCCCACTGTAATAGCATTCCTTTATTTATTATTATATCTATCGTAGGCCTAATTGCACCTGTAATATACTTTTGAAGTAATTCACTTATCAAATGCTATAAACTTTACATGCAAATACGAGTATACTCATTTACTAACAGTGTCAACTTCTATTATAACACCTTAGGTGATTCCTTCTTTAGCAAGCAAGCATGGGAAATTGCTGATTCAGATTCGGATTAACGAATCAATACAAATCATTGGATTAATTGTCGAAGACTGATACATGTATTTTTAATTCTGTATGCAAATTTATAAAGAATATTTTATGTGCATGATGACATAATTATCTACTTATCAAAAAATTTCAATGACAACCCATTTAATAGTAATTCACTGTCCTCTAACTTACTAATGAATGTGCTCATCAACAAATTTCTTGTATTGATGCACTGTACAACAGGTTTGCTAGCGCATCTGATGTGCTAGTCTTCAGTTTTACCATATCTCTATTACCTTATTTTACTAATTATATTTGTTTAACACGAATACTATAATAGTAATAATTGCTAATATATTTTAAGACACCAAACATGAAATAAGGGTAAATAAAAGGAAATTTATATAATAATTCTTAACTAATCAATTATACCTTGTATAATATATATCGGATAACAGATCATAAATTAATAAACATTAATTATAGATGTACCAACTCAAAAATATCGCCATGCTGTATTATTCTGTTTTGAATAATGTGCGCAACAATACACAATTGTATTTCCCGTGCAGCTAATTCTGATCTATCGATATTAAATCTATTCGATGAATACTTGTTTGGAACATCCAGCTACATTACGCATTTATACATTCCTATATAATATTATCAATCAAATTATTATGCTAACTATTTTCATCGCTTCTAAATGTACAAATAAATCGATTATTACAGTTTGATATTTGATAAAGTAAAATAATAGTATACAAGAACGTTTAATACGCTTCTTTAAGTAAGGCTTCATAATTAACGGCCAAAAAGAATAATTCTCTCCGAAAGAATCAATGTTAGAAATGCAATCAGGATTTTGGCACTATATCATAAAGGTCTGTAAATTCATATTAATTGGAACATCTAGCTTAATAATATATCATAGCGCTGGTCAAGTGATGGAATAATATCATGTCTAGTAATACATATTTTATCTGAAATTTGCTTAAATATAATATTCGAAGTAGTAATTCATAAAATAGGTGTTACATGTGGAAGTTTTAAGGTCGAAGTAGAATATATTGTGCATATATACTTATATTTACATATTACATACATATCACATTTATATTGGACATATGATGAGACAGCCATGCTTAAAACTTGATAACTTAAAAATATTATAACTGGCCCCTAATTAACTTCACTTTTACGTTCTATTTACTAAGGTAAAATTAGTGCTGTAGTTGTTATATTACAACACTGTTGATGAAACATTGCTCATATGCTACGAATATGAGCACATGCCAGGCATGCATGTCATTCAGTTGAGGCCTACGTAATGCTGCCACACGAGCAGGCAATTAATATACAGTACGATTAGCGATAGGTAGCTGAAAGTTTAAGTAAAATAAAAATACACATGTACAATTTACTTTACGAAGCGATTGTCGTTATTGTAAACGATGATGATCGCAAATAGATTACAAAATATTGCATACTTGACTAGGCTGTCCACAATTACAGCCTTTAGGAGATGATTCAGCACGTAACGAAGGTAGTGAAATTTTAGGTGCTTGTAATGGCGTAGTAATCAAAGGTCTTAGTCCAGTATTAGTATCATCCGCCCAAGGAACAGAAGGATTTATCGATGTTGATGGTGGATGTAACGAACAGCAGTTGTTTTGCAGAGTGGCTATACAATTTTCATGCTTATGTACAGCTGCATTATTACAATAGTAAATCTTATTATCTTCAATTAAAGATTGTGACCCTTCTTGTAGAAACAGACCATATGATCCGTTAGAAAATATCCGGTTATTACTAATATATGACGTTGCCGTCGCGCCTACTATAATAGTACTGTTAATATTACAGCAGAGATCGTTATTCTTCAATGCACAATGTCCATCAATTTTAACACAGCAGTCCTGATTGTCATAGATTCCATTGCCATCAAGAGTAGCTTTACCGTCACTACTGATTACTACTCCATATCCACCATTAGCTGAGATATCGTTTTCGATAATTTTTGCATCGTACGTATTTGATACAATCAAACCTCCTTCCGTATTGCCAAAAATGCTATTTCCTTTTAAGAATGCTACTTTATAACCATCGATGCAAATTCCAAATTTCTTGTTACGACAAAAGACGTTAAATATCAGCTTGGAGTTGTACGATATTAAACTTTGATCGGGTTCATTGTAATTATCAATTTCATCATAGATATGATAATTGTGATTTCCTGATGATAGCAATGCACCATGGAAAGTATTATCGCAAATTGTATTCCATTGTATTACTGAACTTGACGTTAAGCTGACGCTAATACCAACTCCATTGTTACCTATATGACAATAATATGACAATAATTAATTTAGCAAAAGAGAATAATAATGATGCTGTTAAGAATTTGATAGCATCATTTGTAAGTAATTTTTTGCCCGTTTCATCATCTATAACAAAAATTGTAAAGTAATCATACTATCACTTAAAATATCGCATACATCCTACCCGAAATTTTGTTGAATTCTATCTTTCCACCACTATTATCTCCAAGGATAATACCAACGGATGCGCCGTCTATAATTTCATTCCTAGCTATGTAAGGTTTTGCTCCATTGCACACATCGATACCTGCCCAATGACTTTCTTTAATCGTATTGCCAATAATAAAACCATTTCCTGAGTCACCAACAGTTATACCACCAGCGCCATTTTCAGTTATTAAATTATTGCTACAATTGATAATGTGATTTTCACATCAATGGTAGTCAAAAACAACTTCGAATATACTGCAGTATATATAGTTCGTAGCTGCTCTGAGTAATTATTAACTAGTATAACTCGTAATTACTTACTAAATACTTACCAGATAATAGTCTTGCCATTAATTAAAATATGAATACCAGATTCTCTATTTCTGACTATAAGATTAGATAATATTTTGCCCTGCCCGTACTCCATAATCACAATTCCAGACCTTAAGCCATCTTCAATTACATTGCGCTGGACCGTTGGATTTGCTTCACTTCTGATATCAATTGCTGCTTCGCCGACACCGATGAATATATTACGATCGATTAAACCTATGTGAGTGATGAGATTACGCATATTAAGTTTATATTCTAAATATACCCTAAATATAGCTTGCAGTCTTTATTACGGTCAGAAATAGGAAAACAATGCACACAAAATCGTATGAAAAGGGTATCCAGAATACTAATATCTGCTATTGAAAATATTTACCGGTAGATTTCTCTCGAATATAAACACCAGATAGATGGCAGTCGGTAATGAAATTATCAATCATATATAAACTAGATTCACCCACACAGCGTACTCCACGCGATATTGATGACATCATATTGTTTACAACGCTCACTGTAGCATGCGAACGCATTGATATAACCGCTTCACAGTTGATAAAACAACAATTTCTTATAATGACTGCTTTGGTTTCATTAAGGTTTTCTTCCACTAACTCTTTCGATTTAGGTTGAGGCGGTTTTGTATGCTTAGCAAGTAATTGATTCAACGATTTACTACTAGCATTAAGGACATCAGTTATACTGGTGTTATCATCAGGTTGATTAGTAGGAGATTCTAGATATTCATGCGATAAAATTTCGGCTAAATCACCTACATCGACATCCAAATAATTCATGTCGTACATTTGACGATCCATTCTTGATATGTTATCATCTCTACCGTAACGTGAATCGTTATCTTGATCGCTCATTAAATGAAAATTTTGATACAACGCATCGCTATCATTACAACTTTCATCAGTTCGTACAGATCTAACCGATGTACTTTCCATATTATTACATTCTATATCGGTGCATTCTACATTGCAAGAAGGAGCACTTTCTTCAAGATTGCTAGATTGTCGAGGGTTAGGATCTTCATTATTGCTACAATTAGATCCATGGCTGATGCTATTATGGATGCTATTCAAATCGTCGGTTGAAACAAGTCCATGTACTAAATTCGATATAGTTTTAGCTTTGTCAGCAATGACGTTATATTCATTTGATAAGCTGCTATTACTATTGGATATGTTGGCGTCGTTCTCATTATGTAAACTACTCGTGGATTCTTTCTTATCCCATGAATTCGGACACTTATTATCAACTACAACAAACTCATACCAATGTTTAGTAAAATGGATCGATCGAAATTTGCGATTATCGATTCGATCCCATCCCGCGACGAAAATAGACTCTGAAGTGTTCACAAATTTACAATGTTCAATCAGACCAATATCGGCATCATAGAGCCAAATATAGGAATAACCAATTAATTCACAATAGCGTATATGGCCGCTACCGGGGAAATGGATGGTAATAGCAAAACAATCAATTAAACATATATCCATCTGTAAATGACCAGACGTGACCTACAAGTAGTTAATCAAGTAAACATATATTGTTTAGCTTATTCATATTGCTATCATCTAATTAGCAGATAAAAAAGTAATAACTTAGAAAAAAAATTTCATCTAATACAAACAACAGCAAAATATGGATGAATTCCCTTTCTGTACGATCAATCGTTGCGGCATGAGCGACTACTGTATGATAATGAAGTATCGTGTTACAATGTTAGCGCACTTGGCATGTAAAGGGGCCGGTGAAAGATACATTTGCTTTCACTATAATATCATTACGACATGTGTAACTATTACAACTAATCCTTCGATATTATAGCATTGATAAATAGAATAGGGAATTTAAAAGTACGTCATAGATCTAATTTTTACTGGCATAATATACTATTTTATGTCTTTATATCCAATTTTTTAACTCAAATAAAATTAAATTTGTACCCAATGCGATAGGAGCACCCGTATTTATTTATTCATGACTTAAAAAGGATGTTAACTAGTTGTCATTCGCGAGTGATATTAGTATCAGTAAGCACAATTAATGATAGAAATGAAATATTTGCCGATTGCAATTGCGATATATTGTCTATGCCATAATCTACATTTTCCGGTACGACAAGGCAAAATACGCTACAATCTATCTTTATGCTTCCTTCAAATATTCCGTATTGAAGATGATATAATGTGTAGAAACTTTAATCATGTTTATAATTATTTAGAACGAAAAGATTATTTTACCTCGATTCGTCGGTTATAGCCATCATCACATTTGAATGTGACATTTTCACATCGCATATTGAAACCCTGCTGAATCAGTGGTATGTCAATTATAATATCCTTTCTATCGCCATGGCCAATTATTTCGAGAGGAGCAGTTCGTTTAATGGTAACAAGATTACCTTGATAGCGTCCAGGATAGACGATGATACGAATAAATTCATGACTAGGGATGCTGGTTAAGGCAACTACTAATTGGTCGTAATCTTGGCCACGACCAACGGTAACAGTATTAAAACGTGGTAATGCCAAGCCACGTTTACGATTGCGGAATAAGTTGGCAAGTAGAGAATTTTCATCACCTAATCTAGACCAAAAGTGTTGAACCAAGTAATTATGTTTAATCGCTTTCATCCATGACACAATGTCTTTATCACTATCATTAGGCCAATTCGGATGAATATGGTGACGATTATGAAGATATAATCGTTGCCAGTAAGTTCGATCATTGCCACAAATGAGTTGATTCCATTGATTACACACTTGACAACAGCGGCATAAATCGAGAACATCCAAGTACTGAAAAATTAAGTGCCATACCTCCACAGGTAATCGATGGCTATTATCCACGGTATTATTCATATTATTATTCTTATTATTATTATTGGCACGGATATTGGTGATAGCAGCACAACTTGCCATATTCTATTCTAAATGATGTCCAGATTACTTGCAGTTGGACACGGCCAAGGCGAGAATAATCGGCTGATGTTGAATTCTTGCTATTATCATGGTATAACAGATAAAGCAAGCAAGTATTAGAAAACTTTCTACGTATTTTATGAAGGTAAAGTGTATTGCACTATTCAGTTATGATCAGAACGATAACCCTAATATTTCACTTTTTTGGATCATATACTACATGAAACATTATTATCTACAGTCATTGGATGTGTAACTACTTGGCTATTATTGTATTTCTATGGTGTTTTGTAGTACACTACTGAACACTGTTAGCGTGGAGGACCAATTTTATTCACTAGTTAGTATTTTATCATTAATTAAGTCATGTTAAGATCGTTGTTTACGCATTTTGTTATTTGATTACAGTTGAATTGTTGTATTTTCTAGTGACTGTTCTCACTCTCTGCCACAGAATATGCGTAGGTGTAGTATATGCTGCAGTAGGGCTATACACTATCCCATTTGTATAGTTGGTAATGTGCTATTTTAGCGATCGCTCGTACAGAATATCTATCCTTCTCTTGAAGGATATTGTCCTTGTGCTATAACAATCCAATGTCAAATTTTCGATCAACTTAATTTACTCTACAAGATTATTGATGGAAGACAGTAAGTCAGCGCCATCAACAGAAAAAGATGCTACCACATCTTCATTTACATCAACACTAGGCTTGATCGGCTAATTTTCTACGCTTGGTAAATGTCAATTTGAACCTATATATTATACATGTAGACGGCAATAACTTCAAGGGAAAATTAACGATATACCACTCTATTTTTCGGTATTTAATGATATGCCATCTAACTTCAATAGAAAAAAATGAGAGAGGATTTTAGAACCTTACTTGACGTTGTTGATTAATCATCAACCATTTTGCCGGTAGCGATGGTGATACAGTAGAGTAACATACTAAGCAGAAACACACTAGCACAGTGGTACTATGCTGAAATACAGCGTTAAACGCTGGTTTAACTCAATATATATTCATCATGCACAGTTTTTCTATGCGGGGCCATTTCTACTGGACAGTACAGTGTATAGACGGTACACTCGGGTATATAGTACTGTATACTACAGTACTGTACTGTAAATCAAGGTAAGACTAGGTAAAACCTTCGACAGTAAAGCGACGGGAGCTTGCACTAATATATACATATATATATATATATATATTATACAGTATGAATGAGTGGGTAAGAGTGTTCCACATAGCTAAAAATGGAGAGTTACTGTAAGATTAGAGAAATGCGGTATGTACAGTATATGTCATACACTTTACTACTACACAGTACACGGTATAAAGTTACTGAACCTCTGACAGGTCTACGACAAATGGTAATACTATCTGTTAAATGAGCACATTATCGTAAACCGTCAGCAAAGCGACGGGAGTTTGCACTAGTAATAATAATAATAACAATAATAATAAGTTATTTTGTACAGTCATAGACTCATAGTGTACAGTATGTATGTTTTACCTTCGTTTTAGAATTTCGATGGAAAAATCGACTTCCTTTATTGCAATTCAAATGACTTCATATTATATGTACTACTGCGTAGAGACCTTGTAGGCTTGTATTAAAAGTTAAAAATTTCAGAGACTAGCTAAGATTTCAAAGTCTGCTCTTCCCTTTCGTACAGTATATGAGTAAGTCATGACAGGCAAGAATTTTACCGGTGATAAAACTCCGGCAAGTTGAAAATGGACTGATTTTTTATGCTCATGGCTTCTTAAGTTGATAGTTTATATAGAGTACTTTACTCAGTCAATAGTATACTGTACTGTACAGTAGAGTAAGAGAAATAAAATACAGCACATTAGCAAAATAACTGAAGAATTCCTTTCCTGAACTGATAATACTGTGTTCTAATAAAGAGGTCTAAAAGGGATGGGCTCTAACTCCCCGAAAACTCCGCTTTTTCTCAATTGTCCATTTAATACTAGTGGTTACAGTGTACAGTGTACAGTACTGTAGACTAGTAGACCATGACTCGGACCAGACCGTGAAGATCTCTACAGTACAAAACATCTCTGTACAATAACCTGTACCACACCGTACAGTACTGTACAGTACTGTAGGACCATAGAGTGCTAACTTACCTACAGACTCAGCATCGGTAAAGGTGTTGCCAAACTAGGACAGCTATTAGCCAAGGCGACAAAAACAAGCATTGATTCAGATCAGCTAACAGATTTCGATAGCTTGATTCTGTATAGTACAGTATACTGTGTACCTTGTTACACTACTGTACACTGTACAGTCTACAGATTAGAGGATTGCAATGGGGATCGATTGTCGAATCGAATAATTCATTCAATGAAGTTCAATCTTAGGTAACAGACAGGAGGATGGTCGAACATTGGCAGGTTAACGTTCGTTGACTACTGTAATGCCAAGCATACTAGTACAGACCTTCTTCTAGGTACACGGCATTTCTTTAAAAAAAATTGTTTATCCATTTTTCCCCAAAGTTTCACCAGCCACAATCATACCCCTATTATAAAGTTGTCCATGACTGTGCATTACGTTATTATCAGGAATTTCTAAAAAAAGAATTTTTACAACTCCGTGAGATTGTACTTTGCAATTACGGTACTATATGATGAGGATTGTGTTGCGGGACGATAATGAAGGATGTTAACAATTGTAGCCTATTATTATTATTGGAAGCACAGAAACAATACTTCTAGTCAATTTTGGCACTCCACCACACTTAAAAGTACGTTCACACCATGAACTTTTTTCTTTCGAAACTTTAGGTTGAAACCTTTTAACGTATACTATATTATAGTCATCGATGCAATATAAGTACAGTATATAAACTAAAGTTAAAAAGGATATTTTTGGAACGCCATTCAAGGCAAAGGCAGATTGGTAACGTGTTGTATCCTTGAAAGTACAAAGTGATAAGTTTGCTTCCAAAATCTTCAACGTCTTTGCAGTAGTCTTTGGCTACGCAAGTGGAGGTACACTCGCACCAGTATAATCAATACAATGCTACCATCTAGATGGATGATGCTACCGATAAAATTCAGGATGGGACTGTTGATATATTACAACCTACGTTTAACCGTCGAACGAAGATAATCATCTTAGGGCTGTTATCTATTCTCAGCTTTCTGGTGACAACAATGTATGCTGTCCTTGCCCCATTCTTTCCAACAGTGGTAAGTTAATCGTATCTCTTGTTTACAATCTCGTGGATGTCATTCTACAGCACTGTACTTTTCTACATGATTTACATACTTAGGAGAAGAATATAGAATTTGACAAATAAAATATAAAATAATAGATTGCATACACTTTAACATTTTATAAAGTCACTTCGTAACGTAGGTTTGTCATACGTACGAGTATACCCTTACTTAAATACGTAAAAAGGTACAGCACGTTGTGGGTAATTTTTTGCCATTCAATATTCAACATGGATAATAACTAAATCATGGATTACTGTTACGATATGGATAATGTAAAGATAAAATTTATATTGTCTGAAGGGAGTATTCATGAACAGATTTAATAGAGAAATGGTTAATGTTAATTGTACTAGTAAAACTGTTGATGGAAGTACCATTAAATTGTTAATTGTTAGAAAATATAGATGATGACAGAGATGGGTTAGACATTATGTTGTTAATAGGAATTTGGAGTGATATAATTTAAAATGGCTATTTTCGTATATTAGTGTCAGACAATATGACTACTCTAGCTGTTAATTATCAAACTAAAATAGCATGTAAAATGAATTAATAAGATTCTGTCTCATGTAAATCGATGCTAAACTTGTTATAGACTTTAAATTTACAATTTATATGTATTTTGATTATATCACTTTTGTGTAGGTTAAGCATATTAAAAGTATAAAAGAGCTAGATATCTAGAGCTTCATAATTAACTAGCTAGAGGAGGCTGATGAAGTTGTAGTAAAATTTCTTTTATGCTAATAAAAAGAATTTTTATCTAGTGTGGAGCGGGTCTTAAGTATTTAGCTGATAAGATAATTTCACTAAGAACTAGCAATATTTTCAATAGGGAAAGTTATCTATGTCACAACTGTGGTAATGACAATTACTAAATAGTAATCCATGATTAAACTGAGTTATGTGAGCAGTATTACTTGTATGTTATTATTACGGTAATCCCGTAAACCGTAGTTGATGTTGTATTATACAATATTTCTGAACTCAATCTGATTGTCTAAATATTGATAGCCGTTAAGTAAATCAATTAATTACTAATCGATGTTCTTTCGAATTGAATTGAAAGAAAATGACTATAATTAAATAATAGGAAGTCTATGTTTAAAAATCAAGTGATACAGATACAATAGAATGTAAGATCGACAATTGGATTAATTGCTTATTACAAAAAACTTGATTATTAACAATTTAAACTGTAGCAACGCAATATTGTTGAAGTGATAATTAAGCTAACGTTTGACATGTTATACTACATCACGTAGACTATTTTACTCCCCAATCGTGAATGAATTTATTTTTGACAGCAGCAATCGTAAATCCTGTGTTAATTAAAATTCCTTGGTATGCTATCTTCAGCAATGAGTTGTGTGCAAATTTCCTAATTTTGTGTGTTGCTGTAATATATATGATATAATATATACAGTATAATGTAATTAATTAGTTAATTGATAGCCCGTTAAAGACAATCAGATTATATTCCGAGTGAAAGAGGAAATTGGATAGTATTCATTTTATTCTTGTAATCGGTTTCAGGCTCACAACAGAAATGTCAATCAGTTTGAAGTTGGCTTAATCTTCGCTATATATCCGGCTACTAACTTTCTATTTTCTTTCGTATGTGGGTTGATGGTGAGTTAATTCTTTAGATGCTGACAATCTCTATTACAGTTCTTTCTAAATTTCTTCGAAATCTGTATTATATGTGTAAACTGTTCTTATCGAGAGTAGTTCAGCACTGTAGGAACAATTGTAACTGTATATTAATAGTACGGGGTATCGTTTCAGATACTGTGCTATATTGTTTAGTATCGTCGTATTCGATAAACTGTATAAAAATTGAGACTTGATATTTCATTAATTACAAAATTTTTAAATATTACTTATTTTTCTATTTCATACTCCACCAATTAAAAGATGCCTCATATTGGGGTTGTGTTTGTTTTAAGCGTTGGCATATTGATTGAATCATGCTGTAGCGTAATCTTTGGGTAAGTTTGTAGGATGCGGTGTTGTAGTTGTTAATCGTGTACTGTAATTCGCCTTCTGTCGAGTTGAATTCGTAGATTATATATTTATTATCAATATGTGTACTGGACTGCATTATTACTACTATTATAATACAATTTACTTTAAGAGATATTATAAATTCTATCGTCACACCCTTGCATAAGATAGTACGAGTATTTTGATGAAATAGAGGAATTTTAAAAATTTTCAGATTATTCTATATTCCAGTATAGTATAAAGCAAGTCTTTAGTATTGCCGTAATTAGCATTTCTAATAAATACATTATGATCGAGTTCTTTACAATTTACGAGTATCTGCTATTTAATTTACGTACCTAGCCTCAATCTAGTCAAAATTGTTTAGTCGTTCATTGATGTAAAATAGAAGTAAAAAAGTATGTGGTATTACTCGCTATAACTAGCTGAATTTATACATGTAGCAATATATCTCATAAGAGTATATCTTCTTTCCATCGTTCTCCTAGGTTTTTACCACACATTCTGAATAATGCGGCATTTGTTGGATTTTGTCTTATTACCCGAGGTATTCAAGGCACTGGTTTTGCATGCTTTCAAACCGCATCCCTAGCAATAACATCATCGATATTCAGTGGAAATATTGCCTCAGCAACGGTGAGATATGAATGAAATAGGAGCAGGTTTTTTCTAGTTTCGTTGAGGACACAACAATGTCCATGCACTGTTTTTTAGTCTAAATCAATTTGTAGTTCTTACAATAACTATGATAATAGAATAATTCTTGTCTTAGCAATAGGTATGATGAAAGAAGCTGACTGAACTACTTTACATACTTTTTTTATAAGATCTATTAATGGTAATCTTTTTAATTTTTTATCCAATAAATTTAGAGTGTGATAGAAGCCTTTACAGCTTTAGGCTTCATAGCTGGACCTACCGTTGGCGGATTGCTTTATCAGGTTTAAGAATTTAAATAATATTGGTAGTATTTGATTAAAATGTTACTTTTCGTTCTTTCGATCATCAATAACATATTTCAATTTTTTATTAGGCGGGTGGTTTTAAACTACCCTTTCTTGTTATAGGGTCCACAATGCTAGTAGTTGGATTTACAGCAATTTTCTTCTTACCTACAATTAAACGTAAGTTTTCATCGAAGTATAGATAGTGTATAAATATTAGATCTAGTATATCTTCTAGAGGAGCTTGCATACAGTATTTAATATTTGCAATGTAAATTTTATGTTTTAAGTATGACTTATTATTAGCATGAGAGCACTTATTTCTGTGTATTGAATAATTATAATCTATGCTTTAGATACTAGTACGTCTGCTCCTGGAGCTCTAATGAAGAAATTACTAATTTGCCCACGTGTGATTTTAATGTGTAAGAATATATATGATGTCTGCTGTTATAAAATCTTTAATCATATGCGAATTTCAGTAGCGCATTAGATATTAAATTTAAAAAATTTAAAGTTTGAATTTACAGAAATGCAAGGCGATTGTTGATTAATGCCTAGTCTTATTTATTTCCTTAAAAGCCTGCACTATGGTATTACTGAATATCCTATTTGGTGCATTAGACTTAGGTTTCGCATTGCACATCAAACCGGTATGAAACTATAACATCAATTGCCTTATATAAACCCGAAATACTTAATTCTTCATTTTGGCCTGTAATATACCATTGGAATAAATTTTTTGCGCTTGCTTTTGTCAATTATAGTTTCATTTTACGCCAGTGGTAGTGGGCTTGTTTTTCCTTCCACTAAGCATTAGTTATATGGTATTTTCACCTGTACTTGGATTCCTATCTGACCGCTTTGTTAGTAATGAATGAGTCTACGAGTATGATTGACGTAAAATATGATACGATTTTGCTATTGTCGGACTAGTTTATACTCATATTAGATTGTAATAAATTAATTGTATTAATACACCCCTAAAGAACAATCTTGTATGAGCGTATTTTATTTACTCATTGATTTAGACATTGAAGAAACACATTTTAGTGGCCTTGACTTAATTTATCTTTAAAAATGTATCATCTTTCCAGGGCTATCGACTGTTCGTTATTGGTGGTTGCTTTACTATAGGAGTAACGTCACAATTCATTGGACCCGCTCCATATCTGAAAATTCCGCTGTATATTTTCTAATTAATTTTTGTATTTTTGTTATTATTCGAAACTGTAGTTGGCTGTAATAATCTATCGAGGCATAAAAATACTATATCACTAATATGTAGTATTGTTTTATAATATTAGCTCTATCGCGCAAATTATTCCATCACTTGTTATAACTGGAATAGGGACTGCAGCGGTATTTACACCAACTTACGCTGATATTCTGGCTTCTGCTACGATGAATTCAGGGTGAATTATGGAATAATTGTATATTCCGTATGATTTGTAGTAATACCATTTCTAATTGTTTTATAGCAGTGATGATGATGAAGTGGCAGTGACTACCGGTGACGGCGATTTTACCACAGTTTCTGTGGTTTCTGGAGTATTTACTGCATTCAGTGCTCTAGGGTTTGTGCAATTTTAGTAATTTTACCAATTTACGCAACATCCAATAACATGAATATAACATAGCAAATTTAATTAAAGTCAAGTATTAGGTCCTGTAATTAGTGGCATCGCCTTTACTTCTGCAAGCTCATCCTTCGATTGGACCATATCAGTATGTAATTTATTTCAAGTAGCGTTTTTAATTTAAGTTAATGGAAGAAAAATTTTATAGCATGAAAAATAAGATTTTGAAAATTCCCAGAAATTCAATTTTCTGTAGCAAAATTTATTACTGATACAATATCAAGCTTACTGATTATGTCATGTTAAGTTGCAGCATTCATTACGCTTTCCTTTTTCATCAAAAAAACAACTATGCTGTTACTACTATTACCATTCTAAATAGCAAAACGTGATAACCATTTTCTGTACTTTGTAGGTACTGGGATTTCTTTTCGTAGCTCAGGTATAATCATAGCGCCAGAAAATACCTTACCGTAGCGTTATTCATTTAAATTTTACGAAAGCATAAATCTGAAATGTATAAAAAGGTGTAAGGGATTTTAAGTATTATATGTTTTTGCTATCTTCCTCCGAAAGGCTCTGCTGATCGTATTTTTGACTCTCTGGGAAAGAAAACAGCGTAATCACATCTTTCGGTAGGAGCGGAGTAATCATAGATTATTATCATTTTCTGTACTGATTTGTAATAATTATTGATTATTTAAAAATCCTTATTTTATCAGAAAAGTGTCCCCGGATGCTGAGAAAACTATCTCCTACTCTTCCGATACTAGCGAAATATCACCGCTATTAAGCTAATATAGCCTTTTCGAATTGGAAATATTGTAGCTCTCAGTATTTGTACATATATTGCTATATATATATATTTGGGATTATAGACAATGCCATCGGCACTATTTAAAAAAGAAAAGCAATTAATACACCATGGATTTGTTTTTGAACAGTTTCTATACTAATTTATAGAATAGAATAAAAGATAATAAAATAGCATGTTATATTAATTCATTAATTTACTGCAATTATCTGATGTATTTAGAATTGTATGTGATTAAAAATGAGAATCTTAGATATTCATTTTGTATTTTATTAATTCTACACTTGAAAAAATGAATTGAATACTGGTATATGACGCACAGTGCATGTCACATATGCAAGAAGACACGCCGTGAGTCTTTTAAAGTTTGCAGCGAATAATACCGCACTGGGAGAGAAATATCTTCATTTAGTATGGTTTTATTTAGCAAATCTAAGAACTTTTTATTTAATTGATACGTATTTTACCAACAAAGAACTTTATTCAGGGCATCCCCTCATGTCGGCTATAGTCTGAAGTGTTCAAGCAAAATTTTGTGATAATACCAGTAATAATTTCCAACATTTGTGATCGTTTACTTTTTGCCGTCCGTATTTCAAATTACGGTATTATACTATTCCATCGTTAGCATTCCTGGCAATCTCCCTTATGTCTATTGTACTGTACTGTATGGTTATTTTAAGGGGATCACTAGACCCATAGCTCGTGATGCTTCGTGTACTTGCTTACTGATAGTAAGGAGAATATTGCAATATACAGTATGCTACTGTACTACCAGTATAGGGTTTTGATCGATCTTATCGATACCTGATACCAACTTATTGTATGCAGGCTGTAGTAAAAATTCATAAAAAGGTTTTCAATCTCTACCGAATTTAGATACTGTTACATACAGTATATTAGGGAGTAATAGTAAGATTTAGATTAGAAAAGTTGATATTGAAGCTTGGGTATAAATGATCATGATCAATTACTTATATCTACAGTACATACAGTATATTATACGTATATGATATTAAACTCTTCCTTTGCTTTTACGCCATAGTTTCGAATTTATCTTGTGTTCAAGATATACTAAATATACAACATGTATAACATATAAGCAATGATAACAATATATATCATATACAGTATAATGTTTTCTATATTGCCTGTTTGGCATATATGGCCTGTATCAATACCTGTGTAGTACATTCTATTATCACTTGACACTGAGCATATTGATGTTTACTGTACATTGTATAATATGGAATCTTATCAACATCTCACAATGGGTAGACAGTCATTTCCTGCCTCGATGTTCACCGTTTAGCCAGACAAACAAGAGGCGAAACCTTGAGAGAGAAGGGAGAGAATGCATTGGCAGAGTAGTTTCAACGAGTGTACGAAAAAAAAATAAATAAATGAGATCAATAAATTCAAAAGTGGGTTTGTCTGCTTTTCGCAGCACATTTGAATACGTAATGTACTGTATGGTAAGTCCAGTCGGAGCACCGATGTCTACTGTACAGTATCAGAGAGTGGGTGGTCCAAGCCTGTATTGCAGCAGATTTTACTATGTACTGTAGCAAATCCATAAGTTTATGTAGATATAATGATTCAAGTGTTATTTAAAATTTACTTTTAGTAACTAATATAGAATCTTTAGTTCATTAGCTACATGCTGGTATAAAATCTATACAGTTTTAATATTGATAATAGCATTTAAATAGAATTCTTATACTCTAAAGCGAATGTAAACACGCTGTACAGTACTGTACACTGTACAGTATACCATGGACTAGAAGACCTGGACTGATCAATTCCTCGGACCGACGGACTTTTACTAGCAAATGAGGCCGTCAATATCGAATAATGGTTACATACCGTACTTTTAGTATGGAGCTTCCGTGTTTGTTTTCTAAATCACCGGTAATCATTTCAATAACATTGATGATCTTATCTAGCTGATTCCACCATGAGCTTTCGTTAGAGACGATAAGATTTGATGCAATATTACTTACTTAATTTAGAAAAATATCAGTCACTTTAAAATCTATCATCTCCGTACTAAAGTACTATCATAACGAGATGTTTGGCACACTATTTTGACGTGATGAGGTCAGCAGTGTCTGTCTGTCTTGTCCAGGTCTTCTTCTAGTCGTCGATGGTACTGCGTGCAGTATGGAATAAGTCCTCACCAAGCCACTCAAAACCCCCCCCCCCCCCCCCCGTCACTATGCTTATGGTACTAACCCCGGTCAAGCCGTACACAATGGAGTTGCTGATTTGGACATGCTCATTGTGAGTTTGTGGCCGCAGCTGACTGCAGTCACTGTGTAGTCAAGCTCATTTACCTTCAAGACCAGGTCAACCAGCGTCGGTATGTACCCTACCCCGGCTGACCACAGTCACTGTGTAGTCAAGCTCATTTACCTTCAAGACCAAGTCAACCAGCGTCGGTATGTACCCTACCCCAGCTGACCACAGTCACTGTGTAGTCAAGCTCATTTACCTTCAAGACCAAGTCAACCAGCGTCGGTATGTACCCTACCCCAGCTGACCACAGTCACTGTGTAGTCAAGCTCATTTACCTTCAAGACCAGGTCAACCAGCGTCGGTATGTACCCTACCCCAGCTGACCACAGTCACTGTGTAGTCAAGCTCATTTACCTTCAAGACCAAGTCAACCAGCGTCGGTATAACCCCAGCTGACCACAGTCACTGTGTAGGCGAGTTCATTTATTAAAGGCCAACCAGCGTCGTTACCCACTTGTACCCTACCCCGACAGTAGTTGTCTGGCCATCGTCGCCTGCTTCAGCTTGACTTACGAGTGCACGTTGAAAATGCCGCCACCGCGTCTGCATAAGAAAAGCAGTAAAGCAAGCCCTCCAGTCTTAAGTCATGATTTTGTAATCGAAAATCATGCCGATATCCTATCGGTTGTCTGTATAATCATTGTTTGTGGACTGCTTTTCAAGGTATAGTCATAGCAACTTCATAATTTAAAGCTTGTTTTGACCAACCAGTCAAAGTCGACTCCATTCTAGTAATGTACAGTGATGAGTTGCCATGGAGAATTGTTATTAAAGGTTAACTTTCAGCTTTGATCAATCTTGCCTGGCTGTTGATCATATTTCTACCAAACTACAGCAGTAGTCACTACTCATGTTAGCGAGCTTCCGATTGATGCATGCAATCATGTTCATCATGACAGTCTTACACGATCAATAGGGTAGGAGAGGAAGTAGAAAGTACACTAATACAAATACCTCCGATCGATGCAAGCAAGCATTGCATACTTGTACAGTACAACAATATTTTGAATTAAATCAATACAAAAATTGAAAAGTAACATGAATTAAAGCTATCCAAGTCTACGCCAAAAAGGATTACACCGTATATCTTGACCATAATCTGTCTATTCTTCTGCCTATCATACAACAACTAGTCTAGATAGTATTGCAAAGCCATGGTCATGGAGTTAGAACATAGCTTTGTCACCTTGTACTGTACTCCATGCCAACTTCAACATGTAAAACGGACTCGAGATAGCATAAGACATCAATGTCAAATTTTGATAATGTTAACTTGGATTATTGATTGTAATAGTAGTAACGATTATTGCCAGCACCATCCAGACCTTGTTAGCACACTTGTATCGTGACTGTATCGACTATAATTTCTCTATAGCTAGCGGTTATTGCTCCAAGTTGTAACTGTTTCATTCGCTTCTTGTCATCACTTGCTATAGGTAACCAACCCTTTTTGTTCGTCTTTCGTCTCCTTGCAGTACAATATCACCCACTACAATAACGGTAAGCCATAAAATGGAATGCTAAAAAATTGGATTCATAACAACTTGTGCTGTAATTTAATACAACTGATAGATCAATTGACTACTTACAGTTCATTAAGTCTTGTTGTCATTACAGTTTACCAAGAGAAAAAGTAGTCATTTGGACTATTTTCTATTGTCATTATCCCATAGAAATGATGAAATCACCATTTTACTTGATAGTTTGTCCCTATTATACGAGGATTGCGATATTCATTGAAGGAATAGACTGTTTATTGCCTCTATCGAAAAGATTGATTCTCATCATGAGATACTACCTCCGGCGCTTTATACAACCATATTAGAATCTTAAACTCGCATTCGCTAACGCTATGAATCAAACTTGTTTACTCCACAGTACACCGATTGGTTCTATGGTAGTTTACCTTTCAAACAAATTGATTCGCGTTTTGAGCGAAATTGTCCCTTAGCATCGATCAGTCGTTCAATTAGCGTTTAATATACATAATTCTCGGACACACGTCCATCTTACTATTAATTGATCGGCTAACACACACTCACTTACTCGCTAGTCAATATTGCACACACTGCATTATTTTTGATGTCCTAACGACTTCCATTTTATTGAATTAAAATAGGACCTATGAGTATATTATGTCATACAAGGCAATGTCACAAACTCTTATTACTAATTGCAACGAATTGCCTTCATTCGATTCGGTCAAACTTTGAGTAGCTAAGTTTTATGGTATACAATCCACGTTTAGCCATACTACGCAAAACTAGAAGAATTAATGACTGTAACTGTACCGCATATAATTTAGTCAACAATAAAAGTGGACAGGGCCCGAGGGTATACCTTTTATACGCGTACAATCGTCAAAAAATTTTTCTCCCTTAATCCCTAAGCAACTCATCGTGACTAACGATAGAAAAAAACCAAGCCTTAATTTCCCTAGAACATGTTTTCCTAATACTTGATCGCATCCATTCATAAATGGATAGCATATAACCTAGTAACAACTTATTCTTTCTTTTATTACCCTCCGATTTTAATCGACAATGTCATAAAATTACCCATTTATGGTGTTACCATGAACACTGTAATTCATTTTTCTCCTTTCCTTCGCATTTCAATGGCAATGATGAATTAATGGTGTGAAGGCTTCAATTTTGAAGTAGAAGCGGATAGAATGATTATTTTTTGATATATTTAAAATAGTTCACGTTAATTATGTTGTAAATCTCATACAGCCATGAAGGACGTTTTTTATCCTAAATTGTGAGCACTTGGAATTAAAATAAAATTCTTCAAATCCATGTCACAATATCACGCATAATTTATATATAATGGGATTCCAGTACTAGCACAACTTTGCCTGCCTGTCATTGTACTGAAAGTAAATTAGTACCATGCTAAAACCCATCGTATGCCTCTTACCTTCAATTCTTTTTCTTATACAGTATTAAATAGATCCTATTGTGGTAAAGCTGATGTCAATTTCATTTGAAAGGTTTTATTTTCTGTAGTGATTATAAAAAATAAAACGGGCCATGCTGGAGCACAGTATCATTGTATAGCTTATAGTTTATTGTCTGATCTAATCGTATTACTCTACGGGATTAATACAGTAGTAATCTTGTAGCTCTCAGCGTCTTTAATGAACAGTTTGGATCCCGACTATCAGCACTCTGTTTACGACCAGACATTATCAATGAATAAAACGTGGCCTACAGTTATGAATTAAAATAGAGCAAAATCCTATGAAGAGAAAAATCTGCTCATCCATTGTTCATTTGAGCATCGCTGTTGACTGTGTTGACTTAATTAACTTGCATAGACTCGATGCGCTAGGTAACATTGCGGTGTTTTGCTGTTTTCTTTGTGTAGTATTTGCGCCGATTTATTGTACGATAGAGTCAAGGCAAACTGTACCATTCAATATTTGCTTGTAGAAAATCTGCAATCAACCTACGGTTTATGCTGTTCATCAGCGAGCTAAAACATGATTGAGCCAATCGAGACATGTAATATTGAGACAGAAACTTAAAAGCGATCGATTATATATATCGTTAAATTTGTAACTGATTGTGTAGTACTTCACGTACTACGCTATGATACAGTAGTAGCTGTTCCTAGTCGCTAGCTAGCTATATCAATATCGACTATGATATCAGAAACTTCTAATTAAAAAGAAAAGTCCTGGAGTATATCGAACACCATCTGCAACAAAGATCCTTTTAGGGTCTCTTAATACACAATACACGTTATCTTATGGTACTCTACAGTATATCATAGATCAATAATGTGCACTTATATTCACTTGTAAAGTAGTCTATATTGTAGTGATATGTAGTAAAAATAGATTTAACCTTATACAAATATATAACACTATCACATGGTAATAGTTGATATTTTATAGTAAATTACAGTATCATGATAAATTTACACCTTTGATACTGTACAATGTACGTTGTCCAAAGATTCGCCGTAGAACTACTAAAATGGACAAAGACGGACCCGTGTGGAGGTGTAAATTGATAGGGAGAAATACCGTTATGAACGATGATTTACCTTCTTGATTGAAAGCATCACAACTAATGTACTTTAGAAATGACGATTTTAATAAAAACGGTGCAATATTTGATGGCATTAATGTTAATGAAGCGGATTATATAATGTATATTTCCTTTTCAATTTATGCTATAAAAGTAACGACGTAAAATTATCAACACAACACAGTAGCTGTTACCTACTAATAGCAAAATGATAAATAAATACCTTCTCCTATTTAATGTATAAAGCTAAGCATCTTCTAACCTTGAAAAATTAACACTAAATGCTTTCCAGAAACTGGACGCGCTATCAGTACTGCCTTTACCTACGGGCTGAGGGATCTTCTTACGGTCTTCTTTTTCACTTTGATGGTGATCATTTTCCGTGCTGTAGAACAGGAATATGTCATTGATGTAAGTACAAAGCAATATTATCATAATGATTACATCAGAAATCAAAATAGTATATTTTGATATTTAAAGGATTGATAAATGAATCTGTATTAGTCGTGTTGCGTCGTAATATAAATAAATACAAAAATACAAAATTACCGCTTCTATTTGAAAGTATCTGTCGTAACTTAGAGCTGTAAAACACACAGACCTATACTTACCTAGTGCTATATTTATGGATGGTATTTAAGCACTAAAACTATCAATTTATTCCTATTATCAGAAATTTATCAAAAAAACGCGTTTGTCAAAGGTGAAACAACATAAATACGTTGAATCCTGCAACCTGTTTGTTTTCTACATTGTCAGCGTCGCTTATGGTGTCGATATACTGACAAAGGTAAGAGGATAGTTATTCTAATATCGGCGTTTTCGAAAAAATTTTATTAGTCTACCTCATGATATCGCTGACGGCTAAAAATTGTCAAAATTGCATTTGACCAGTTTTAATACTACTTTATGTAATTTTTAACGACAGTTAACATAATTGATTGAATATATATACATTGTAGGAGCGATGGGTTCTTAACGATTCAATCCACGGACTGTATAAAGACTACCCTCATACGGAAATGTCGTAAGTTGCATTGCTGAGGATTCTAAAAGATCGATTGAATACTACTGTACATATTTGCCAGTGTCAGGATAGCTACAAGTTTAGCCAATTAGAATAACTTTTTTGGGCGTGTACATGAATAATGTGCAACATCAAATGTTTAATCGTATGTCCTCCTTATCTATGCTTGTGCTTGTCAGTTTTGCCGTGAAAATGTTCTATCTGCTTCAGGTATTTCGTTATGTATTTATATACGCTTTATATCTTGTCACTAAATAATGTTCTTAACAACGTTAACAGTATTTTTATAACTTTTCTTCTGCTAATAATCGATATCTTGTAATAGTTTGCGTTTTGGCTGCATAATTTCTGCGAACTGTATCTATTAAAAGCCAAAAAAGTAAGCTGCATAACATCGATCATAACTTTAAATTAGGTCGTATTACGATATTGTATAATTTTTGTAATTATAATAGGAGGAAATAACTCCTCGGGTGATATTTTATTCACTTAATTTGATATTCACTGAAGCGGCATATATATTGAAGTAAGTCAAGATAATCACTCTCAACCTGTAGGATATCTTTGCATGTTGCCCATTATCATACGATTATCACTCTCACGATATTTAATGACTCTTCGACTAGCGTTAGTTTATTAATTATGTCAACTGCGTTATCGTAAAACTTCGTTAACCCTATTACGTTTCGCATATAAAAGAATAAACAATTGCCTATCTAAACTTACCTAGATACTAGTGCAGTCTCACATTATGTACAATATTTTTATCAAGCTACTAGACGACAAATCGTCCAGGTTATCGAGTATATATTGAGAAAGTAATTGAATATTAATCTTTAGCTTTAGCCGCCTTGGACTCGTTTGCATTTTGGGTCATTATGTAGTGCAAATCGTTTTCCATGCATCTCGTTTGCTAGTTTATTTTGGGAAAGTTAAACAAGGTTCCAGTGGGTAGGATACTATGTGGCTCGATAATGTGCCTGTTCTAATTGAATAGTAATACACTGTCTTTGCTTTAATCTTCTTATATATATGTACTTTATATACGTAAAATCAGCTTGACCGTTTGGAGTTACTTGTATCCATTCATACGATTTGACACGGTAGCACTCTGTGGCTGGATCTTTTTGTAGGTTTCTATTAAGTTATCACTTGAACAAGTTATGTTATCTCGAAGTTAATCTCGTAATATTATCACACAGATTTGCACTTCCAGGTGAAGAGTCTGCATTGACGTCGACTGGCCAGGGCAATTTTAATCAGCCTATTGTTAGGTATCCGTTAGATAGCCCTAAAGTATTTTTCAGTATGTAGCATAGCTTTTTATATTTAATACCTAATGCTTCGTATCTTATTTTATAAACTACGCTATAGATACGCGGCAATTGGATGTATATCGGCTTTGCAAATCTACATGCTAATGAAATTTTACGCAGTCATTAGCAAATACACACGAGATCAAAAGGAGGCAGAAGCTGCTTCAAGTCGATCGAAACAAATCCGGAAAAAATCCAAGAAAAATAAAGGTACTATATGACATCGATTTTTCTTAAATTGTATTTATATCTCTAGATTATAACATTTGGTCTGTTATAATGGACTATCTAGACTCTAAGAAGGATGCTGACAGTGGAAATGAGAAGGATGAAGAACCTGTTGCTACTGGACATAAGAAAAAAGATTAATATCGCTTATCTCAGCGACTCTTTCGCATCGTGGCCTGCTTGATCAAGCGAACTATAACATTATCGTAATAAAAATCAATAGTATGTGCTGTGAACGAAGCGTTGCACTTGTGACTTAAATTATCACTTGACTAAGTACTTAAATAAAGTACGATGGAGGTTATCTAGCTGCAGTTAACTTCGATGCTCTTCGGATTGGTTTACATGTACATTCGAGTGTTGATTACTGTGATACGGATACTACGCGTTAGGATGCGTTAATTTATAATACTTACTTAACTAACTGTAAATACTAACGTAAGATTTTCACTTAGCAAGCTAAAACAGTTCGTCCTTTTATCAATGAAAAATAATCAGATGCATGCAATTGTACAATGAAACTATATAACAGAAGTACCTTTTTTCGTCTTCATTTTGGCTACAATTACATTTCGTTTTCTCTTACAAAATATACTGTATTGCTTAGTGTGACCATGATGAGATAAAGAGTGTTTCTTGCAAAGTAAAGTCCTACAGGACTGTAGTAACCCAATAATAATTTACTTGATCATCGGTCTAACTGTAATTTAATATCGTGCTGTGTCTGATCGTCCAACTGTAGAAGTGTACGAGAATGCACTGTTGAAAGGTTCGATAAAAAACCTATCTGATTTATAACGACATCCTAGTTTATTGCGCTATTCTAAACAGATGTGACATAAGTAGCTACAGTATATTTAAATGTGTACAGTACCTAAGAACATTTATAGAAAGCGGATACAGAATTATATCTTGAGAAGTACGTACAGTATATTACATGATACAGTACATAAACATTAAAAATAATTAACCTTCTCGAACTATAGCACATTATTAATAACGACTTCATTTCGATAAGCCTCTTAAAAAGCTAAAGGAGAATAATATGTCACAATTTTAACTAGCAATACACTTGCTCGTGATAACTTGCCTACCAAAACAATAACGTAATTTATCCACAAGCCGTTTCTTATACTTAGGGTATTTCAAAAACGGGAATAAAAGTAATTCACGTAAAAGATGGAATACACAATATTAAGGCTACATATACAACGTTTTTAGATTTATATGACTTGTTTTTCACTAATAGTAAAGCAAGTACTGCTAACAAGATTCATTCTCAATGTAAAAATTATGTCCATATAACAGTCAGGTTCTCGAAAATCAGCCAAACAAAAATATTATCCGTACGAACAAAGTATAAGAGCTCATATCTTATAAATTATGATATATTCATAATAAGGAGATAATATCGAAATTGTCGATATTATTATGGATATAATTTGTATTGCAACAGAATATAACTTAAATTTTTCTGAAATAAATTCATTTAATCAGTTGGGTGCGCAAGATATTACGCAGTGGTCTAGATTAACCATCATTCCTACATAATTGAAATTTCGCATAGAATCATATTCGACCAGATCGTAGTTGACGAGTCCTATTTGAGTGAAGAGAAATAGTTAAATCACGGTCGATAACTTCCTGTACAAATAAAGGCTGAGATCAAAAAAATTGATTCGAACGGTTCAATAACAAAAGATAAAGTACCGCATCTTTGCCATTTTCATGGTTCGACGCATCATGGGAGTGACAGACGCTACAGCATCAAAAATAAAAATTAACCATCTAAGTTTAGAATCGTGATATCACAAATCATTTTTCACTTTCAATAACTATCTCGCCTAATTACTATTCATCTCTATTGTATATTTATTAAGCACATTTTAATGGATTTATTCATAAGAATTAAACTAAATGGGCTAAATATTACATTAAATAAAAATTTTTTACTATTAGCCAATAAGCAATTTCATAATTATGTTTTATAATTATGTTACTCAACCTACGTTCAGATTTCCCTTCCTTGAACGGAATTACATGTCGTCGCTTAGTTTCACCTCGATGAAGCTTTCTTGGTATAGAAATAACAGTCGGCTTATTTTTCTCCATACCTAAAGAATTAAAGTTTTATATTTAAAGTCTTCAAGCTTGTATATATGTACATTACATCATGATCATTTTGGGAGTGACCTAACATGCAGTGTAGCTTAACTTGATATCTAAATTTTAAATTTTTATACCCTGTCTTTTGTGTGCCATTGAAGCTGCTATATTGGCAGTAACTCTTTTAAATTTATCTTCCCGTTCTTCGGTTTTAGCCTATGTGAGAAATCAATTACTCTAAGAACTACGATTCTAAATAAAAATACTGTCTATTGCCTAAAGTTATTAATAAATGGACTTTGGAAACCCACCTTATATAAATTCTTCCAGATATCATGCCCTGAAATTTCACATCCCTTGAAATCTCTTTGACAATGTATTTTCCATAATTCGTCAGTTTCATCAATCAGATGCTACAGCGATGTTTCAAATAATAAATATAATCGTTGTAATAACTACAACTCAGTTACTATCTTTAAAAGTAAATAACTGAGACAATATAAGTAGATAATATAATCATTTTGTACCGGATTATATTGTTCAATGTGTGATAGCTGCTTAGCAGAACACCTATTAGAAGTAAAATTTACAAGTAAGAATACACTCTTTGATAGCACCTTAAATTATCTTTTAGTACATACCGTGACAATACAGGAGCAATTATATCATAGGATACTGCAGGACCAAGTTCATAAATATCTTTAATATAGAATGAGAAACGTTTAAAGCACTTTACAAACTACTAAAATTAGCTTATGATTACATTAAAAAATAGTAAGAAGATAAATATGCTCGTATATTTTCAGATCACATAGTAAATTACACATAATATTGAAATAACTATTACAGCTTGCTTTGAAAAATAATTGTATTATGACTACAAAGCAAACTAAAAAGTTTGGCATTAAATAGGCATATTCAAACATCTTTTAGTAACAAAAACTTAACAATCCTTAAAATTAATGATTGATAAACAGCGTATCTTCATTATCCCTTACAGTCAATATTTTCACATAATACATCCATACACAGATCAAACAATGATTGAACTTCTATAATGAGCGACAAAAATTTAGATGTTAATAAAGCAATTTTAAAATAAAATACTTATGATATTTACATACGTAATTTGTGAGATTTTCTCCCAGAGAATACGGGTGTCATTTCATACTTTTTAACAGTAGCAGGATTCATTCCACTATCAATAGGGGCTGCTAAGACAAATCCAAAAACATTCTTTAACTAACCATATGCGGATATAATAAATTTTTACGCCCGTAAAAATTCACAGTGTACCAGTAATAACTTAGATGGTAAAATTTGGAGCGTTACTCTCTTGCTATTTTATAATGCAACCATAAACACGTATATAATATACTATGATATCTTATTTATATAATTTGTAGCAATTCTCATCATTCGCAAGTTTTATACATCTATGAGTAATTTTATATTGCACCAATATACAGTTACAGCCAATGAACCTTTTTTGACTTTTTTGGCAGGAACTGGGGGACAAATATTTACAATTGGAGGCATATCAACTTTTACATGTCGAATCCCAGATGACCTTCGATCAGGATTACTACTTCGGTTATCGCGCTCAGAATGAGAACCTTGTACTTTACCAAATACATTTGCTGGCGTTCTTGATGTCTTTAACTGCTCACTTTTACTATTGGCTAAATATAAGACAAGGAAGCATCATTATCTATCCTACTTGTATTATATTAGTTAGTAATAATATAATCAGTACAAAAATGCAGGTCTACCAAACACCATGGTAATATACCCACATTCTTAAACGATTTAACTGCAATATCATTTTAATTATAGGATATACAAAACTACTCAATATGAAAACAATTCTACATCAAGCACAAGAGGTGCGATCAACGATTAACAACAACAGAAAGCTGATTAAACACCTACATGTCACATTTGCTGCAACTTGTGTGGAAGGTGTTGCGATCGATTCTGAAGCCATCTTCTTCCACTTATCTACAATTCTTGAAGCTACTTTACCAATTGGGTCGTCATGTTTTTTCAATTTATTTACAGCTTTACCAATTAGAGTAGTCTACATTAATAAAAATAATATTATTATCTCAGCATTAAGTTAATAGTAACAGTAAACGAAGTGATTATCCAACCGTAATGTAATGAACGTATTGATTGTAGTTTAATTATACTGTAAATGATCAGATTAAGTAGTCAAGCTATCATTTTGAGTCAGTAACGTTATCAATGCATAAAAAGCTACCGTGAAGTTATAGTGGTTTAGACCCTCTCATTGAATAAGAAATATACAACAGGCATTATGATTATATCACATTACTGCAGTATCTAAAATTTAAATCCAAAAATGTGTAACCTTTAATAACTGGTAGGTTATGGGGATCTCATCCAATTCTCGAAACAAACCAATGATCTAAACATTGAAATAAAATAAGCAATATAGCAAGCAGATACTACTACAGTACAATGACGTCAAGATTTATCCTATAACCTCCTATACTGTATCATTTTTGTATGACTTATATTTACAATTTTATATCTTAATTAGCTTTGATTGATACCAAGTGTATCTAAAATGTTTACTTACTCAGAGAGTAAGTCAATCGATTGTCGAAAAATGTCTACTTTTAGAGAATAACGGTAATCTCCATTTCAACTCTGAAAAATTATTATAATTATCATTCATGCAATCTACCAGCCAATAGGAATATGCTTATAAGCCAGGCTATTCTAATATACAGAGTTTTTCCAGAGGTTCCTTTCGAACAAGTATGATTGACTGGAAAGTGATTTGTTATTTTAAAGATTTATAAAGCTAAACGTTATACAGTATTTATTGTAGCTTACTATACACAATTCTACATTATAGAAAAACGATGCTAACGCTTATGAGCAAGAACCATTCGTTAAGTGGCGACCTATCATCTCCAAGCATGGGGGCCTTCACATGTCATCAAATTTAATTTAATTAATAGGGTATGCAGTTGCAAACACATCACAGTTTAGCTAGCATTTCTGAAATGAAGGCTATTGGTAGTGCAGTGCAGCATATCTTGATAATAATACGTAGTATATTGTTGATATTCTATATTTCCATACGGTATGCTGTAGTAGTGCTTTGCTAACTACCAATTTTCTTTTATAATGGTAATTACGAATATATCCAAGGGATAACTAAGGTTGATGATAGTCAAATACTCGTAAATAATACGAAACCCAGTCAAAGACGTCCAGTATCTTCACCAACTACTGTATTACATGATCAGACTCGAGATATCACTGAAGTTACGACCATTATCATAAATTCTAAATACAGTATAATAATAATCTTCACTAAGCACAGCAGAAGAAGTACGCATATCAGACACCGTCGAACAGTATACAGTATCGGCAGTATTTGAATTATTATAATGGGACTTTCCATTGCTTGAAAAGTGCAGAAAGGATCGAGAACCAGAATTGAAAGCCATTATTATGCGATTTTATAATTTGTTAGAAAGAGAAATAATCTCTATACATTGAAAATATTGTGAAAGTAAATCACATGTCATTAAAGTATTGGGCAAAGATTCGCAGACACTGTCAACAGCTATCCATCACAAAGTATCACATTTCCTTTCTAAAGTTCAAATCGAGAAGATAACATCATTATCTATTACCAACGCTTTTGCTACATGAATTTGTTGATAGATGACAACATATCACAGACAACTAGTCGCTATTCCTCGTATAATATTGCAATCTACGAAGCCACGTAGCGTATGTGTAAAGTGGAGTTGCCCAGGTAACTAGGAAAAAAGCCCAGATCGATGCTGCCTCCAAAAAAGAAGTACCCCTTGATGCAAAGTGTAGGTGCAGTGGTAGTAGTGTCGAACACTATCCAAAGACAGTACTGTACATCATCAATATACTACAATACTGTACAACTTTATCTAATTCAATCACTAAAATCGATACCTACAGAACCTATCCTATTAACAGTGTCAGTAAGATCAATGATTAGCCATCCTACGCCATAACTAACTTCTAGACAGTTATTTTTTGCTTATTATCGATGACCTGCAGTGTTTTCGTCTTCCAGTAATCAATGGATCTACAGTACACTAGCATAAACGACTGTAATGTATCCTCCACTGATTGACTTTGATGTAAAATCAATTGCGTACATTCAATTAGAAACAAACCTGCTTCTTGGTGATGTTCTTGGAAGTTAGTCTATCTTTAATTTGAAGAATTTTCTGGATTCTTTTCTCTCTGACTGAGGCCATATCGATATGATTAACTTGATCAACCTACAAGTGATCCATTTGTCAATACAGATCGTCGAGGTAAGGTACGGAAGGTACGGATAGCCGGAAACAACTAAAAAGAAAAGAGTGAGACAGCAAACAACGGCTCAGTACAATATACTGTAGTGTACAGTACTAAAAATAGAGAGCCTTCCTATCTAGCTGTATGGCATACGGTTTCCGCGAGAGCATAGAGTGGAATGACTGGAATAATGATGTGGCAGTCAATCCTCTTTCTACTGTACAGTAGCAGTCTATGTTACAATGTACAGTACTGTAACTGACGGGAGTAAAAAAAGGACTAGCGAAAGTGGAAGAGTGTAATGGCGTCACCTATCCACTGCCGCAGTGAACAACTTATTAAGCACCAGTAGACTGTAGTGTACAATATTATTATTTTAAAGCCGTAATAACAAGTAGACTAGAAAAAGGTTTCTTTCCTTTTTTCTAGTAGTCAGCACTAGAGACCCCTAGTGTGCAGTGGGGACTAGTGGAGGCTACGAAGCAATGTTTCCATTTTTCCTCCTTTCCGAGAAAAAAGACTAAAAAAATTTGCTGTCCCTGTATGCACTCACTCGTTTGGCATTAGGGATTGCAAGCAGTGGAAAATGGGTTACCCGGGTACCCCCGTTTCATACCATCAATATCAAAATTGCTCGGGTACCCGAGTATGGAAAACCCGAGTGCAATCCCTGGTGCCACGAGGGATTGCAACCCTTGGGAAATTGCTTACCAGGGTATCCCGTTTCATGCCATCAATATTTAAAATTGCTCGGGTGCCCGGGTATTCTACCCGAGTATGGAAAACCCGAGTGCAATCCCTGGTGCCACGAGGGATTGCAACCCGTGCGAAATTGCTTACAAGAAGTCGTTCTTTATTGATAAAAGTAAACCCTAACCAACCCTCACCTGCCCCCTAAATTCGATTCCTAACCCTAAAGACACCATAACATCTAATAATATGATTTACGATCTTGTAACTTGCTTATGCAGTATCGGTAAGAGTGCTATAATTCAGTACTTATTCAGTAGGAAAGAAATGATGCACTGGACTTGCTCCAGTGTGTCAAAGGCACACTAAAGCATAACGCATAACACATCCATTCATTGGATAGGCAAGATCTGTCCGCAAATTGAGGCTAGGACCATGGCAGCCATTTGCTTGATGTTAATGTTGACTTCATTCATTACAATTCTGCTCTCCATAAACTGTCTCTTAAATATGAAGATTTCTATTTCTTGTTAAATTCTCCTAATTACATCAATTACTTCTGTCCCAAACATGATCTATTCTGGGACTACACAGTACTACTGCCATTACTTGATAGTAGGGCCGATTGAAAGTACGGTAAAAAAGAAAAAGCAACTTAAATAATAAATTGGTGTGCTCTGATTCTTTCCTCCATACTCTCTCATGTGTAGGGCAGTGACTCAAAATCAATCATTGATAAAGGAAAGCCATAGCAGAGTTTCATAGCTTGTATGCTTTGGTCTAAGTTATGTACTATATATAAAGTATACAGTCAACGCTAATATTAGGTACAATTTCTTTATCATTATCGGTACTATAGTACTAATATAACGTTTCAGAGGAACCGACAGCAGGAAACCATTGATCATTTGAAAAATTTTTAATATACTGAATAGTTCGAAGACTCCTCAAATATTGAGCAATCCTGCTAAAAGTCATCTTATTCAAGATTTAATTAAATAAAAATTACTTATAATACTTAACAGTCCTAATAAATGGTCTAAATAGGTACGCCTACAGATAAAGTTTCACCCCAAAAGCCAAAAAGTTGTCACAGTGTCAAAACACCCCAAAAGTCACAGTTGAAAAAAAGGAAAGAAAAACTGGACGTTAAACGAACCTACAGAAATGTACAAGTAATGTCACCTCCACATGATCATTTACTAATACTGTATCATCAAGACTGTACTAATTATTTCTTACTACTCAGTATTTCAAGAGTTTTAAATACGCATATAGAATAGTTCCAGCTGATATTCGATTTATGTAACAGTATCAACACCAACTAGGGTCCAAATTTAGAAACTGCCCTTTAGCTACTCCTTCACTTACTTGAATTGTTTTAACTATTGATCCGAATAACTACTGTACAGGCAGGTAAGATACAATTTAGAAACAATTATCTTACTGTAAACTTTTAACACAGTTTGTTAAAACTACTTTGCCTGAACAGTTTCAACAAGTGAACGAAAAATATGCATTATAATTCCGCAGTTGTGTATTAATTAATGTAAATCTTTTAAATATTGTCTGGACGCTGAGTCCTTGTATATGCAGCATATAAATGCAATTACATTTTCTTCAATCTATGAGAGTAATAAAGTCCTCTATAATCACAATTAAAGCATCAATAGATACAATTTCTCACGTACAGTACTGAAGATAATTAAATTAATTAATCGGTAGATCTTGCTGTAGCTTTTGTCTACCCGCTTAAGCTAAAATTTTCTATAAATGCCCGATGCGGTCCGGTATAAATATTGGGCAACTTCATAACTACAGTATAAATAATAATTACTTATGTAACTATAATTGATTCATACAAGACTGAAATAATAAAAGGTTCAGTATAAGAGCCACTGACACTTCTAGACGGTCAAGTATTAACTATATATTAGTAGTTAACAAAGCTAACATTAGTAAACTACAGCATATCACCTGATACTAGTAGCACAACGATGGTTTATGTTAATTAATTATTATTCAACTACATGTAATATACGAATATATATATTGCAATCAGCTCTATCTAAAAATAACTGACTCGCTAACTGATTGACTAAAAATTAATAATTTATACAGTAACAGATAGGAATTTAAATTAACCATGCAATGATAATCAAATTCGATGGATAAAGAACCTATGATACTGTCGTACTGAATTATATGACAAAGACAATAATTTCTTGTAATCACGGTGCAGAAGATGTTAGCTTATTTCGGCATAACTATGAAAAGAAAATAGGGCTTATGTGATTCGAACTTAATAAAATAGTTATAAACGTGTACGAGGAGCAACTGTAGAATGCGATATTTTGTTGATACAACTACGCTAAGCTGTTGCACAATACAAATATCCGCATGTAATTATTGCCAAACTAGTATCAATGCCCGAATGTTATTTAATAGCAGCTCAAGTTTGGTAAAGCTAAAAAATGAAATAAAATGTTGTTAGTAAATGCGATAGTAAGAGATAATAACATTGACGGCAAAATATGGATAATGCTATGCCAGCTAATAGCACTAGCAGCTTAAACTCAAACTAAGAGTATAATTGCACATATCATGCGGTATTAATTATTAGAAAGTTCGTACTTGTTTTAATTACGCTGTTTGCAATATTAGCTATATCCGTATTATATTAATGGCTGGCTTAAACTTCTTATTCTCATCCACTGGAATAAGTACTGCAATCATTACTATAAAATGCCAGAATAGCGTAATTTTTCCAAAAGAAATTCATCTTTCTCGCTGACTGAATAAATAGAATATTGAGCTTAATCATAGCAATTGCGGAGAGATGCCTTAAATCAATGTCTATTCATTCATTTATTGATGCCAATGTCTATTGATAAAATTTACACTTCATTTCACAAATTAATTAGATGAAGCAGTTGTCATCTAAGCATTCTTGATTTTTGCTACCTCCAATCTAAAAATAATCATCTTAGTTATAATGGATTTTATAATTAATAGAATGATCAACTACTAATGTAGTCATTCTTAGTTTTTATTTATTTTGGATAGTCTTCTTTCAGAGAATCTTTATCTCATTCCACGACTACACCTTCTAGAGAAATTAAAAGAAGAAATCCCAGAAACTTTTATTTTCTTCTTCTTCTCCTTTATCGCCGCTTAATTTTTCTTCTAATTCTTCTGCTTCTTCTTCTAGTTCTTTCTCTTCCGCTTCTCCATTATTTATTTCCTCTCTATCTTCTTCATTCTCATCTTCATCATCGTAATATTCATCATCTTCATCTTCATTATATTCGCCTTCACCTTCATAAGCATCATCATCTTCATGGCGATCCTCTTCATTATCATCATACCTATCTTTGTCTTCCTTATCGACTTGTTTGTCGTCATTGTCACCCTCGGATGAGCCGGTAAAGAATTCAAATAGGTCATTAAACATATTCCAACTTTCTGAACTTTCCTCGCTATCTTTATCAGTGTCTTCGAGCTCTCTTTCTTCTTCTTCTTCTTCTTCTTCGCCGTCGTCTCCCCATGGCCAATTCCAGGACCACTCCTCATCATCCTCATCTTCGTTCTCTTCGTCCGCACCCCCAATCTCCTCTTCATCTTTACTTTCATCTATACCTTCAAAATCTTCCCCTTCATCTTCATATTCTTTATCATCCCCATCAAAAAAGTCACCTTCATCATAATCCTCCATATTACCAGTCCTATTGTAGCGATCCTTCAACCAATCCTTAAATTTATCTATTCGGTTACCGTTTTTGTTACCAAATAGTATATCCTTTAGCCAATCTAATAAAGATCTCATCCCTCCATCGCTTTCTTCCTCTTCATCATACGAATTAGTGCCATTTGTTATTGGATTGTGCTTATTTTCATCATTATTAGCCGTCTTATTACTCTTTGGTTTCGATAAAAATCGAGACTCACAAATATTGCCAAAGGCAAGTAATAGTACAATTGCCAATGTTATCCACTTGGAATGCATTTTGTAGCTCTGACCAAGCAGCTTGAGCATAAAGCATTAACAAAAAGAAGATACGATTATTTCATTTCTTTATCCCAATATATCAAACTTTATATTAGCGAGCTAAGTTTTAGGCGATGCCTATTCTAAAATTTTAATCATTAATTCACACATTTAATAGGATTTATAATTACAATATGAATTTATAAAAATGTTATTTACAGTAATTTAACTCTTTTATGAATAGAGGAAAGTAAATATCGTTTTCCAAGACTTATCATTGAAATAGTCAGAAAAAAGCTCGCAAGATAGAAAAATATGATAAATTTAATCAATCCTAAAATTAATATTTTACCTGGGTAGGCTACAGCTGACATATTACAGTAAAACAATCAATATTAAACTTGGCATATAACTTTACGATAATAATTAGTGGATAGAGGAAAGAAAATTAAAGTGATAATCGAATAAGATTTTAGGCAATTGTTCTTCATCTCAGTTAATGTTATAGCCTTTCATATACATATTTAAATGCAATATCAATACCTTATAATTTAGGGTGTGAAGCAAAAATCGATTCAAGGTACAGTAGTTAATCAGAAAACTGAAAAATTCAACTTTGACAAGGTTAATATAAATTATTTCAAGAACGTATATCGCAGAATGAACTTTAACTCTTACTGACGTTGTGGTAATCGGTTGGATATTGAATTTGTTCATCAATAACAACTACAAGTCTCTGTTTGATTGGAGAATACAGCTAGCACGATAATCAAAGTGGTCTTCTATCTTAGCAATAACAACGATAGCCATTTACGTCTGCTGAAAGCCTTATACTCAGTCCAATCATAAAATTATTATCAACATAAATAAACAAGACATTACCACTCGCAGGTTCTACTACAAAGTATCTAAGATACCCAACTATATGTTATTAAAATACTAGATGACAAAAAATATTTAGGAAAATGGCTATTGTTTCAAATATTTGATTTTATAAGACTAAAATAACATCAAATATAATTTGCACATACAGTACGGTATGCAGTAAACAACAAAATTACTGTATGAAGTGTGGTATTGAATCCTGTGTGAATTGTACGATGAAGTCGTATGGAAATCGAAAATTTTATTGATAGTATACTGAAATTCTCTCCCTATGTGGTTACTATATTGAATAATAGTTCAAAGCAGTATGAACTATGACGTTTAATAATCTTCGTTCCTGGAAATCTTAATAAAAGAGATCACACTATCACTAATACGATATTAGTTAGAATTAATATTTGTAATTTATGAATACCATATTAGCTATCTGGCCATATTGCACTAGAATGGGCTCACACTCCTTGTAATAAATAACGAGATCAACAATCTTATATTCATTTCAATATACTGTACAATAATACTATGCATAGTTCAAAATTCTGATATGAGAGACATGCCATATGTCCAATAGTGTACCTCCAATTCATAATTTAAGTAGATGGAAATATTTCCGAAACATAAAAATACAAGCTAATGAAAATTTACAAAATTGCCTTTAAAGTTGAACACTTTAAGACATACTATAGCTTAATATCGCACATGGCGCAAAATTTTAACCTGAAGGACAAGCTATGTATTCAGATTCAGTATGAGTTCGATTTGGTAATCTAAGCAAGTAGAATATTTTCGAGGCACTAAAGGCACTTGATGACATTAGTCCGGTTTGTTATATTATCTGTTTATTTGATCTATTCACAATAGCTATAATTAATTTTAATGTCGATAATAGTCTTCGCTTTCACCATAATTAATTAATTAATGATACAAAAATTATCAATTATTGAGTTCCGTCCTTAAATTGAATCGCCGAACGAAAATTTTTTCTTTTATGTTTTCCTTCTCCAACAAACGCACTATACTTATAATAACTTGTAAGGCAAGTAAATAAATTGTTCCCTGCGTTTATTAATAATTTTAAAAACTTATGCAAGCTTTGCCTATATAACAATATATGCAATATACATACAACAGTAAAATATTTACATCTAAGCAGGCAAAATGTATACTAACTATTATTCATATTATCTTAATATCTATAGTTTGGACTCATTATTAAATATCCATAGTTTTATGAAGATAATCCTTGCACATCATAAAGTATTTCTTTCAATTCACCTTCTTAAATGATAAGATGGTAATAATTCATAATTATAGTATACTTCGAAATCGTAGCTTATATTACTGAATATCGTAAATAAGCTATGAACACTGCGATAATGTCAACAGGTTTAGACATGACATGGTGTAAATTGTGATCTTATGATACGAAAGAAAGAGCATTATATTCCTTAGAAATCTGATTATTAAGAAACTGCAGTCTAGTGCAGCCTTATATTATAAGAGATATCTTATAAGGCGAACTCATACGAATAGTTAATACTTGAGATCATAATATAAATATTCTACAAGTGATACATCCATGTGGGATGTACTCCTATAAATACTGATCATGATTATCGTTACAAACAAATTGTATAGCCAGACTTCAAGACAGGTTGGAGGAATTAGTAAAACTTTTTACTATATTTGATATTAAGACGGATATTCTACCATTGCTATCAAGCTCATTTTTCAGTATAATAAATAAATGAGTCTAATGGAAGCTCCATGTAATCTATAGTAATTTAAAACTTATATAAATTTCTGAGTACAATATCAACCTAGCATATTGTTATTTCATGTTTTTATCTTAAATGTAAAATAATAGTCTGTCCATTCTTAATTACATCACCGGTCAACTTTTAGTGTCTATAGCTATCAGTAACCAAGATACTACGCCAATTTTTGATTTTGAAGTTAATTGTGTTACAAATATCTAATACGTCTTTACATTCTTTCCATAATATTATTGCTCAAGCTATTCACAGATTAAATAGTATGATAAATCTAGCAAGACACTACACTGTCTATGAGAAAGGATGTTCGAATACGATGTTATATTAATTAATGTAAGTACGTCACAAAAATACAATCACAGTACAGTACACCGACGGATCCATCACGTAGGGCCAGTGGTCAGTGAAAAAACATGATTCAAAAGGCATCCCACTACTTCAAACCCAATAAGTTGCGCAATTCTTACGTATACATTTATTACGAGTTCAAAATCTGTTTACGCGTTATGTGAATTCCTATATAACTTGTTTTTTTAAAGTCTTATTCAGCCTTCTACAAATCAATAACAAAATTTATAGCACGCGTCATGCCATGAAAATTTAATTGATTCCGGATCATATTAAAAATTAATAAAGCTATCAACATTTTTGATATTAAAATATCGTATCTCAGTAATTAAGTATGTATTCTAAAAGTTACAAATGTGTCTAGTATCATGGCACTTTTAAAGAAGAGATAAAAGAATACTATAAATTTCTCTATCGTATATGATTAGCTCTCATATAGAATCAGTAAAGATTGAAATCTGATTGTTACTATAATTACATGTATGCTCTTTTTCGTTGTTATCACTACTGTATTTATACCAACTGTATACTGCAGGTACGCTACTGTCAGACCTACACTCTAACATCATTGTTTTGTTTGTCATTAGGGTAACTAAGTAAGTAAAATGCTCACTCATGTGAATATAGCGCTGTCATTTCTATCCAGAATATTAACATCACAACTAGAATTTCTCTTCATAACACAACATCAGTACTTACTTTAACTACATGATAGATCAAATCACCGCATTCTTATGCTACAGTGCAGTGTATGGAGAGCCTTTTCAATATTATATCGTTATCACAACAATTTTTCTATTCATGCAACATGATTTTTGATTATCTTTACAAGCAGTAAAAATGACAGTAAGACGCCAATAGTTTAACCATAAAAATTAATCACGAAATGTATCATGTCATTGCATTATTCTAGAATTTATTTAATTCCTACGATCAATTGCCATCCTTCTTCAAGTAAAAATGAAGTGTCTAAGACTTACAAAGTAATCGTTTATGAAAAATTGCGAATCATTGTTCAAAATACAATATGGGCAATCGTTGTTATATCATGCAGTAAGCAATAATCGTTAATATCGCAAACAGTAGTGTCTGAACCTTCAGTAGCTATTATACTATTTGGCTTTGCTCCTATTATAAAATCTAGGTCAAGTTCCTCTAACTATAAGAATGAAATACTGATGATGTTTAATGCAACTGAATTCAGCAACAAATCGCTTAGACTTTGACTAAAAATTTGCCGTGGCCTCCTCCTTTCAGCATTGTCATAAATGCTTCTGGCATCTTATCAAATCCGTTAAGTATATTCTCTCTCGTCTTCAGCTTACCCTTTTAAAGAGATTAGAAGATTAGCAAGGTTTAACACCTACTAACAAATTCTTAATCAGATTTAAGTAAACAGTAATAAGCAAACTGAGGAATATAACCTCTGTTTACTAGCGTATTACTTAGCCATTTTAACGTAATTTTAATTAAGCATTGAACCTACCAGGATATAATCACGCTGTGATATCAATCGGACTACTGCACTATAGAATATACTGACAATTAAGTAAATGCTAGTTACCTCCTTATACCAGCCAATCATTTCACCCAAGGCCTTTTTCAATTCCTCCGGTCGAGTCATCAGGGTTGTTACCAGAAAGCCTTCAATTTTTATAGACTTGGAAATCAATTGACCATGAAATAGGGGAGCTGGTACATTGTCAAGTAAGATGTTAAATAACAAAATTTAGACGTTAGCTAGTTAGCCACTTCTCATTAATTATACGCTACAAAAAGAAAAGATTTCATCATGCGATAGTTTAAATATACTACAGCTTCACCCTATCATTAGAAAAATAATTCATTTTATCTAGTTGCGACAAGATCAATTTCAACTAGTATCATAAGGTATGTGCAATGCTGCAATATAGCTACGACATAATATACAGTATATAGAATATAACTACTATGTAATAGTGCTAACAGTATCAATAAAATAATATTGCATTTATTAAAAACAATATATCACATCTAACAACATGTCAAATACCCTGAAGTGGTTGGGAATCATTATATCCAGCTATAGCCCCACATACTCCAATGCGTCCATAATAATTCATAAGCGATAAAGTAGGTGCAAATGCCTCACCGCCAACCTTGCATTAATGAGCATACAATTTCATAGATATAAATTTTATAAATTAGGGTTCGATTGAAGGCTGCTGGATCAGACCACCAGGATTTCTCTACCAAGAACTATTACATTCCTTAGACTTACATTTTCAAAGAACACGTCAATACCATTAGGACAATATTTTTTCAAGACATCTCCAATAGGACCAGCAGTCTTGTAATTGAAAGCCTCATCAAATCCTAGCTCTTTAAGCCATGCGACTTTTTCATCCGTTCCAGCAGATCCAACAACTCTCATACCTAAAATATTCAATGAATTACTTCAATTTTAACTGATTTACAAGTTTATAATTTCTATAGCTATTAATTAAAGAATCAGTAAGTTGGCTTGCTGCAAAAATCGATTAAATTGTGTATTTGAAGTATACCTTTAATTTTAGCGATTTGACCAACAACACTACCTACAGCCCCTGCAGCACTGTTAACGTAAACGGTTTCTCCTTTCTTAGCCTTGCATATATCAAGTAAACCATAGTATGCAGTCAATCTAATATAACGTTTTCAAATAAAAGAGATAAGATACACAGCAATTTAAAATTTTTCATAAAAACTACTACAGGTTTTATTTCAGCGATCACTAGTGAACAGTATATTTAGAAATGAATTTAAGTTCTTGGAAATACCCTTATTCACGTTCGATATCACTGCAGTTTACTGTAATATAATAAACGTAAAATGGGTCTTAGTTAACATATTCACTACAAATAAATATTACCCGGGCATGCCAAGTGCACCAATGTAGAGCGATGGAGAGATATCAGGATAGTAACTAGCGGGGCATTTCGCTAGTAGGGTAAGGTCGCTGACAACGGCGTGAGTTCGCCATCCACATCGTGCGAGGACAATTTCACCAGTTTTATAGGCATCACATTTACTTTCGACGACCCTATGATTGACGGAAAAAGAGAGAATTGAATAAATTACGTTATCATTGAATAATACTCGGTATGGAATAGAAATATCATGCTGCAACATTTCAAAGTTTGCACACTTAGTAACGAAATTGTAGCATTAAATACCGCGAATGGTGCAATGTCAATAAATTATAAATTCGTCAAGTTCTAAACAATATTTATCACTACTGTCTTAAAATTCCAAGCTTACTTAGCAACACCTTGACCAATCATTGTATTTCCAACCTTTAAGAACTGGGTATAAGCCCTAAGGAGAGATTAAGGTCAATTGCAAGCGTTAGCGCAATCTGCAAATCGATTTTTTCGTCCATACACCTTTACAGCCAATGCAAACGAATAACAACGTGCAGGTATTGTATTGGTATACCGATACCTCAATCAATACATCAAGGTTACGTAAAGCACTGTAATTTTTGATATTTTGAGAGGCTATTGCTATGCTTTTATTTACAATATCATTATTACACATTATTCTAAGATTTCACGAACCTCATGTACGGATCAACACTCAAAAAAAGGTTTTGGACGAGGACCTCTATTAATGTAGACAGAAAATGAAAATTGAGCAATTCAATTCAAATAGATAGTACAGAAATATCAGATGTCAAGGCAGCTACTTCAATAAAATTCATTAATTAAATTAATTATAGATCTACGAGTGAAATACAACACAATTGTGCGGATCAGGTTATAATTGAGTCATCTGGCAGCAATAGTAGATCCACGCAAAGTTGATTCAGTAACAGTCAATTCAATACACCAATTCGCGTGTCATGATTGCATCGTGTGTGTTTATTTAGTATACAGTACAAAAATAAATTTCTTGATTGTTTTGACATGGCTGCAGCCGTTAAAGAATTTCTGCTCTACGATACTGCATAGCTAGCTAATCTAAGGTTGAATCTCATTTGCAACTTGCACGGCATAAAAATTTTGCCTGATTAGTAGTAAATTTATCCAAAGTACTTTCAAATGGTCATGTGCAACGTAACGGATAATAAGAAATTCCTGTAATACTTCTAGACTGTAGACTGCTGGATACTGTACTAAATCAATTACTACAGTCGTATCACGAGAAAACTTCAGAATCACTAGGTGGCTACTTCCACATGCAAATTACCTCCATCCTTCACGGCTGGCAAATCTACTTCATCAATCCTAAAATTGGATGGCTGAGGAGCTCCTTTAAACTCCGATGCAATAACAACTTGTCTGGATTTCATCTTGTCTTGATATAGATTCTATTTGAACGAACGTAAACGAGCTGGATAGCGAATGCACTAGATTAAAATCCCCCCAAAAAATTGAATTGTCACCGTCAACATCCAATAGAAAGTGCGATTGTACTTCCTTATCTAAGCCGATTATCGTACTGTATGTCTGTATATATGTTATGTTATATACTGTATATCATGATTGTCCATCTATCATTGCCGTAAGATTTTAATCTGAGTACAAAATGTATTCTGATCCTAAGGAAGTAGCAGTTGTATTTGGTTTTTCAATCCTACACAGTTTTAAGTTGAGCATAACCTCTAGAAAGGTTGAAAAAAATTGGCTAACCTGATTGAATATCAGCTGACACTTTGACACTTGGTGGTCAAGAAGAAAGAAAAATTGAGAGGATGTGGCATTATATACTAATTAGTATCATAGGTGTGACGTCGACTTTGGCGCAACGTGATTGGATAGTCCAGTTTTTAATCTGTCAAAGTACACTGTTCCATACTGTACATTGTAGGTAAGGTATATGTATAGCGTAGACTGAAAGTATTGCCAGCACTAACCATCATCATCAGGTCATGGGTCATGGAAAAAGCATTGACGCATTCCAATGCAAAATGCACTGTGCAGTATCGCCTATCCACTGTAGCCTCACACAGTACTGCTGCGTCATCCTGTAAAATAGCAATCCACTAGACCTGGGGATTGGATAGTCCAGTTTTTCATCTGTCCAAGTACACTGTTCCATACTGTACACTGTAGGTAAGGTATATGTATAGCGTAGACTGAAAGTAGTGCCAGTACTAGCCATCATCATCAGGTCATCGGTCATCGAAAAAGCGTTGACGCATTCCAATGTAAAATGCAGTGTACAGTATTGCCTATCCACTGTAGCCTCATACAGTACTGCTGCGTCATCCTGCAAAATAGCAATCCACTAGACCTGGATCTCAGCAGGGACTGAGTGAACATTGAACAGCCAAGGTCTTTATCGACTTGTTCTTAATTAACTAAGGTCGGCATACTGTACAAAAATGTTTAGAAAATCATTGGAAAATATCCTGATATTACACTTAGAAATCTCAAATGACTTTCCACACACCCTGTTGTACAGTCGAGAAGGGTCGGCATTGTTTCTACCCTTGTTTGTTTTGATTGCGTAAGATGTTGTTGTAACTTGGTTATTTGGCAAAGGCTAAGAATATCACAACTGAAAAGCGGTACAAGTGTACAATGTACATGGAACTAGTGTATTCGTTATAACTTATCACTGATTTGTTGGAATCTAAATCAAGGTATGAACCGGTGATTGGTTGAAATGGAACTCCACGATCTCAAATTTGGAAAGCATATCATAATATTATTGTATTGCTATTAGTTGATCCTAGAGAACTGGTTTTAGTCGGCTGAACTGACTTATCTAGAATCAATCTATAACTCAGGAAGCTACATACTATAAAGCACCGTACTTCTTGGATATCTATCTTAGACAACGTTAGTGATTTATGCTTGTCTCTTACATCGCTAAGAGCATATCTATTTGGATAGAAGCTAATAAAGCAGTTTAAAGCAATTATCAGTGTGCTACTTCGTTTCAGAGTCTTCACCAGAGTACCTGAACGTGGAGCTAACACATAAACTAGAATAGAATTCCAACAAATGATAGTGATAGTGATGATATTGCTTGCTATTCGTATTACTTTCTTCCTAATGGTATCACAATCACTGATACAAGCTTAAGCTCAGCGATATTTGCATGATACTAAAATGATATGATACGTACAGTGAATGATTTATCAGGGGAATTTATTAGACTTCTGTACACTGTCCACTATAAGTACAGTGTCTAGTGCGTCCGCATTAAAACTTACAACTTAACCCTTGAAGGAGGACAGGAAATTTTCAATAACCAATTTCCATGGTATGAAAATTGACGTGTCTCGGTACTGTAAGCACTAATTCTACCTCTACAAAAGATATCACCGATGATGGTAGCGATATTGATATTTCTTCCTACTATTAGTATCAGTATCGCCTAATAATATCACGATCACTGATGCAAGCTTGAGCTCAGCGATATTAGGGTTAAGATAATGCTAAAATGATACGATACGTACTGTAGTAGATACATGATTTATCAGTGAACTCATCAGACTGTTGTACAGTACGTATGGCATTCGCAAAAAAAACTTCAATGGGGGACAGGAAATATTTGAATAACCAATTTCCATGGTATAAAAATTGACATCATTCGGAAGCTTAAGAATTGGTCCGTCAAAAACGTTGCAAATTCATTCAAGCTGAACTCGGATGCATGTTTAACTGTTTATGTTTCGTAATTTTAAATAAAATTATTATTAATAAAGCTTTATTTTCGTATCACTTGTCAATCAATGATATTATATCTGTATACAGTATATCGTCCAAAGCTAATGATATTCTTGAATATTACTATCAGTTTCAGTAGACAGTAAGCTTCACTTTTATATTTCTTATGAATTAGTGATGTACACAGTATATCGCCGAAAGCGATTGATATTCTTGAAAATATTACTATCAGTATCGGTAGACAGTGTTGATAATATCATTATCAATGACATAATGCAAATCATCAATGGTACCAGACCCTGGCTATAAGTTTACAACCTGGCTTTACCTTTTCCTCGTATTCTGAAGTAAAGAAGAAAGAGGCGCTAAACCAACTAGGCTATGCATCACTATGAACAAATCTCCTCTAACGCTTTTTATTTTTCTTTCTGTCTGTCTGTCCAATTTGAGAGATGAAAGCTGTTAAATCAATATTCTACAGTAGTGCTCGAGTGTGCTCGATATATTGTAAATTGCTGTGTAGACATTAATGTCCTAAACTCTATTGCATATGATAATTCTACAGAATAGAGATTATGTAGCTACTGTATAAGAGGCTTCACAGCTGTTCTATACCCGCGTAAGGTAGCGATCTACTAAAATCAAAGTGCAAAGTAAGAAGGAACTAAGTTTATAGCATGTGTTTTTCAAATGTTGATTGTACCGAATCAAATCACAAATGATTTAAACATCTTGATCTGTGTGTGGCTGACAGCAAGTAGGCTAATACAGCGAATATTGTATTATATAGTAGGATCCAAGAAAAACTTCAAACTTGTACCCATTTGCCTTAGCCAAATAAATAACTCTCGTAGCAAAGTGGAAGCTTCCACGTGTTTATCCAGCATGCCATACAACATAAGCACATATGTGCTCGTATGCAGTATACTCTCTAACTTTTGGAGATTATATTCGAAGGCAGTTAGGTGTGTTGCATCATTAACAAAACATCTCAGATTATAAGGAACAGTCATCCATTTTATTGAATTTTTTATCTGAACGTCACCCATTTCACGCATTAAATAACGTATGTACTAATTAAGATCTGAAGCAAACTGTAGGGTGTTTATCACAAATTGATCTATCCTAACTTCCGTCGTATTCATTACAATGAGTATGGGCCCCTAGAGTCCTTGAGGTCTATGAAATCACTTTAAAATGTTAGATTGTAATAATATTGATAAATACCGATATCTTAAATAATACAATTATCTAAGCTATGCTTACAGTATACTATGATACCATGACTAATAATAGCTTATGAATAGTTAAAAGCGAGTATCGCGAAATCAATTATCGAAAACCATCAATGCACTGACTCGGAATGAGAATCTAGAATGTTACATGCGATATATATGAGATATACTGTAAAGTTAATAACACAACGAGCATGTAGCCGTTGTCATAATTCAGTTACGGTAAAGATAAATCAACGCATATGAATCAATATGTATACTCACATAATAATTAAATATTAAGATATAATGTAAAAGATTAATCATAAATTTGCAAACAACCTGTTCTTAAGAATCGAAATCTCGTTCGTAATGTTATTACGAAAACTTTGTTACTTGAAAACTTTATTCTGCGTATTATTCCAGTCTAGGTAAATCTACCTGATCACTATTAACTACCACTTCTAGTATAGTAGGAAGGACGCTACCGAATTGATCATATTAAATTCCGGTTTACAAATTCTGTTCAGCAGGTTGCTTTATAGATACATTCTTCGATATTTCTGGTATAATTATTTTAGTGTTTACTACACTCGGACGAGGACGTTGAATTGCTGATGGTCTTGTAGGTCGTCCAGAAATGATCGAAAAATTTGCGTTTCTGATAAGTTGAATCTTAGATAATATTTGAATGAATATTAGTCAATAATCTAATTTTAATCAAGAGATACCCATTAACTATTAATATTAATATTATATAATACAATAGAAATTTTTATTTGAGATAACTGGAAAATAACCCATCGAGTTGCAGTTGAAGTTGGTTCATTTACATAATAGAAATATCTTTTATATATTTACCTTCGGTATAAAGAATAGACACATACTGGATGTCGTACAAATTAAGATAAATGCCGATATAATGATATATCCTCCATTTACAGTCGTTTGTGTTAGCTGGCTCACTAATACCCCAATAGTTGCAAACATAACCGCATTATAAATAGTTAATCCAATATGACGAGAATCATTCAATTCCGCTATCGAAACATTTCGAGTTTCCCATGCCAAAAATGTACCGAAAACAAGCAATAAGAATTTATACCCATAGACGACCCCCAACCAAACAGAAATATGTTGACAACTACAAACTAGTGTCCGCGGTTGTATAATGATATTCGATCCAGGACTTGACGACTATCGTGATAATAATCATAACAAACAAAAACCAAAAAGTATCACAATATACACTGACACAGCCATTATTACATGAATATATCGTAACTCGCTTTAATGCTCGTATATTACATCCAACTTCCTTCTACGTCACAATAAGGTAATTAATTATTAAAATTTATTGGATTAAATATCGAATCTACCCTACCAAATTTCTTTTACGCAATAATACATTAATTAATAGAGTACTAAGTTAAAATGATTACGGTGCCTCTTTCTAATATGCGTAGCTGCCATCGAAGACACTTAATTATTATCGATTATGTCTACTACTTCCTAGGTTATATATAACATATATACTTCATAGAATAATACCGAACTTTATGTAATATCAACTTACAGATGATGAAATTGATTGATATCGATTTATAAACGGATCGATTGATATCCATACAGCCAAAATGATAAAATCAATTATTAATAGGATACTAGTTATCCCAAAGAGCGAAGAATCTTTGATTACCTATAATTATCAATTCGTAATTTTTAATATCCAAAAAGTTTATTAAATCTACTAGATTTGAAAATTATTTTATCAACAATAATGAAATTAGCTAAGACTTTCTTGTTCAAGCGTAGACACAAAATTGATTAACATCGATATGATTGTTTTCTTCAATAATTTAATCGCTCCCTATTTAATTACAATTTAACCGTCATACTTGATATCACATATATATTTAATCATGCCATCATACAATCTGTAAACAATAACTTAGTATTTAGGAACTCAAGAATTTGCTCTCGCATATTTTCACTCTCTCTTTCATCTAATAGTGATATAAAAATTAAAATGATTTTTATTACCACTTTTGTATTTGTCTTGTTTGTAAAGATAACATGAACGCGCCAAGTTTTAGCAAACATTGCACCGAATGATAGTGTAAATCCTATACACAATAAGCCAACACGAACGGTACAAACTGTAGGGAGATATTCCTGTTTCGTTATACCATAGTCTACTCCAAACAAGACAACATCGGCGTAGCAAAATATAAAGCCAAGCAATATTAGATTGTTAATTCTAGGACTAGACATTTTAATAACCCTAAGGCAATACAAAGAAATAATATTTTGTTAATTTGTAATCGAATAATCAAATTTATGTGATTTCATTTAAAAATGGATGCAAATCAAATTACCGTAACTCTCGATGTCTAAAGTTGATAAGTAAAAATGCCATTGCAGTCACAATTCCAACTACAGATAAAATCGTTACTATTATAAATAGTCCACATGTAATATAATTCTCTTCAAATTTAGTTTCAAATCCGTCGACTGGAACGCGTCCTCCTGTATTATACAATATAAAGCAAAAGTCATACAGTAAATATATTGAATAGATATTTCACCATGCTTTTGTGTATAACAGTTTCATAAAATCATGCAGCAACATACTAATGTACAGATAACTATGGGTTACGGAAAAATTAGATTTTCTAGTAGTCTTTGGTATTATTTATAAATAAGAATCAAATAACCTGGCCACATAAGACGATCTGTCTCGTTGAAACTTAATTCTCTGCTGCTGCTGTTATAAAAACCAACTTTAACCAGACCGAATGCTGAAATATTGCCTATTTAAAGCATAATATCAAATGGCAAAAGATTTTTAAGACTTTACTAGAATAACAATGCATTGTTATACTACATGACATGACATATGTTGAGGACAATGTCGCTACAATTTCATCATAAAGTCAATAATTTTATAGTAGCATCCTAATGCGACAGAAGAAATACGAGAAATGTTGGCATTGAACACTTGGACTCTAATACTAATTTTACGCACCGGTTGTAATTATAAAAGAATAACAAGGTATCTTTAGCAATCTTTTCAAAAGAATAGTTATCAGAAACATGCATTGAATTTCATGTTTTATTTCGCTTGTAGATTATAATGTATTATAACAAGATAGCTAGATTAGTTCTTCTATTCAGCAAGCTTTTGACTATAAAATCATTTTCTCTATTGATTTCTTGCCAATATTACAGGTACGTAACAATTTATGGATGACATTGTTAGAAAAAATTATTAACTTGAAATTAATTAATTATTGCACATATCCAATAACAGTTACGGGCAAGATATTAGCACCAATTTAACACCATTTATTACCACCACCGAAAATTTTTAACTAAAGCGAATCTACCGTCACTTAATGCAACTATTTCGTACTGTAATTACGGTGACATGCCACAGTAAATTACCTCTGAATTGCATGATATTGCTGTCACCTACTCTTGCTCCGCTTAGAAAACTAAATGGACCCTTAAGAAACAAAATTTATCGGTTAAAACTTATTAATTATGAACTTTTTCAGTTTCAAAGTGATTGCAATTACATGTGATGCAATACTTTATGTTACTGCTTATACAAACGCAGAGCTTCTTATTTATTGAATCACTGTGTAGTATCGGTATCATACTAAATATATGCAGGTACGAAGCAACAATAACCGCTAATCTTTTTCATTTAAAACTCTTGATTACCCGAAATTGCTTCTTATTTACGTAAATTACAAAAACTCTGAAGACGTATTGTCTCAGTTTTTCGATGAAATTCTTGCAAGTGCTTTTAATTACCATTAAATAATTACCGTTAAACCCATAAATGATATATTTTCCATAGCGGCATTGAATAATTTTCGAGTTCTAGTATCATTGTAGTTAAAGTTAGCGAGGCTTGTATTATATTTCTGAAGCTGATGATCCGTTTGATTTAAAGCTAACGCAAGACACCATATAGAATCGTAAGCAGATGGAGTATGCGAAACACTTCTAGGAGTTCCATTGGTGAATTTTTCATATTCCTTAAAATATTTTCGATATGTCTGTAAAACAAAATACAAGGAAATTATTTTAATCTTCTCTGTTATCTTCAAGTGCGCTACAAAAGTACGTTACTCAGTTTTGAACACTTTCACAAAATCAAAACAGCTTTCTTCATGATTTATGTAAAGCACTACAGTAGACTATGTATGATAAAATTGAAATAACAATATGTAAATTTAATTGATACCAAGCAACATTCATGATGATATTATGACTTTATCTTAAATGTATACTATCAGTTTATAATATTTAAAACAATAATACTAATTCCATATTCTGCTGTAATTTAAAATCATAGTAGCTTATCGAAATGTAGCGATTAGTTTTTATGGTCAAGCTAACAATTAAAGCCTTATTCAGTTCAATAATTATCGAGGTAAACGATGATAACGCAAATGACATTCCCAGCTACTCAATTACAGTAACTTTGTCTACTTCAGAATATCGTTTTATCTATATTCCAAAAAACAGCAAACAAAGAAAACCAGATATCTACTGCATATTCTTAGTGAATATTTTAACGGTGCATCATATGGTCATAAGGACTTTAAAGCATGCTAAGGCTATTAATTAATCGCTAATTCTCCAAGGATGATCTAAATTAATTCCATTATTAGAGTCAATTATTGTACCGTATATGTGAAATTGTATTCGTAAGTGAAACTTACAAGCCCTGAAACCGTTAGTTTATTATTCAGTCCTGATTCTGAAATATAAGATTGACCGAAAGCTATATAGCCTTTACCGGCTTGCAGAATTTCATGCGTTGTACAGTTAATGCCATGTGCCGTTGCTTCCCACCAGTTGCGCTGGAGAAAATTAGATGCAAACCAAGCGTAATTTTCACCATACATGCCAAGTTTATAAGCCTAATGGAGTCATTGCATACAGCCAATAAGCTATTAAAAGATCAATTACTATTTTCTATTAAAAACTAAGAATAGACGATAAATCCATGCTAATGCTACCAAAACTAGTACAAGAAGTCCATAGATCACTATTTTACATAAGTTTGCAACTGGAAAGGAGTGCACACAATTTGATGTATGATTCATACAACTTGGCCTGATTAGTTTCATCGATTTAGCTACAGTAATACGACGTAGTCTGCAATAAGGAATTACGTGTTGCAATGAAGAATATCTTATAATTTTCTATTTTATTAGTTGTATTAATACTACAAGAAAAGTAAGCATTACTGAAGGGTTAGACAACTTTCTAATTAACTTAAATTTTCCTAATGAATAAATAATCTGCTAGTACGCAGGAGGTAAAATCTGCTTGACCATTCATTACCCATCTCTTTATCAGCGCATAAATGCCCGCAAATTTTAAGCTTGAGTAAAAGCTTATTCTTCATTTTTATCTGTCTTTGTATTAAAACAATCACGAAAGCCAGCTATCATTTAGAAATATTCAACGGAACAGCCTTTAGCTTAGTATGCAAATACAGTATATCCGCCAGCTGTAGTATTGATTAGTCCAGCATATACTATACATTATTAATTCTTGTCTTCCGAAAGTTAAGTTAATTTAATATATCAAAGACAAAGCAAAAGACCTGAAATTAAATCATAGATCTCTACTTCCTCATCCTTAATTGCTATTACATTAAAATATTTAGTCATTATATTACTACCGTATCCAAAGCTAGAATCAAGTGCCAACTGGAATACAGCACATCTATCTCCATAGATTTCAGCTTTTTCTTAATTGATGAAAATAATATTGCAAAATGTCATAAAAAATGAGAAAAATTTACTATTTTGGTTAAATTAAATCCTTTGTGAACGGATAAGATGATGTAGATACAACAGCATTATTTTAGCATATCGTATATTATAAACAATGCCGCTTATTGAAGTCAATAGTGTATTTTCTATCGTCACGAAAAAATGTGCATGTTTTTCATAAAGGAAAGTAAAGGTAGTATTAACCTTCAGAATATAAAGATCTGCCATGTATTAGCTAACAGACTGTCCATGATGTACTTTGATGACATCGGTTGCCACAACATTAATATAATGATATCGTTAATCAATAAATCTTCTAGTCATAAGTAAGTAATAGATGTAGCGGATCAATACGCGGAAAGTAGATGAACATCAGAGCTAAATGTATTCTTAAATAATCAAGAGAGAACTAATATCATCAGTAAGAGACTGAAGCAATACACATTTTGTTCCAGATATCTAGCAGCTGATTCTCATTCATTTTCATTCTATATCATCTCATATGATCAATTTAGAGGTAAAAAAATTTATTAATTATCGTCGACTAAATAATTTTTCCCTTTTCTTGTTTTGATGATATAGAAAAGATTTACAAAGTCCTAAGCTATTTACAATTTAACAATATCCAAGAATATGTAATGGAATCTCAACGAGTGAATCCAATAGACATTTGCATTAAAGACCCCAATTATACACTAATAATGCATTTTATAACAAATTTCAACCACAAAGTGAAGTTTCGTACATTTCTTCTCTTAATGACTTCATAGATCTAATATGCAGGAGCTTTATATTTTGAGAGAGGATGCGGCTATAATTTATAATGTATCAAATACTTTAGCACATATAAAAAAGATCAGTTAATTATCTACCGCAATACCTTGTACAGAAAATGAAGATGAATAGCGTTACAATCTATGCAGACTAAATTTTTTACTGATTATTAAGTCTACATTTAATGTACAGCAATCAATTCATGATTATATGCACAATATGTATTAATAAAAGAAAACTCATATGTACTGCATGAAAATGAATCTTTGCATATCTTAAACAATACCTAAATTGAGGGGATTTTGGATTAATCCACTCCATTTAATACATTTCTTAATGAAATTGTGATCAATAATTTAAAATTTAACTTAACTTTCTAATGTACGAACATTTAATCATGCAAGGTAAATCCTCAAGCTCATCTATGGAATACTCCATCTACAGAATATTTAACTAATTTATGTGCATGTGTTTGACGCAGGGGTAATCTTGCTCCCCATAAAGTAACGACAAAATCGTGCTTAATTAAGGTAAATATGATCATCATTTCTGACAAGCGCAAACATCTTACAGATCTATAATAATTAAAGATAACTGCAAGATTTTAGAATCTTGTTTAATTAGTTTCTGTTTAAAAGATTTCTTTAAAATGAATATTATATGGTATTCCATGAATTCATTGCAAACTCATTCAAACTTTAAAGTCTAACATAGCAACAAGATGTCAACGATAACCTTCCTCCCAAAAAGCGGTACGATACTACTAGCTAGTAGTATTAACGTAATACTGTTCAATAAAACAAAAGCAGAGCAAAGAAATCATGTGAATGCTATTTTAGCTTACATGGCAAAATATACTGGCTAAATTCTGAGGATAGCCAAAGGTAAATATAATTCTTGCTCCTTTTTCCTAAGTAAAATATAAATGATGACAAAGTTAGTTCTTGGTAGCTACAGAATCAGTAGCTTTTCCAACAGAAGTCAGAAATATCTGATTCTAGCATTATTACCACCGTAAATAAAATCAGAATATGCGATATCTGTCTTATCGCAAAGAAGTTTAAAGTAATCCAGTTATACGTAACATTGAAAATTCATAATAACCCCAACCAACTGTTATCCAGCTATTCATAAAGCGATTAAAAGAATAATGAAGTATTATTTAAGAAAATATTTATCGAAAATATCAAACGAGTACGCAGTTAAAGTGCTAAATAAACCCGGTGGTACGTAAGCAATTTTTGATTATCTTAAAGGCAAAATCTGTAAACTGAATAGTTCAACCTGTTACAGAAAGCAGCTTCAATGACCAAGAAAAGTCGCAGTAAAGTTTTAGCTGTACTTCAGATTAAAATTTGCTCTAATTTTTACCTTCAACATCTTAATTTGTAATTCTGGATCAGATACAAAGCTTTCCTTAGCGATAATATTAACACCTCCCATTTCTAATTCTGCTTGCAAATTCAGAGCTCCCTATGCAGATAAAATTATGATCTAATAATTAAGTTTCATGGATAGCAGTTATTAATTATTATAAAAAACTACGGTCATTCTATGATTTAAAATAAGAATTTCTATTAAGAGCTATTAATTAATTAAGTAATAAATTTTGTAGGATCAAAAAACTTCGATTATTTTACACGAAGCGAGATCCTCTGGTACTTACGTTATCAAATAAAACATCACTAAGATAGATGATGGCTACTCGTTGCCACCCAAAATACTTCGCCATATTTATACGAACCAAATTGTACGTAATATCGGTTATTATGCTGGTATAAAAGTAAGGATATTCTTTCCGATTGCTGAATTGTGTTGATGTAGCTCCAACAGACAGCTATAACAGTAAAGAAATACGTAAATATCGCCTAATTATGAAGTGTCCATTAGCAATACTGCAACCTATAACCGAAGAGTATGGATGGTATCGGTACTTGGCTACGGACTAAATTATAAATTTAGAACCTGAATTAAGTTCCAATAGCGAGCCATGGGGGCTACTATAGATGCTGAACTCGATGTAAAAGGTCCCAGTAAAGCAATAAGTTGTGGGCCATATAAGATTTGGTCGAAGATAACTTGGCCAGCAACAATTTTATCGAACTTTAAATTCAAAAATATAAGGATAAACTTCAGCTATAAGTCGAATTGCACTTTCAAGATATTTTTATACTAAAAGTTAGTAATAAGATGATGTAAATATATAAATTATTTAACCCTATCATCCTTTAGGTTTAGTCTCATTTCATAAGTTTCCAGGATATCATTTCTAGAATTAATGTCACGTATTGCCATTTTAGCAGAATTTTCCATTTCAATCATCTTTTGTCGGAGATAGCGATGGCTTAGAGGAAATGTACCACCAATATATAACGGAGTTTTTGCACAGGAAATGTGATGAGCGATGACATAGAAAAAAATGCAACTATATTTTAAAATCGAGGCTGGCCATCGATTTTTTGGAGTCATTTTTCCCCTTTTAATAATTTTCGGTAGAGATTGATATATTCCCTATCAATGACAGTTACTAATCAATTTATACCGCGCCCATCTATTAATAAATAGAATAAAATATAAAAGAGAAAAATAAAACGTCTTCTTCAAGAACCTAATCGTATCCTATAGAAAGATAATACATAGACAATACTGCAATGATTTAATGTAGCAATAAATTCGGTTGATAAGTTATCCAACAATTGATCATAGCCATTTGATTACAGGTGTAGTAATGCAAATAATGTTCTAAGGAAATAATCTTAATCTATAACATTACCTTAAATGAGAAATTTGGAAGACAATCGCTCATAAGCTTTTTGCCTAAATAATGTGGAACATTTCTAAATTTATAGCCTATTAACTTAGTCATAGCCGTTTACGTCAATCGATTTGAATAATACTCGTACTATTAATATCACTTTAGATCATAAATAAAAAGTCATTCATTAAATATCTCATTAAATCCTTAGACCGTCCGGCGTTATCAATTAATGAACAATCAACTTTATACATCAATTATTTGTTAGCTAGAGATAAACAATCACAATAATAATGATAAAAGCGATATGATAATCTGGAAGATCATGATATTGTTCCTATAATAATTTTACAAATAGTTGAGTTGAACTTAGCAAATATAGGCGAAACAAATAAAGATTTTTTATTTAAAATTTAGTTAAAATAATCAAAAAGCAGAGTATGGTATCGATATTCCTTAATTTTGATGCTTAACTGTTTACCTGATGTCGAGATAAGACATTTTCAAGATTTTAAAGGCAATCTGATTACTTGTAGAATATTATGCCCAGGGCGATATACTGTAATGTTATACTCGTATAATATAAGATTTACTTAATCTATTAACTGTACCATAATAATGCTTTTGTCCGTAAGCTTTGAAGAAAGAATCGGTAATAAAACTGAACGAAGCGTACATTATGTCTATCACGAGATTTTGTACGTGACTCCATTACAGCCTATAATTCCAACACTAATAAATGATTACATATCAATATAAGATGAAGAGAGGGAACTAGGCTATATCAAAAGATAAATATTGACCTGCGGTTTTCAAATTTTTAATTTATTTCAATAAATCGAAAATCTCTATTTGAAAATAAGATATAACTACAATAGAATGCTGAATGAAGTAATAATATCTCAATAGATACAAGAATATTATTTAGATATCACAGTGGAATATACAATAAGGCAAAGCAATATATAAACTGCAAACTAATAATACCTATCACACATGATATTTGCCGATACAGTTTTTCATGTCCTCAGAAATAATCTATGTGATGATCAAAAACGTCTTGATATTGTTAAATTAATATGTTTTGATAGTAATCAAATAAAGATTAAATACATTAAAGATGGAAATTGTTTAATTATCTCAAGTAGTTGATGGCTTTCTATTTCAATTTTCACCGGAAATATTTTGGATCTTTCTATCCTAGCTTACAGTGTATTTAACAACCACTAATAAATGATGTATAACTAAAGATATTAATTTAAGCTTTAAAGCGCTCAGAATCTTTATCGCATGCTATTGCAAAAGTACTAAAGCCATAATTCAACTTCTTCACTTCCATTTTACTTCTTAATCTGTGTAAGCTTGTAAAGCACCTTTACCATGGTTTACCGCTGATTTAAAATATAGAATTTAGTATCCTGTTTTCCATTAAATATTTATTATTCGCTTTACAGATATTAATTGTAGAATAGTATACCGGGTGTTATATTTAACTGATCTATATACAAAATACGGGTATTCCTGCGTCATATTTAGGCATGCAATCGTATATTAGTAAAATTGACTGTCAGCCGTAAATTTACGTCACATTTTAGTATCATTATTCTAACTTTAACCTACAATTCGTAAGGATAAATTTTGACACCGAGTATGCACTGTATGTGTCATCTACGTCGTATCATAGCAACTGAAATATTTATATTTGTTTATATATTCGTATCTACGATTTAGAAAAATTTTTTTACAATATTTTGACCATTTCCGGATCTAGCTGTTATTGCTTTTAAAGAACGAATGACAAGTAGTATTTCAATCAGTCTTAGACAGGTTGTATTATCTCCTGGCTTTTATGAACATTGCCGCCTTCATTGATGCTAGTATTATCTATTTAGAATTAAGTGGCCTAATACAGACCATAGGAGTTGAGAGAAAACCAGGTCAAGGGTCGCTTGGAGCAATAAAGTACATGCAAAATGCTGTTGAATTGGCACATGAATTGGACGTGATTTGAAGCCATGGATTAGAAAGTATAATTATGAGAACCTCAATTAAATGTAGTAATATTTTAGAGTTTCAGTAAAATTGCTTTCATATACATTCTTCCTTACTACGCATTCAACAGGCAAATAAGTTACGATAAGAAAAATATTTCACGTAAACGTTTCAACGCTGATTGCTACTTATTTTATCCAGAGCATACTATTAAACAAAGTTTTACGTGTCTTGGAATCTTATTTATCGGCTTATTTTAGGCTTTGCAAATTAAAATAACAATAGCATGCCATTAATGATTCCATTATATTTCTCTAAAAAAGATATTTTGCACTGTATTTAATTAATCAGTATAGATAGAACTTAATCGTTACCTAACAACAATTAAATTATCTTAAATAAATACACTGTTTGATTACAACATATAAATAACAATGTCTACCTAAATTTGTAGCCTGCTTAAACAGTAATAGATGAAGGTTTTATCATAGTAAGCTATACCGAACGCTTATATATCGGTCACATGTAAACAGAATATGCATAATTAAAAATGTCTTCGTTAACAAGTTATTGCCGGTAACAAAACATGATTAGTTAAATATCGAAATATTAAATGAACAAACGATACGTTTTGATTCTACTATAAATACGATCGGATATAGGTTAGGTCTCTTAGAATCGAATATGCAAATGTGAATCTGTGCTGAGCACAGCATCATTTCGACAAAAATCTCATTGCACGCAACAGTGTAATGGTTAGGCTAATTTACATATAAGCCATTAGTATGCCAAAGACCGATAAGATCAAATTGCGGTAAAGTTAATCATCATGTAATTAGCATAAATCCGGATTTTTCAAAAGTGAAGCCAGTACCAGTTTAACATACTCTACATGATACTGATTACGAGGGTAAATCCGCTTTTCTACTAGTGACAGCTTTACTCTTTAAGTACTCGGAACCTGATACATTACTCTGAATCAATGGATCATCCTCGAGCAATAAAGGGGGGAGGGTATCGTGGGAATTAGGTTATACTTTGAGCGCATCATTGTAGGCCTTTGGCAGAAATTAGAATCTTTACTTTCGATAAGGACAAAGAAAATTAATCCAAGAAAGACTTAGTTTATGTGGTATGCTCTGAAGAGTTTTAGTTTGTTCAGAGTTAAACTCTTACTATGGTATCAAGAAAACATCCTGATGTTCTGTAAATTAATAGCAAGGCCGAAAATACAGTCTATTTCTACTAAGGCCGATTTCTGCCTATTAGTTCGCAACATATCGATAATTGCAAATACGAGTAGATATAAGAGTATAAGAGTAGTATTGCTTGGTGCCTAATCCGACATGATGTAGATCATATAATTCCGTATCAAAATCTATACATCATATTCGTATATTTGTTTTATGAAGGTATCACGGTGTGAAAGACCACCTTTAAATATTTAAATATTTACTTAATGTATTTTAAAGTAGAGTATAAAGTTATACGAATTTTGATCTAAGAATATAGGACAGCCATGTTGTTTGTTAGTGCTGATTTCCATGCATATACTCTGTAACTGTTTGCGAATATACCGTAAGTAGAAGGTAGAAAAGCGAGTTACTTTTTGCAATATAGAGAGTTCGCTATTTTATTGCTTACGCTTAAGGAGGAAGTCTACATCATTTCTGCCGTGAATCCTAAGGAAAAGGTTAATAGTTATCACGGAGAATTAATCTCGATAGATAGTTCGAGAATCACAGTCATTTCCGTAGGATCGTTAGCCAAGTAAATAAGGATTTGTTAATAGTAACAAATAAGTAGTGAGGAAGATAAGTAGCCGCTTGCAGTATATCGTCATGAGAGCTAATTGCAACTTGTATAAACTCGGAACAGTGATAACAATCAATTACATTTGTAGCTTTACCACTATAATTCGAACAATTGAAATTGGAAAAATCCGCCCAAGCTTTTTATAATAGCTATTATCGAAATTAATCTAACTCTTCTCTATCCTTCAATCTGCTAAGAGTCGACGTTCTAAACCTATCTAATACTAATGGTAGTAACAACATAAAACTAGCGATCCATTTTTCTTTCATATCGCCCCGTGATATTTCGGAAGGTTTATTTCATAATCGCAATTAGGTTACCAGAGTTAAATTAGCAAAAAATTAGAGTTTATTGGAATTAGTGCAAAGAGGAAAGCCGTGTGAGGTTACAGCATGTACAACGACGTGAATAGTAAAATAGCTATAGTAATATCAAATAGGTAAAGCGTGTAAGTTTATCGTGTAACTAGCAGAACTAACTACGAGATAGATACAAGATGATAGCTTTTATAATGCAAGCACCGCAGCTGGAATTATTTTTAAAGCACAAATGAACAATAAGAATTTCGTACTTCTATATAATGGTAGTTCTACGATATAATCAAAGTAGAGTATACTGTATAGTAATCAAATTTCCACTGTGTGAATTGTTAAAGATAGGTTACACAAATAAGGAGTTATGCTGCAGTTTAGTGAAAATTAAATTTTACTAAGAATAGACTATACCGTATTTGGAAGTTAACACTATATTGCCAAAATTAAATGCTCTAAAGCTATCTAGTATACTGATGGTAATAATCACGTAATATTAGCAGCCTCTTTCCTTCAGATTTCTAAGACCAGATGCATTAATTATACCAATGGTAATATTTAACATAAAATTAGCGAAAGATAGAAACTACTGTACG